AAGCATACATATGCGCGCATTGGCTCGACAAGGAAAAAAGCACTGACCAATGGTGTACAACCTCGCGGTCGCCGCTGGGTATGTATTTCGGATTGCGATCGACGCTATACTTGCGACTGCCCCCTACAACTCGAGCGCAAATCGAGGAACACCTGAAATTAAGGCTAGCTACGGCATCCTGCCAGGAGAACTCACTCCCAATGAATGACCTGTGGTTTCTCTCTCTCTCAACAATCATCTACGCCAGGGGAATAAGACGTACCAGTCATAACCACCGCGTACATGGGGTACATATTGATCTGCAATCCTACGATATCGAGCAGGACTTGGGCGATGCTTTGGTACGCAATAAGGAATCCCGTGTGGACGTGAGGTCGCTTCGGATGCTTTGACGACGTGGATTGCACATGTGAAGGCGGCAAGCCAGTACCTTGAAGTGGGGTAAGTATCACGGACCCATCTGCGGCATCACAAGATAAGCCAGTGCAACATGACTGGAACCATTTTTTTTGCACCAATGAGAATGCTAATAACATCTTTACTGCCTCTGAAAGCGACAACGATCTCCTTGCGTTTGTCGTCTCTCGCTACGAAACCGCGAGTTGTTGTAACAACGCTTGTAAACTGAGACAGAAGGAAGGACATTCATCGCATGTATACGCGGAAACAGGGTACATACCTGCCCAACGAGTGTATTGCCCATCGGACGAGGACACATGGGTTGATACGCAGCCGATGCGTACCTGGTGTATAAAACTAAATTGTGGTATGTTTTTTGGTCGATGCCTGTACTGGGGTCATCTTCACGGTGAAATTGCGGCCAGGGCCAGGGTCGTCCTGTGGTCGGCGTACTGCGATTTTCCAAAGAACTTGGTCCATCACTTGGTTCATTGTGAGCCATGGGGCCAATGCGATGAATACAAGACAGAATCGAATGAATTCGAAGTTTCAATAGGCTTATCTCACTGTAGGGCTTCGGCCTGATGATCACGGGTATGTTCTCAGATGATATTTGTTTCATGACAGATTCAATCAGTTTCATTTGTTTCCTTTGATCCTACGCGTACCCCGCTCATCTACGTTGGTATTTTCGTACCTACTTCCTACGGTATAAAAAGGCCCGTAAAACATAAAGGACGGGGACTTCTTTTCCCCCTACTTCGAATACAGACCACAGCCTGGATCATCGAGTAGCGCGACTTAAGAAAGTCTTGTTGTGCCTGCGTTGCAAGTATCAAACTTCGCATTGAAGTCACACTCACGGATTAGTACCGTGACAATCAATAACAGGTTCCTGCGGAGCGACATAATCAGCACCCATATGTATGTAACGTCAATGTGTCTCGGCGGGTGGATGGCAGGGTCAAGGATAACGGTGAGCGTCATCAGCCGGGTAACAGCGGCAATGACTTGAACAATAAACGAGTGTAAGTAGCATCACCATTGTCAGCTCCATCGCGACCATCAACGGCATAGTACTACAGGAGTGGCGATATTGGTTACACAGTTGAACACACAACGGAAGGCATGAGACGAATGTAAGATAAAGAAGGGAGCCTCAGGCTCAGGCCTACCAGGCATACCGCACCCCTGAGTCTACACAGACCGGAGAAGCAGTCGCGTGAATGAAAAAGCAGCTAGTGAACCTTCTACTCAGAGCGAAGGAAGGGACGTGAAGTGATGTCCGGAATATTGTCCAACGGAGGGCTCAAGAACGGCGAGTCCCGTGATACGGTGTTAAGGGTTTTGTCGACGACACGATGTAGTCTGTACTTAGGTACCAAAGGTTCTCCGCGTCTGGTGATTTGATGAACAAATGGATGGTGCTATTCATGTCCCCGCAGTCGTAAGTTGTTCACGGGTTTTGAACGGACTGGCTCTGATCCCCGCACTAACGGAGAGCTTAGCTGTACTAAGGGACGTATTTGATTTTACATTCGTACATACCTTGCATTTGCAAGCTTCTCTGTACACGTTCCGCATCTGTTGGGAATCCAGCTATGGTGATCGGAGGTCAACGGGGATCAAAGACGCTGAATTTGCGTATCAACTAACTGATACTTACCATCTTGGAAAGGTTTCTTAGTGACAACGGATATAGAGAGATATGAAGTCTTCGAAATGCATGTGCACCAGTCCGCTGGGCAAATGGGCGTCGCAGCAGGGTCATTGTAGGGTCGTCACCTGTTCCTATGATACGCTACGACAAACCTCGGGGAATAGAGAACAAAGGACATGCCGATACGTATGGCACTTGTATTTGCTGTCCGTGACAAGGTCATTGTCCAGCAGAAGTTGGACCAATACATCATGTAATACTCTGTAGTGTGCAACCGAGAATGGCAACCGACTGTGTATTGCGTTATATATGGTAATCAGAGCAACAATACCATTCTCACGCACGGACCACCTCTGAAAAATATATAGGCCCCACCGCGACATACTTGTCTCTTCAGAACATACTCAGCTAGGATCTATTTTATAGAAACTAATTCGAGTCTCGCATGTTTACACATGCCACATCCTTCAAATCCACTCGATGACGTCTGCACTCGCTCGTTTAACAGAGAACATTGTCTCCGCTTCGGTGGAACTTCGAGGACGTTTGGTTCTGTGCTTTGCTGGGTTGCTCGCAACTTGGTGAACCCAAACCAGCGAGTCGAGTGTCTATCTGATGGATTTCTTTTGGGTGCCCTCATGTGGTAGATATATTTCCAAGTAGTAGAATGTATTACATTATAGTTCAGTTTGAAAATTGTGCTTCCCTGCTATTTTTGTGGTCTCATGTTAATGTCCCCATGTCACTGTGATCTTCATTAGAGGGAATAACTGTAGGAAGTTGGCTGGAAGTGATATTTTACATTGATACAAAGGTCTGATCCTGTAATGATTTTTGATACTGATAAGTATGTGATTTTGAGGTCATGCCTGGTTATTCCTGCAGCATGAAATTCTCTCATTCTGTTTTTTCATGGCTCTCAAATAATGCACTTCAGTATGGATTCTTCGTTGTGCTGGCCCTGTCGATAGCGTCGTCGTCGTTGGCCGGCCACCTACGAGAGCGCAAGCTGAGGAGAAGAAACTTTTTGACGCATCCTACTGAGGTCAATAGATGCAGCGAGATTCTGGATGGTGTGACTGGGCTCATTGGTACATCTCTTTCTTTTCATCATTCCAAAACTTTTTGTACCGACCGGTACTTAGGGAACACACCGTTGGTGAGGATTAGCTCCTTGAGTGAGGCACTTGGTATCGAGATACTTGGCAAAGCTGAGGTGAGCTTTGCCCTCCGGAGGGTCTGTCAACTTGTTGAGGTCATTCTGACCGACTTTAGTTCCTCAATCCTGGAGGTTCTGTCAAAGATCGTGTCGCTCTGCGAAGTAATCTTATCCAAAAGTTGCCGTTTTCACGGAGTTGCTGATGCAGACTGGGCCTGCAGTGATTCAGGATGCTGAACGGCAAGGATTACTGCACCCTCGGACAGGCTTCCGCATATTTGAGGGAACTGTGGGATCTACAGGCATTTCGATAGCGACTATTGCCAGAGCTAGGTAAAGCCCTTCCTGCAAAACCGTCTTAGCAATATTTGATGGCTTTGCAAAGAGGGTATGACACGAGTAAGTCCGATACGACCAGAAACGTGATGGTCGAACTGAAAGCGAGGGCAGCAATTATTATGCCGGATGACGTCGCTGAAGAGAAAGTAAAAGCTCTACTGTGTCTTGGAGCTGAGGTACGACGTGTGCGGCCTGCCAGCATTGTTGACCAAAAACAAGTATGTACAAAGTCAGCTCACCTTTCATGCTACTTCTAATTTCGTCCTTTAGTATGTGGTAAGTGATACGTTTCTCCGCCTTTTGGTCAACAATGTACCGTCATAGAACATGGCACGCCAAGCGGCTCTCCAGTTTGGAGTGGAGGACGTGGCTGAAGGGATTGAGGGAATGCAACTTAGCCACGAAATACCGACGGGGTCGCCATCTTCGGTCACCACGGAGACGTTGCGTGCCCAGACAGGGGAAAGGATCGTCGACGACCAGGATGATGATCCCGCATCGAAGCCAAGAGGCTTTTTCGCTGATCAGTTTGAGGTAGGATACTCCGACCTCGTCGTGAGTTGTCTTGTCATGATGAGGGTTGGTGTAGAACAAGAGCAATTTCTACGCGCATTATGAGGGAACTGGTCCAGAGATATGGAGACAAACGAGTGGAAAACTCCACGCTTTTGTCTCTGGTGCAGGTAGGACATCATTGTCGCGCTAACGGGTGCACTCACGTTTTACAGGGACGGGAGGGACTATTGGCGGCGTTGGTCATTATATCAAGTCGATGAACAAGGATATCAAGGTTGTGCTTGCTGATCCCGAAGGCAGTGGCCTTTTCAACAAGGTAAAGCACTGCTCACCATGAGTTTCTTTTTTCAGGGTTTATTTATGGAGCCACAGGTCAAGTACAACGTGATGTATGACCGCAGAGAGGCGGAAGGAACGAAGAGACGCCACCAAGTTGATACAGTCGTCGAGGGAATGTAAGGCGTTCATCGCTACAGCGAAGACGATCAACTGAACTTGATACCCTTTCCCAGTGGCATCAATCGTATGACCAACAACGTTAGCTTGGCGCTCCCGATCGTTGACGACGCGTTCCGGTACGTACAATCCGCCTCATGGATAGTGCAGGTCTTCACAGCCACACTTCATGACGACCCCTCTCCAGGATAACGGATGCAGAGGCTGTTGCTATGTCTCGATATCTCATCAAACACGATGGATTATTCCTTGGATCAAGTAGTGCGTGCAATTTAGTCGCATGTGTGAAATTGGCTCGTTTGTTGGGCTGGAAAGAGGGTCAGACGATCGTAACCGTGCTGTGAGTTTCTTGAGTCTATTCATACGAGAAGTCAAATCCATCATGTCTGCATGATAGGTGTGATTCGGGTACTCGTCACTACTCCAAGGTGAGACCTTGACCTGATGATGGTGATTTGGATTCCTAAGCAATTTTTTCCCTGAATGCTCCTTTGCAGTTCTGGTGAGGATGAAGACTTTCTGTTGCGACTTCTCTCATACATCTGCAGGAACGATGACTATCTTCGGAGAGCGAACATTCCGATTGACGAGACTCTTATCGAAACGCTCCTCAACACACCATAATCAAGTATTAGTATAACCAGCGGAGCACGGGAAACCTAACGATGCATGCAGTACAGATGTGGGCTATGATATGATGAGTTAGTACGGATGCACAGGTATTATCGGTCGCGTGTAGTCGAATCACTTTGCGGCCACGAGGACGAAGATATGGTAGGCGAGGCGAAAAGGGATTTAGGTTGCGCAATAGAGCTATTGTCGCTGGTCGAGGGGAAAGCTGCGGTGCTAGGAGGGATGCGAGACTGATCCTTGGAAGGTGAGGTGGTGTGTGACTGTTGGGAATGTCCGCTGGCTCTGCGAAATCGAAGTCAGATCAGAAATGTGCTCAAAAACTCGGGAATTCTCACCCAGCTTCTTGTGAAGCAACGGGCTGTGGATCTGGGGTGATTTTTAGGTAGCCTGCTTGAACTAAAAAGTCCCAAACACGGCTAGTCTTGTTGACGTCAATTTTGACCAAATCACGAGCTTCCCGTCGTCGAAGTTTGCCTCCTCGCCGAGCATATTCTCGTACCAATGTCTCCTTGATGACAAGATAGGGCTTGGGAAGGATACGCAATTGGGAACAAAGTGTTTGCTCTGCCGGTGTGAGTAGATGAAGAGAAGGACTATTGGCCAGATTAAGAGGTGCCGCTAGAAATGACTGTTAACCTGCTGAGAACGGGCATTTGCGCACAAACATACGCGCTCGCCGAGGTGGTCCAGTACCAGTGACAAGCTTCGGTGTAGACTCTCTTTCGTGACTTTTCCGGCCCTCGGATTCTCCTAAAGCATCCACATCGTCAAATAGTGGCCAGTGTAAAAACAATGTACTGACTGCCACTCCCACCAGCCCGCAATTGGTTGAGGCGCTCGGACGGGTAGTAATCGCGGGTCATGTTGGCCTTCATCGATATTCATTTAAGGACGTTCGTTAGACATTGTAGGAACTGTCAATACTTACCCGTCGGATCGTGTCGTGTTCGTACTTGTCTATGTCAGCAGCTGTTGTCAGACCCATCCGCCGGTAGTGATGCAACTCTTGTATTCGTTTGCGGAGAACAGCCTCGTCTGAGCAAAGTGAGACAAAATCCATTGGTTCACTTTTGTCGTGGACCTACAAAGAATATCCGTGACGAAAGCTTCGTAATCTTCTGCTGTTTGAAGCCTCGCGAATGGTCGAAGCCGATTGACAATATCTTTTTCCTCTTTCGGTCTCTTCTTCTCCGCAGCTTGCATCTAACACTGGTTAGTTACGGGCAAGTTGAGCGCAACGACTCGTACCTTCTTATAATCCAATAGGCCCCTATCATACATGATCGCTTTGGCCTCATGCCGTTTCGCAACTCTTTGATTGTACATTTCAATCAGTGTCAGCTTGAACGCCAGTGAGTCGTCGGTTTCGTAAGGTGGTGGTTGCATAGGCTCCTCAGCATTCTGGTCATCGTCTCCGCCAGATGGCTCGGTAGTAGACTCCTCGGTCTTGGGCTGCAATACTGTTTGGGACGTATCCCCGTTGATGGAGTAATGGCCGTTAAGATCGCCGTTTATGCCGTTCATTGACGGCTGACATGTCAGGCCGAGCAGGGGGTTTGATTTACGCTCTTCTAGCATTTGCCATCGCCATTTAACATCCGGATCGTTCTCATCCTCAATGATCTGATCTCCGCCGTACTGAAGGCAAATCCCAAACTCGAGATCCTTGACCAGTTCTTCCGCTTCATTATCTAATTCGTGTTCGAATTCGAGACGACCTGGAAGAAAGGTTGCAACCTCATGAACACCGGGGGCTGAAGTAGGTGGAACTTTCGGAGGTGGAGGGATAGTATTCAGGGCTGCCATTCGCCTTCGCTTTCGTTGATGGAATTCGTCTGGGTCGACATCGAACTCAACATTAACTTTCTAAAAATCGCTATAAGAGGTGGTTGCAACATCTGACATGCGATACCAACCGGGAGAGGCCAATCGGGTGAGTCGATATAGACAGAATTATAGTGTCCCTCCACTTCTTGACTGGTACGGGTACCAATATGCTCAGCTATCATTTGCCAGTTTCCCAATCCTGCCTTGGAAATACCCTCGATAAGCAAAAGCTCCCTAAAAAGAGACAGGAATGTGAGCATGACACAAGGCGATAGAACAGGACTGACTCATCGGCGCCCCAATCTGGTGAAAAGATAGGGTATGAATGTAATTCCTGGGTGCATGCAGACTAGTCCACTCGAAAAGAGGAAATTACCCGAGGAACTTACGATGACTCTGTATGCATGGCCGCGCTTGTGTTTCCCAAACTCCTTCCCAGCACAAAAACAAGCCGGACAAATATCAACCCCATCCCCAGGTTCGCAAACAGGATCAGCACACTTTATTCTGATGGAATGTGTCAAATCACAGAGACATGCATCGCATTGAATCTGCAGGCCAGGCTCATTGACAGCTACGGATGGGTCTGGATGTAAGACACGGAAGTCGGATCGGAAGGTCACATACTCTGGATTTCATCTGGTTGATGCTCGCGCTTACGATTTGAGACTGTCATTCCGCAATTCAACTAAGATGGGAAGAGGGGGAGCCTCAATTCGCCTTGGAGGATGGAAGATGTAGAGGTTACAAGGCATTCAAGGACGCCGCGCGGAAGAAAACGAATAGAAGGGACTTTGTGCGAGCCCACCTGTCTCACACAGATGGTCTGCTACCAGTCAGGAACACCCTGTCCTGTCGTACTCTTGGTCTTGTAACAGCTAAGAATGTTCACAGACGAGTAACACCGTGTGCAGTACTTTTGTGAGATTAAATCCAGACTAATAGAAAGGAGAGCAGGCTGTTTGGCCATGTTTGGAACCGGACCGGACACCAATGGGTTCCGGGCCGTTGTCGGGTACATACTTGAGCTTGAGTGAGGACGTGTGCAATAGCATTTCGTATTGTTACCAGGCATTCAGATAGCTGTCGAGGGCTCTCCAAGGCACAGGGAAGGAACTCAGACCAGCGTGAATAACGAGTTAGTAATGCAGAGCTCAAGTGATACAATAGCTAATTAAGTGTCGGATGGCATCATAAGCCATGAGGTACCTTTACGCACTCACGCTTACATCTCCTGCGAGAACGTCGTCACTGAGAATACGAGCGTACGCATCAGAATGCCAGCTACAACGGAGACCACGAGCTTCAAGGTAAGCCTATACTATAGCAGGGGTCACCCTCATGAGAGTCCAACCATGGGTGTAGTTCAACCACACGATGCTTCGTATCAAGGACCCGAAAGCGTCCTTGCATTTCTACACCGAGGTAAGCCAGGGTACCTGTATGTCCTTCAGAAGCACAATAAGAGTTACTCGATGCAGATCCTGGGTATGACGTTAATTCGTGGTCCGTGTCCTGTAATCCATGCGTGAATGCCTCCAAACCAGTTAATGTGCAGAATCGAACATGGGCGATTTCACGCTTTACTTCCTCGCTTACGAGGGTGAAAACCTTTCGCCTGAGGAAAAGAATGCCAATGTGTTCGCACGGCAAGGTGAACATCGCCCGTCCACCGCACGTCTCGTTTACTTAACGTGTATCCGTAGGCGTTCTGGAGTTGACGCACAATCACGGTACCGAGTCAGATCCTAACTTCCAAGGCTATTCCAGCGGAAACACTGAGCCCGGTAAGGGCTTCGGTCACATTGCCATCGGGGTGGCCAACATCGAGGAGGCGTGTGCGCGCTTCGAAAAACTGGGCGTTTCATTCAAAAAACGTCTCACCGATGGCAACATGAGGCACATCGCGTTCATCTTGGATCCTGATGGGTAAGCGATCACATCACATGAAATAATTTTGGGCGGGTTTTTGACATATCTGTGTCTTGAATGATGATCTCCAGGTACTGGATCGAGATCGTCCCCCACACTTTGAAGGTCTAAGCGAAGTCGATGAAAAGAAGTTTATTCAGCGATCTAGTTTTCCGAGCACTTGCAAACCTACAGCAGTTGACCATGAGTCGAAACACGGAGGGTTATTCATTCAGTACAATTGAAAAAGGATACAAAACACAATGTATAGTAACAGAGTGCAATGCTTGGGCAAACATACAAGGTATGTACAAGTAGTCCGCAACGAGTGCCTGGTACAAATATTGCAATGTGAGGCAATACATGTGAACAAGGTAAAACAAAAGTGTAAAGGTGTATGACGTGGACGAAGCAAGCAAGCAATAAAAAGGAAAGGAATAACAATACTACCTGCCAAGCGACGATGAAAGCACTCTGAGGGTCCGGCCGTCAATCCCGCCATGATTCCGAAGGATTGATAAAATAGCAGCCGAGTCTTCCGCCATCGCTTTGAGTGCGAGAGTAGAGGCAGCATTCTCGAGTCGCGTGAGTAGCGAATCGAGTAGTGTCATGACCTCATGCTCTGTGGTCTTGTCGTTCAAAGGGGGGAGAAGAAGATTCAAGTCTCCCTCTAGGTATCCACGTGGGTTATTCACGCCAGACGGCTGGGTCGTATCCCTTGGGTCTAGTTCTGCGTGCATCTTAAAGACACGGGACGATGCGAGGGCCTCGAAACGAAGACAGAGTAACGCAAGCTCCCGGACTTGATCCACAGACCACTGTGCCTTCACGGGTGCTACGGAGGCACTGGTTGGGGCCGAGTTTGGCACCATGAACATCCTGCCGGCCACCTGTGCGGGATATATGAGTGTTGCCATCTCGGGGACTTCCAACCCCTTGAGCTTGATCTCCCCGACGGGAATAACCTTAATACCCATGCCACGGATTGCTTCAATCGCTGTCGGTGGCTGGAACTCGGAGTACTCCGTGTATGGCCCTGTCTCTGTGATGCGAGCATTGATTTCGCGCACCACATCCGCACTACACATAATCTGTCCACCGGCCGCATGTCCACTAAGTCGAGAAGCACGTATAACCATGGGCCCAAAGTAGTCCATCCGGTTGGTGATCGGATCGGGTTCGCACACAGGTGTACCGCAGTGGAGACCCATGCGCACAGACAAACCACGGGCGATCAAATTGCCTTCCGCATCATAAGCTTCTCTGCCCTCACCACACTCGAGAATTTCCAACGGCCACGGCTCATGGAGAAGTTGCACCTGAATAGTGAGACACCACCACAGGGCGGCAAGAGTGGTCGGAAACGAACACATGAATGCATCACCTTCGGTCTTGACGACGTACCCGCCACATATGCGCAGATGCCTTCGCAGTAAGCTGTTGTGAAGGCGCATAGCAGTTGGCATACCGGCGTTTGCTTCCCAGAGCTGGGTCGAGTTCCGGATGTCGGTGAACACGAGACAGAGGTGACCCACTGGAGGAGGTACTTCTTCACCCAGCCTGGCGAGCGTTCGGTCTGCAATATCAGGCTTCTTTGGCCGACGATTCTTTCCTGTGCCGTATGCATCAGGGTCGAGTACGGAGTCCACGACTGGTTGCTTCGACTGGAACAAATCGGCGACACAAATGACCATGATCATCGTGCTCCCGTCGGACCCATAGCTGATTGCAAAGTCACGCAATTTCTGTGCAGCAATCATGGGATCTGATATCTCCGACCGCGCAATGTCGACAGCAGTCTGGTAGGAGATGTAATCCCACAAGCCACTGTTTGCGACGATAACGAATTCATCTTGCTCCATTAGCTGCCGTACATACACATCCGGACGGGCATTCACAACGGGAAAGTCGTGGAAGAAACCAAATGCGCGCGACGTATCGATGGCGTCATGGATGAAGCCCTTGGGAGAGATCCACCCCTCCGCAGCGCGGATGCGAATCGTTTCACCACGATCAAACGGATTATGTCTCTTGGAAATTACCTCCGCGCTCCCTCGACAGGATATCACGGCCAATGCCTGGCCGGCATTAGCAACGTAGAGCGTCTTCCCGGTGAGGTAAAGGACGATGCCGTCCGCGCCGGTTCCTCTGTACGATGCGTCAAAGGGCGTTGTGGTGCTCGTGGATACGCTTGCTTGGGACAACTTGCGATGCGGTAATGCTGAAGAGTATAAGGAATCGTGGAGTACTTTGTTCAGCCTCAAAAAGGTTCTTCTCAGCGCATCCGCGACACTTTCATCCTTCGCCTTATCCAGTTTGTTCAGATGATCCGTGAACTGTCGGAGGAAGTTGTCATGTAGGAACTTCGAAAGGTGGTTATTGCTCAACGCTGCGTGGGTGCGGCCAAACATAGCAAATACTGCCTCGTCTTGATTTTCCCGGAAATTCGGTTGGACGAGGTCAAACATGCTGAGATAACCGTTGTGTCCAAGGTTATCAGCAATGCCGTATGACATCTTGTTTACCTCGGAGAGCGATGTGCGTACACGGCGGTCTTCGCTCTCATCCGGGATGTTGGGCAAGAATGCTGTTGTAACGTCCATCAAACCCAGCACTCGCAATTGGTGAAGCTCGGAAAAGTCAGCGAGGATCGCTCTACTTTCCTCTTCGTTCGCGGAGAGGGGTTTGTTGCCCGACTTCTCGGGCTTGATTTCCAACCGTTTGTTTCCGGATAGATTCAGATATTTAAGATTCTTGTTGAAATTCCTGGTATCAATCAGTGAATGCTTCAGTTAACTGACAAGTATTTATATGCATACCAATTCCAATCAAACTCCCAGTTATTGATGTTATACCTCAGAACGTTGCTACCCACGTCTATCACCATCAAACTCTGCACCTTTCCTAGCTCATGCGGGAGCGTCTGCAACTTGTTCCCGTTCAAGAACAAGACTGAAAGTCGTGTTAACTTATACAAGTCCTCAGTCGGGATGCTTGTCAACTGGTTCCCGCTTAGGTAGAGCTCTTCAAGTTTCGACAAGTTACGGAAGAACGAGGAAGGCATTTCCTGAATCACGTTGAAAGATAGATTGAGCACGCGCAACTCTTTGAAGACCGTGAACGGCGGAAGCGATTCGTCAGTCAAGCGATTTTCGCCGACGTAAAGGCGCTCAAGGGAGTATGCAAGTGGAGGGGCTGGTCTTGCCGGAGCCGGGATATGTGATGATTCTTCAGAGAGCAAATTACGAACGGGGTAATGTCGTCCGCCAGGAAGGTCGGGCGGAACGTCGAGAGTGATGCCAGTCGAAGGTGGCGAAACAAGTCCAGTGCCTGGGGGCTCATGCCACACCTCCATCAGGTTTGAGGTGACGTTGATCATGGTGAGCGACGCGCAGTTCCAAATGGAGGCAGGAATGCGTGTGAGGCTGTTGTTGTGCGCATCGAGGGTCTCGAGGCGTTGGAGGCGCCCAATAGACTCAGGTAGTGCATCAAGGTGGTTGTCCGAGCATGAAAGCGTGAGGAGGTGACTGAGGTCACCTAGGGCTTCAGGGAGGGCCCGAAACAGGTTATGATCGAGTGTGAGATGTTGAAGGGAGGAAAGGTGGGAGAGAGTGAAATCATCAAGCGACGATAACTTCGCATACGAAACATCAAGAGAGGTCAGTGCATATGGCATTGGCGTCGGAGTAACGAGTTTGAGAAGGGTGATGTCATTGTGAGAGGCGTCAAGCTTCTGTGTCGTGCGGGGCCAGTGGGATAAATCGAGGGCATGCACGTAATTATGATCTGCTGAGAGAACCTCGAGATTCGGAAGTGCGTGGGTGAAGGAAAGGTCGGAAATGCTGTTCCGTCGACAATCCAGCACCTTCAGGTTGACAAGCCGGTTGAACTGCTCCGGGATCTTGGAAACATTATTTCCAACGAAAATAAGCTTCTCCAGCTGGACCAGCTCCCCTATGTCCTCGGGGAGATCTGTGATCATGTTGAAGGAGACATCAAGGTCGAGAAGTGCTGGCAGTTTGCATATTACTGACGGGAGTTGGACAAACTTGTTGTTCGATATGTTCAAGTACTTCAAATTGCAGAGCCTGGGCAAGTACCAAGGCAACTGTTCCAACCGGTTGTTCTGTAGCTTCAAGGAATTAAGTTCAGGGATACGCTCAAGTGCGGCATCATCAAGGTCTACAATGCGGTTGCAAGAGAGGTCGAGGCGGTGAAGACTTGCTGAATGTCGCACGCTCTGGGGCACCTTTTTCATCGCCATGTTTGACAGCCGTAGTTCGCGCAGGGTCGCGCATGACTGAATGAAGTCGAGCGGAATCTCAACCATGGGATTGCGTGATAGATTCAGGTATACGATGGATGCTGCATTCTTGTGTAGAATTATTGGTATCGTGGGCAGGCCGCATCCAGTGAGGTCCACGTATTCCAATTCGTTGAACTGTAAGTCCTCCTGCAAGCCATATAGTCAGACACGACCACATGCCAGTTGGACGTAGATCTTACAGGTGGCCCGAGGAGTTGGCTTTTATAAACAAACTTGAGAAGAAATGTCATATCTTCCGCAGCAATGTAATCGAGGCTATCAGCCTGATCATACCCAGCTTGTTCCAATCGACGTCGAGTAATGGCGGCAGGCCGTTCAGTAGGTGCAAGGACTCGCTCTATTGCGACATTCAGGACAAAATACACACGCCGAGACTGAAAGACATACCTCTCCCACGTTCTTTGAGGTATAGTTTGTGTGTCTCGCGATCCTGATCAAGGAGCACCTTGGCATTGAGTGAAGGAGTAAGGTCCGCAACTGTGGAGGTTGGTAAAATTTGGGCAACGTGGTAGGAGCCGTCGTCCCGGTATATCCGGACGCGCACGAATTTGTTCGTGGTAGTTGCTTGTTTATGAGAATGGCGAGACTCACGGCGGCCACGTCTTCGTGCGCCGGTATGATTGTAGGCTGAACCATCGTCCGGAGAGCGCGAACTGCTCGCGGCAAGACTTTCCTCCTCTGAGACAGAATGAACTTCCTCTTCAGGTCCAAATACTTCTTCCCTTTCCACTGCCCAGCTCTCCGGAGCAGTCCAGGCACCATCCGACATTCTCTCGTGAGGCTGGTCTTCAAGGCGGTACGGACCCAATGTTGATTTTGGAGATATTTTACGGAAGTCGTGGAAATAGTATGCGTTCCGTTTAGATGATACCGAACTTGAATTAAACGGGTCGCTAAACATGGTCGCCGAAGGTGAAGGAGGGGTGAAGCCTGATATGTCGAGAACGCTGGATGGAGATACGTTAGAGGGTCCCTCCAAGACTTCTGGGCTGACGATGCCATCCATATGTGAGATGTCTGTATCGAGGGTGAAAGGAAGTTCGCTTGACGAGTCCTTGTGAGTGAGGGGAACAGTTTTATTGAGGCGTGGTCTTCTTATGCGTGGTTTGTCCCTTTCTTTCTTCAGCAAAGGCTGAGGTGATGAGCTCATAGGGGGGTAAGAACGGAATGATGCTGCGCTGTCCTGCATAGATATCATGGAAGGATTCAAAGAAGGGTATGGATACGTCGCGAAGGTGTCACCGCTGTCCAAGCTGAGTTTTGAACGCGAGCGCTTTCTCATAATGTCACTGAGGAAACCAAGTGGATTACCCTTTCGCGAATCGTTCGAATAGACGTCAGATGGGTCTGCCAGGAAAGACTGGGAGTCATTTGCTCTGCTCCTTAAAGAGACTGCAGAGCTGCTCGAACGGGCGAACGGAATGGACGGCAAAGATGGTTTCTGAACAAAACCAAAAGAGCGCTTCGGAGGAATCCTGGGCTGAAAACCGTGGCGGGTAAGCTGAAGATACACGGACGAGAGCGGAGAAAGCTCGCCGTATGCAGCCATGGCGCGATGTCGATGTCCGGGGTGGGCTGGATTTCTGACTGAGATTCGGTGTCAGGATGGGGTAGATAGTCTTGGACAACCAGCGTCAACTCCGACAGTGAACTGGCCCTTGTCACGATGTCGGAATCCACCTGAGTGTCGTCCTTCCATGCCATTCCCTGCAGCAAAGACCGCGTTGAGCTGGTCGACGTCAAGGACTGAGGTTACGTAATCCACTGCACACAATAAAGTCGTTATTTATTTATTTCGTGATTACACCGGAGAGCGACCGGGCCGCCGCCCGTCCGCCCGCTGGTGCCGTATGGAGTAGCAGCTGTGCAACGCCAATACTGTGCACATTGTAGGCCCAAAGCGCTGCGCACCGGGCTACGTCTTTCGTTCTCCAAATCCCCATCATGTCCTCGACGACAATGGAAACATCGACCGCGACGGGGACGGCCTCTTCGACGGCCACTAGTACAACCACATCTTTCCAACTACCCTCCAGTCTCAAAGTACGTCCACTCGGTTTTGCACCACATATTCTTACGTCTCCGTCTCGCATAGGTTGTCGGCATAATACTGGCCATCACCAGTGGTGTCCTTATCGGGTCCAGTTTCGTCTTCAAGAAGAAAGGTCTCCTACGTTCACAGGCTGGGCGTACGGCGGGGGAAGGAGTCGCTTACCTTAAATCAGTGCGTTTTTAATGTAGCCCTGTTGAGGATGACATGTTTGATCGTACGTGAAGCCGCTATGGTGGACCGGCATGATCAGTGAGTGGACTTCTCACTTCAACTGACCTACTGTAACCCCGCACAACCGCAGTGATGATTCTAGGGGAAATCTGTAATTTTGCAGGTAACGCACCCACTTTGCAGTGAGGCATTCACACCGCTAATTATGCCATCCAGCATATGCATTCGTAGAAGCTCTTGTTGTTGTGCGTTCCTTTGCACTAGCTGTTGGCTTAATCCTGACCTTTTTGTCTAGACACCCATGGGCGCACTGTCCGTTGTAATTTGCGCGATTTTGTCATCAATTTTTCTCAAAGAGAAACTCACATTCTTCGGCTGGCTGGGATGTGCTCTTTGTATTGTGTGTTCCTCCATTTCACCTGCTTGCGTGCCGTCCCTCATAGATGTTGTCAGATTGGTTCAGTTATCATTGCTCTTAACGGTTTGTTCCCTCCCCTTGCGACTCTCCATCCTCTCTTATCCCCGGACTAGGTCCTCAAGAGTCAACCCCAAGCCAGATCTCGGAGTTCAAACAGCTCTTCATTGCCCCCGGATTTCTCGCGTACATCAGCGTGTTAGTCGCAATCGCCCTTGGCATCATCGTTTATTTTGGACCAAGGTTTGAGTTCATACGGTTACTCTCACCAGTGATACCCATCCCGATACAACAGGTATGGAAAGCGGAATATGCTCTGGTACCTCGCCGTGTGCAGTACCATCGGTGGCATAAGCGTAAGCGTTACCACTGGGCTCGGTGCTGCAGTAGTAACCACTGCCATGGGTCACAACCAAGTACGTTTGCATGACTGATTTAGAGCTGAAGGTTACACCTTAATAGTTCAACAACTGGTTTATATTTTTCCTCGTGGCTTTTGTGGCTGTCACTCTTGGTGCGCTGTTGTTCTTTCACTCTGTATGATCTATACTCATGCACACTGCAGTGACGGAGGTATACTATTTGAACGTTGCGCTTGCGCTATTCAACACCGGTAAGTGCAGTTAATGTTTTACGACTGAGAAATCATCTGATCTGCCTCGTAGCTATGGGTAAGGGGAATCGCTCACTGATGATTACACCGCACTGACGATCAATGCCAAGTCACGCCAACGTACTACGTGCTATGTGAGTATCTGGTGGTCGATGTGACTTGGGACGCTGATAGCTTTTACAGTTTCGTTCTGCTCGATGGTCACTACTATCGTACGTGCCATAATTTGGTCACCCCTGCGATGGCGCTGACATAAGATATACTTTCTCTACGGCTCGCAGGTCCTTTTCCAAGGTCTTGCTGCACCAGTGTCTCAAATTCTAACGCTGGTATTCGCGTTTCTTACCATTTGCGTTGGGATAACAATCTTGCAAATGTCCAAAATTGATCCTGCTCGGCTTTCCTCCCTTGACCGCCGCTCAACACTACTTCTCCAAGTTGCCCGAGCGCACACCGACAACGCCGCAACGTTCATGTATCCTGGGGCAGAAAACGATCCTGAGGCGGGCGAAAAATCCTTTGCTGCCATTGAAGATCCTGGCATTGACGCCCTTCGTGGGTCATTCGCCACGGTTGGCAGTATCATCCGCGCCCGTAGTGCCCGCAGGCTCAGTCAGTCAAGTCGGGGAGGCTCTTCTGCGCGTGGTGCCGGCCGTGGCCTTGGTGTTGGTGGAGGGATGGTCGGTAGTATGGACAGCGTACCCTTCAGTTCACTCCATCACACCGACCATGCGTACGATGGGCTTACAAGACATCAACTGTATGATGCTCCAGTACCATCCGCGGCGTCCCTGCGCAGCCCGAGAAGCGAGTCAGCTGATCGGGCTTCATCCTTCTCATCAACAAAAAGTCCGAGACCGACGGCAATCAAATTCGATTCACAAGATCTCGTGCACTCGTATGTGCCGCCTGGGAGCGCAGACACCAGCGGCGCGACGTATAGTGCTGTTCGTCCAGCTGCTGCACCGTCCAGTGGCAGTGCAGACTCGAGAATGGGTATACCATCATACCAATATCCACCAACTTCCTCGGTGCCTACCATTCCTCCGCCACCGGTATATATACATGGACAGAGCGGACAGGCTTCTTCCGATAGGAGTAGCACCGTCCATGCGCCAGCTTCTCCCACAAAGCCCCTATATGTACATCCGACCCAATCACAATCATCCCAGTCCGTCCTTGTCCCACAACGTACGAATGATGAACCACTGGCGCCGACTGCCCCTACCCTCTCGACAGGCTTTTTAACGAGAAACAGCAGTGGTGACAGTAATGGGACCGGATCCCTACTAAGCACACTGGGTGCGGATCCGTTCGAGACGCCTACAACACCTACTCCGCCATCAGGTGATTTATTCTCGCAGAGTCCTGATGACATATCAGAACTCCCATCTTTGTTTGGCGGCGGTGGCGATTCGCGCGCCGTCGGCACGAATGCAGTACTCTCTGACAGAGATCTTGAGACAGCCGCCCGTCAAGAGCGCAGGAGTAATTCCACGACACAGTCAAGACGATACCCCATACGTGGGGTGGACGATTCGGAGGAGCGGATCAGCCTATGGGAGCGTCCGTCACCTATAGATGAAGACGGGGACACGCACGGGCAACCTGGTGTACGGTTGGTACAACCTGCTCGGACAGGAGGGCGGTTCTAATTATGGGGAGACAGGGCATGAATTTTTAGGGGAATTCGCGAGGGGTGCTAGTGAGGGTCGACTGCGGATTCATTCGAGTCGGAATTACGTTGCGCTCATGCGAATTGTGACTACGGACGTATACATACTTAATTTACCGATTGGACTTTTGTCGGGTGTACCGCCCCCCTTTTTTTTCTACGACGCATTTGAGTTTATGCTCTATGTTCATGGAGTATTGAGATATGAACGAACATTCGGAATTGTAAGTGGACCCGCTTGGTTATCTTGCCGCGATGGATTGCTGGAGCTTACAGAATGATCACAGACGTCCATATAAAATAACAAGGAGGTCCTGAACTCGATCTGAGATGTGTATATCTGGATTTCGCCCCGATTTTACGCGTCATGCATATGGTTCAAGGAGACACAGTAGTCATACTGCGGTTCATAAGATAGTAAGGGTCATAACGGCGTAACGGAACAGATGGAAGATCGACAGCCCTCGTTTTGAGATGTAGTTCATGTTCGCAGCCAGCTGGTTGTGCACCGTGCGCTCTTCCTCCAAGAGAATCAAAGTTCTTTCAAGATAGGAACCCGACCGACGCCCTCCCCCCCCGCAGGAGAGATGCTTGGAAATACTCGTCAAAAAAACTGCAGCAGGACTAAGCCCTGCAAACTGGAAGATCCAGGCTACAGATCATTCAGTCGAAACTTTTCCTGTTATTCTCGGTTTGGAAGGTGCCGGGGAGGCTGTGCAGACTGGCAAAGGCGTCTCGAACTTCAGGAAGAGTGACAAAGCGAAAGCCCTCCTCGTCACATACTTGCATGCATCCAAACGGATCTGTACCGATGTAGGCTGCCGGATAACAGAAATTACGGGAGGTTCCAGGAGTACATCATCGTTGATGCAGAGACAACGCCAAAGGTAAGACCAGACCCTACCCTTCGGCGGTTATTGAAAACATCCTAGGCTTCCATCAAATATCACATTCGACAAAGCGGCATCCATTCCAATGGGCGTGGCTACGGCCGCAATTCCACTCTATTCGCTTCCCCCGGCTGGCATCAGCCTCAAGGCACCGTGGGACGGCGGCCGTGGTCAGTACGCCGGCCAACCTGCGCTCATATTCGGCGGAGCATGCTGTGGGGGCAATACGGTGAGCGCTGAGATTTCGTAAGTGGTTTCGAGTCGTTTCACCGGCATCCACGTGCAAAAGCGATTCAATTTCGCAAGAATCTCCGGCCTTTATCCGATTATCGTCACTGCGTCTCCGTACAGCACGGCCGTTGTCACGTCTCTTGGCGCCACACGTCGTCGACCACAACCAGCCATCGTCGCAGATGGCCGCGAAGGTACACAGCTAAGATGACGAGGGCGCCGATCCGGCTAGTATTCGACGCAGTCAGGGTTAAGAGCACTCAGGAGGTCGGGTACGATATCCTTGCAGACAACGGAAATATGATCTCAGTGGGCCCCTCACTGATCAAGGAGAAATAAGAGAGCTGCAAGCTTGTGATCGTTCGGGCCTTTGGAAGCTTGTAAGTACCTGCTAACTGTGCGTTTAGCATCGAGTTCGTAAAGCACTTGCCCCAGTTAATAGAAAGGGGGGGAATCAAAGCATGCATTCCTTTGCCCTCTTTGCCAGATTTGTACGGGAGCTGATTCCGATCTTCAGCCGGATCGAGTGGAGGTTCTTCCTGGTGGTCTAGACACTGGAGTTCGGGATTAAAGAGGTTGAGGGATGACCTCCTTAGCGGCATGAAACTCGTTGCTCGACCTAGTGAAACTGGAACGGGGTAAATTTATAAACGAGATCTGGCTTTGTACGTCAATTGCCAGGTTGAACTCGTAGGCATAAGCAACCCACCCTCCAGAAGGATATGAATCAGTAGAATCAAAGTTCACACGTCTTCCCGTTTCTCGTTTATCACATCGTGACTGCCTGGTGCAATCGCCGACCGGCGAGGCCGGAGGGCTTGGTTGGACGGCTACCAAAGAATCGTTGCCAAGAGCCGGGAGTTGGCAAGAATCCTGGAAACTAAAGGAATCGATGAGTATAGCGGGACCGCCCATTATGCATGGACTGAGGAGGAGATTATCTACCCTGTGAATGTGATGTTCCTTATGGAGCTTGATGCATGATGCCTGGTGAGCGTTTGGAGAGGTTCGATAATAGAATCTGAGAGAAACACGTTGTTGGGAAATGTGTCATAGATGACGATGGCGAATGTGGGGAAACTTGAAGGGAGGTGGACGAGCAATCGAAATCTGATGACTGCAGCTGAACGAGATCCTTCCAACGACATTCCCAGCGAATCGGGTGCTATCCGTCCTGAAGGAAGTAGATTAGCTGAAACGCAGAGCAGGGTCATCTCCGAGTACCGAGGGAAGGGGAGCGCGTGTGATTTGAACGGGTCACGAGAGGGATCAGACATCCAGGGACAGTATTGACTTTGAGAGCACGTTTCACAAGTTCCGGGAGGGAAGCTTAGCTTGGGAGGCTTTTCATTTACTTACTCATGGAGGTGTACTACACAAGGACATTGCCGGTGCGGGGGTGGGGAGAGGCGAGGACATCGGCCGAGTTGCTTACATCATCCAGCCTTGAGTTTTTTCTTAAATAAAAGGAACGTTGAAGCAGGACTTTTATCTGATCAGTGGAGACTTGCTTTAACGAGCCAGGCCTGTTCTGTCTTTTTGGTATCTGGGCAATCGGTCTGTAGCATTTTTATATTGACAACGCAGAGGATCGCCACACGCCCATCCGACGCGCCGTCCTCCATCGCAAGGTTGCCTTTCCTGTATTCATCTCGTGTTCCGCGTCTCCCGAGGCTACTTAAGCTAACCCAAAGACCACACCTCTCCCCCCACCCCTCCCCCCATGACCGAGTACGACTTCTCCCCAGCTGCTTATGAGCGGTATGTTGCTCAGCAGACCCGGGTCTCTAGCTGGGTCCGCGACACCAACAAACACAAGTGGTCCAACCCATACATCCTTTCCCCAACACCCCGCGATCGCACCTTCTACGATAGTCCAGATGACGACGATACCGTCGTCCTACCCAGAACAAAGGGGCACGTACGGTCGAGGACTCTTCGCAGTTATGAGTCCACATCTTCCTCATCTCGCCCCTCCTACTCTTACACAAGACTACCCACCTACCCTGATCCGCCCCGTCAGGTAGATCACCGGGAGCGTGAACTACGTCAGCCCCCGTCAAGGCATCGTAGCCAATCTCATCCACGTCCTCCTCCTGCACAACAGACCTTCCAGACTGCCTACCCACAGCGCACGGCTCATGCTCACTCTTACCCCCAATACCAGGGGCCTACCGGATCACACACCCGTCATTACGGAACTCCGGGTTCCTACAGTTACCAATATCCCACCGGCCGTGGTACCACCCCTCACCGTCCGGTGTACACTGCCCCTCCACCAGGTCACCTTTACTACCCGTCTCAGCCACATAATCCATCACGAGACCAACCGCATCATGGGCACTCGCAATCTCGGCATCCGAGCCGCAGTCAACCCCAGCCATATTACGTCGCCCCTAGTGGCGGCCCAAAAGCAGAATACAAACGCGGGGTGCGTCCTATTCCTACTCAGGTGTTTCTTCTGGTGCTGATTGTGGTCGTTTTGTGTCTCCGCTTTGGGTTTGGTGTGTTGCCGTTGGGTCCCCGATTTAATGCCGACTTGTGATTAATTCTGAACGTACCCCTCGTGTTTCGAAAATCTAATCTCCCATTGAACGCATTTGGCTGCCTGACGCCCGCCCTTTACTTTTCTGACCGGTGAACAGCCGCCTATTCATGCTCCAATACCCACAAAACCACCACAGTCATCGCAACCCTTATTCAAGCGTCTGTTTGGTTTTATGACCCCTGGACCTGTCAGCCATCATAGGGGGGACTCCACACGAGCTCCGAGGCGTTCTTCATATTAAGTCTAGCGACAACGATATCACGCAAAGAATTTTTTCTCTATGGAGATCAGGTCAGGGAAGAGAACGGAGTCAAACTCTGCTGTCACCGTGCGTAGGACGACACATCCCGATATCGTCCGCCACGCCCAACCTCACCTCTCTTTATACACTTCACGAAGATGCACGAGCCTCACGAAAGCGGATATAGAAATCGCGCAGGCGCTGTTCCTTTTCAGTCTTCGCACACGGAAATTTATGAACCGAATGCCCACCCGATGTCTACACGCTCCTTTCCTACTATATGATCTACTAAGTACGTACCTGCTGCACATAACATTCAAAGGACTTTTTCACATAGATATTGATATTATTTTCGCATTCCTCTTCTGCATTGTTGCATCATCAGAAACGCTCCGACTCAGCCCCGGCTCCACCGTTCACGTTCCCTTGTACCATACATTAACAGCTAGTGGAGGTTTGGAGAAGTACGAAATACTTGACCATACACTTTAATGGCGATGACTCTAGATAACAAATACAGAAACATAGAAACGAGATACGCGGAGATACCAAGACGTCGGACTGTCAATTCTCTTGCGATACGATGGCGACATCCGAGGTAGGTCCATAAGATCTTCTCAATCGATGTCGCGACGCCTGTCGTACGCCCCGTGTTCCGTTCTGGAAGACAACTCTGACAATTGAGCTTTCCCCATCAAGATATGGACGTCACTTCTACAGCATTCCGTTTTCAAATATCCCTCACCACCAGATAGAAACCCCGTGCGTTGGAAATCCATGGCCCAGCACACACACCCAAGGTCCGATTTGCAAATCGTGGTGCACACAGATATGTGCATTCCACGTAGCTGCGAATTATGTCTGTGGTGTGTACTCTCTTAGTGATCTTTGAACGTTCGTAGACCCTGATCCTGTATGTTCTATCGATGCCTAATGGGAATAGCGTGGTGACTCATGCATGCTGCATGGTTCTCTTCGGTCTCGCTGTTATATCACGTCGCGTGTTAACCACCCGACAGTCGTGGAAGGAGGCCACAAGAACGGGCGTGGGATATGCGTGCTTTCATGGACGAACGTACCATTGGTATGAAACTGCGCGCATTAGGCTCGTTTTCCATGCCTGGTCGACCAATTAACTTCTTTGCATATCGATTACCCGACGCCAACCTTATACATATTGCATTCCAGAAGTGCTGCCAATACGATGCCAGATTGGCAGCCAACCGTTGTGCCTACATCACACGCAGCCGAAATGAGAAGAAGCGTGAAGTTGACATCCCCAGCAGGAGCATGATAAGGTAACAATAGGCAGTGCAAGTGGTACTGAACGCGTGTCTCGTGTCTTGTGGGCACAATGCTATAAATGTAACAGTGGTGGGTACCGTGAGGCGGAGAGTCGATACGACAACTCGGGCTGCAGCGGGGTTTAAGGCCCAAGGGCATGGTTCGCCAAGGGAGCTGTTGTCAAAATTGAAGCTGACAACCTGAGGCAGATAGGCATCCTTCAGTGATTGGCAAGCATCAGAACCCAGTGCCTGCCGTTCTCGCATACGCGCCACTTACTGCGGGAGAATTCCCACCCTGGAGGGCCAATCCGGCCTAATGATCATACTGGGGGACAAGAAGCAGAACGAGGTCGAGCCTTTTGTGCGTAAATGGCTGGAGTTCCCAAAAGCACACGTACAAAGTACTATACCGAGGAAACGGCCTGAACCCAAGGGTCACCCGGGAGATAACCGAGGCCTTAGGAGAGTTCTACTGGAGTTCTGCGCAACTACTGCCGCCATCGCTGACACCCGCGTATGCCCGATTGACAGTGTGGTAGGCTCCGTCTCGCACTTGTCGTGTTGATCGCCTCTGTCCCTAGCACCACACGGAAAGTAGCGAGGGGACTATTTCGGTCCACTTATCGGTCGAGGCTCTGAGTCAGCCACGAACGAATCATGAACGGGGGCGTGAGTGAACGTTCGCACACCATTAGGTATGTATGTCCTATAACATGCATCATATGACTGATAATCAGTGATTAGTTGATTCCGCAATCAGACAGATCAAACACACCATTGTTGAAAGGGTGATCTCTGGGCCCCTTTGTCACTGGCATCAGGGCTGTCGAGAAAGCAATGGCGGAGCTAGCCTGGACATCGGGCAATTGTGATAGAGCACACATTCCTTCCGACTTTACCATGAGAAGAAATCGGACATACATACCTGGTATCAAAAGATGAAAATATTAACATTTCCTGGGAAAAACTCGGAACGAGGAAGGACTCCTGTAACGTGTATACATCAACATCAGGGACAGCAAATTGGAACGATTACCTACGAGGAAGTGGGCGTTGAATGGTAAGCATTCGCGGCAATTTACTCCAATGGAACGTGTCATACACATGGAGTTCAGTGAAACGATATGAGCCCCACAGGCTATGACTAGTCATTACTGACAACTTGGATTCTACAGGTACTGTCGGTTGTAGTAAACGAGGCACCCGTACTAAGTGAAGGAGTGGCTATCTCGAGCAAACGGAAGAAAAGTTCGAACGAAGAACAGTCATTAGCAGTAGCTGAAGGACCAGGGCCACCGACATGTAACGAAAACAGAGAAATCAATGGAGGAGGCTAAAGTTTAATACGATGGAACGAGGCATCAAAAAGCCTCGTAGGTGTTCATTTCATCTCGCGTACTTCTACAACGTTTCAACTTTGCGCGGAGCGGCCCTATATAGTGGTATGTGGGTCAGCCTATCATTTAACTAGGCGGAGGTCGCGCTGTCACTACACATTGGACACGGTGATGGGCACTTTACCACTGAAGTTCAGTTCAGACACTGTAACCCCTGCAGTCTTACTGGCATTTATACGAGAGTCGAGCCACATGCGTTCATATGAAGTTGTAGTCAGTGAACTGTAGTCGACCAGACATTTTGGGAAGGGAAGTTGGAGCAATTGGGGTGAATCCTTCCCAAAACGTCTGGAGACATTCGTTGAAACACGCCCCGCTCAGGTCACGCACCAAAAACAGCAGAAAACCTGACAAGTGCATGCCATTGGAGTTGAAAACATTATGACATCACCAGAGCAGTCCAGCACATAGTAGTAGCACAGGCTTCTGTTCCAAGTACTCATCCTTATTCTTACATGTATAACATGTAATATGTCTGTAAGAATCTGCAGCTAATAGTTAACTGCAGGTGGTCAGTAATGGCCAACGCCTAAGTATGAAACTGTACTCTCCCCAGTAGACTCAGAAGCTACTAAGAGAAAATTTACTACAGTATGTTTGCGCTTTTTCGCTTATGTAAGCGACATAAGGTTACATCCAATCTCGAGCGAGTTCGGGCACTGGCAACATCCAAAGGCCAAGAAGGCCCGCACAGCCCTAACCTAAGGTTAGCAGAGACACACCCACAGCGTGACTGACCCGGGTGTTACTCAACGGATGCTCTCCAGACGTTACTGCACCCCCGTGGCACATGCTACAAGATGGCAGATCTAGGTAGAGGAGCTAGTACCAACACTTACACACCCAAACGAGCATTCCACACTAAATCATGCTATGCACTACTCGCATGGTCATATTTTGGCATGTTTCATGTGCACGAAAAGATACGTAGACAGAATAGGATGATCGAAAGTGAACATACTGCCTTTCAGTTGACGACGGGGTTCCCACGGATGAATAAGTAAAAGCAGATGCTACGCTCGACCCACACCACAAGAGTTGCGCTTAATCCCACCCGCTGGTAGGGGCATCCGCACCCCAATTGCCTGTAGCAGGCTCTGCTGACCAGTCTGTCGAACCAGGTGCTGTATCCGCAGCCCAGTCAATGCCACCTGAAACTGTCCCCTGAGTTGATTTCTTGGTAATAGAAGCATAGTCATTACTTACTAGCATTCTGTGCCAGAGTAGGGTCGATGGCGCCCGCTTGGGGTGCATTCGTGGCGTCCCACTCGGGGAAGGTAGCAGGTGCCTCCGTATCAGTGACAGCGAGCTTAGCCTGAGCCTCTTCCTGCTGTTGCTTCTCCACCTCTTCGGGGTCGCGGTAGAAGAACATGTCTACCATGACGTTCCAACCATCAGAGGTACGTGGGATAGTTCCACGCAGCCGAAGAACTTCCCGGGCAAGCAACCACCAGATAAGACCAATCGAATGACGCGTTTTGTTGTTTGTCGGGATGGCGACATCCACGAATTTGAGGGGTGCATCAGTGTCGCAGAGTGCGATAACGGGGATGTTGACATAGGAAGCTTCACGGATAGCTTGGTGGTCAACGCGAGGGTCAGTCACGATGATGAGACGAGGCTCCTTGAAAGAGCGGGTGATGTAATTGGTGAAGGAACCTGGAGTGAAGCGGCCTGCGATCGCCTGTGCTCCAGTGTTGGCAGCAAATTTCAGGACAGCACGGTGTCCGTATGGGCGCGCGGAGATTGCGCAGACGTCATTGGGGTTCTCAACAGCAGCAATAATGCGGGCGGCCAAAACGACTTTCTCCCAAGTCTTACCGATATTGATGATGTGAATGCCTGTACGCGCGAGGCGCATGAATGAAAACCTGGCCACGCAGAGGAAACCAGCGAGACGAACCGTCCACTCTTCTTTTGTAGACGTATGGCTCCATTTGCTTATCGCAGTTTTTCATTCCGAGATGGCATTGGGCAGCGAGGAGGAGTTGTATCTCCTCGTCAGTAGCGCTCAGGACAGACGGTAGTTTTGACGACATGACTGGACCTGCAAAATGATCAATCTCAGAGTCGCAGACATATCATCCAAATGTATGTGCACGCATCCACCCAACCACGTTCACCTCTCGGCATCATCAAGAACGAAGTAGATGTCGCGCAGACGAGACATACCGTAAGGTTGTTATTGGGTTGTACGTCGACGGCGGCGACGTGGACTTGCTCTTCAGATGCCTGGGTCGTCCCCGCGACGTGTCTTGGGATCAGGAGTAGCACTCGCTCGGAATGTGCCGCTTTATTTCTCACGCCACAGCGCGTCTACGCTGATCTGCTGGGCTACATCGCCTTGGTGCCCAGCTCGACGTCCTTCACCAATTCCTGGGCCTTGGCTTCGTATCAGAAGACCTCGCGTTCATTTCGTCTGTGCTCTAGCTAATGAGTGGAACGCGTAGACTGTCTCAACGGAGTTGGGGGTAGCTGCACGGCATCCACCCACAATAATACCTTCCCAACTACGACCTTTCATCTCATCTAGACACTCCAGTTGGCCTGCTGCCCACGCTTCTGTTTCCCTCGTTATTCCGTTCGGTTTCAAGATGCGCCATGACACTTGCCTCCCCTAGTTGTTTGTATGAAGGCCTCCAGCAGTCCGAGGAGAAACTGCACCTCTGTGCAGTTAATCTCGATACCGTCTGGTTTAGTCAGTGGCTTTCCTTTGTCGCTGACTTCTTCTTGTATCATAGTAGTCGCCACGTCTTTTGCGGGAATGTTGTCTCCTCCTGCGGGCACACGCGTTTCCTGTGATCCACCACGGCTTCGTACACTTTCCCTGTTTCTGAGGACCTCTTCTCCGGTTGTCATTGCACGTCGGATGGTCGTCACTTCTCGTGCAAGGGAAACCGTTTCAAGAGCGATCATGTTGATTGTGTCCTATGCTTGACTGATATCTAGATGCATGTCCGTAAAAATGAATATCCGTTAGGCATTGAGCAAGTTAAACACGATATATGGAACATCCACGGGACTATGCAGGGTTCGTGTTTCAGCATGCAGGAACTCTATGTGAGCCTGGGGGAGTGCACGCGGGCCTCGGTCCCCACCATCGTTTACTGCTACATACACACGTGGACCACAGGACCAATCTTGGCTTCAAGAGTCACCCCCTGTCCTCATACCCTATGTTAGCAAAGCCGAGAAGTGGACGCCACATAGAAGCGAAGCCGTCACCAAGCTACTACATCTGCAAAACGGTCGAATTACAGCATACACTTTGGACAGTTTTTGAATTGTTCGAGAGCTCGGCAAGTACTGTTACTCGACTCGGCAAATGCTAAGCGCTCGTCGAGCACTAAGCGTTTTGTAGATGTACGTTCGTGGATATGACACTTTAGCGAAGCCCAGAGTCGGCGGTTGTGATGACTTGTAGTGTTGCCGCGAGGTGAACTGAACTGAACCGAGGTGACCAGTCCGACCCACTTCGATAGGGACGAGGTGTTGTTGGGAATGGCAAACACCCGAAATTTTGCTTTGCTCGAGGATCTTATGAATGCATATTTCTTTATCTATACACAGCAGATATATGCTAACTTGGAGTAGGCTATCACGCACACTCCGGACAGACCTCGCGAGGCGAACAGAGTGCAGCTCGCTCCAGTTCGGAGGTATCGAAATGGGCCGGAGTTGCCGCTTCGGGAAGTCACCTCGATCCTGCTCGAACTGAGTTCAGTTCGACAGCAACACCAGTGATAAGATAGCCGCCACAGGTTTCGCGAGCAGGGCCTCTATCACTCTGGGCAGCCTTAGAGTCCCTTATTGTGCACCATAAGCTCCAGACAACGGTATACAACAGTAAGTCTATATAGCCTGCCAATATCATAAAATATTTTTCTTGCCCTATCCAGTCCTATCCAATCTCCCTAGAAGCGACGCAGCCTGAACAGTTTCCGTACTTCCCCCGCTCCCATAGACAGAAGCGGCGCCTTTAATGCTATACCCAGTCGTAGGATGTTTTTCCAGTTCCGGTGACGTCTCTCGAGACTCTCGCTTTCCACGTCGTCGTCGTCTTGTATGTTCAGACATAGATGCTCCTGTCGATTCGGCACCTGCAAGACGACTGAGCAATGACGGAGTTGGTCGTCCTCTTAGACCAATCTTTGCTCGTTTCGGTTCCGGCATGTCCTCTGCAGAACTATTACTTCGTTTTGGAGATATCTTGGAATTGGAAGTGGCATCACGTGCATCTCTGTTCATACCGTCTTTGACAAGCGATTGATGATTTGCATGTGTCGCGTTATATTTCTTGCGTGGTAAATTGGCTGCCGAAGGTTCCAGTAGATGAGACGGTCGTTCTGGAAGTTTATTGCTCGTCGCCTGCGGTGTCTGCACTGAATCGTTCAGCGAGTTCGGCTGATTGTCCGTAAGCAACTGCTTAAATGAAGAAAGAGTCGTTGGCTGTCAATGGAATATGGAAAAATGGCCCACTGCGAACCCTGATTAAGTTTTGCACGTCCAAGGTATTTTTGTGAGTTCCTTGAACCAATAACTCCTGAAACTTGCGCATGACACTGATTAAATGTGAAGGCACGGCCCAGTTGTCGCGTTTTTTGCGCTGAGAAGAGTTACTTCGTCTCAACCGCAGACATAAGCGTCACCTACAGCGCTGACAGCCTGTAACAAGGCCTGCACGGTTCGCCAGGACACGAGGTTGTAGACCTTGGAGTCGAACAAAATCTGCATTTGCTTTGGTGCGTGAGGACTGTTGGCCAGGTAACAACAACAAACCTCCAGTAGAACTGAGCTGGCGTCAACCGTTTGGTTCAGAAGCCGTCGCAGTTGCTCCCGATTTGAAATTGGCTGCAGTTTAGTCATCTCGGCCTCGCATGCTAATAAGGCTTCGGATATCCAGGATACTATGTCCACGCGTGTTTGAGGAGAAAACTTTTGCAGAACCATCCTTCCCGTCAAGAAGCTGAGGTAAAATTGTAATAGTGTGGCGGGAGACGCCGCATGTCTGTCAATGGCGACAAATTGAGCCAATGCCAAAAAAGAGCGCGTGGAACTCGGGGGCTCATAGTTACTAGCTCGCAGTTGGAGTAGTACCTTAGCCCTGTCAAGAAGGGCCTGGAGTATACTGTCGCCTCTTAAGGGATATGCGCGGTAGTACGGAAGGGACAAAAGTATGTCCCTTACTATGAGCTCGACTTCCTGAATTTCAAGCCATGCAATTGACTATGAAAAGTTACAAAAGTACTAATCACAACAATAAACTATCGAGACTCACCAGCGTCAATTGAGTGACCAACGTTTGCTCAGCTTCAGAACCAGGTGGGTCAGTATACTTTGCGACAATCACGCCTAGTGCCTCCGTGGCTAAGAACCCTATGACAAGGGAGCGCAGCCGCTCCCTCGTTTGTCGCTCAGACTCATCGAGATCTTCTTCTAGGGGCACGACTTGATCGCACATGACGCCTAACACCGCCGGAGGGTCCATGTCCAAGTGCTTCAAAAGAGCAGCCTTGACCACCGCTACTTCCTCAGGTTCGTCTATGTACAATTTATCATTAGATTTTTTAGGATCAAAATTACTGAAGTTACCGCTTTGGAGAAGTTGGACCAGTACGTCAGCATTTCTTTTGACCCATTTGTGTTGCAGGTATGATACTTGCGTAACTGTGTGGTACCCGTCTATTCGAACCTAGACAGGGGAGAGTGTCAGCAGTAGGAGCAGAGACTGAATGCCTGCTGCTTCGCACCTGCGAATATTGATCTTCGCAGAGGTCGTATACGGCATTGATGGCTTCTTCCTCTAGGTCAGGGAAGTCGTTAAAGAAACGCGGTATTTGTCCCGCTGCATATGATCTAGATTGAAGAGAAGTTTGAGGCGAATGTACAAGTCGTATGAGCTCTTGGAATGCCCCTCTTCGCTGTAGAAGTTGCATCAACTGCTCATGGGTGTGGTCGGCAGAGTATTGCCTTACCAAAGGCGTACTACCAGCATCTTCTGCTGCTCGTTCAACCTTAGCCTTGATTCGCTTTAGGGTGTCGTCAGGATCCGCCATGGCTTTCTACAGCACGAAACGGTTGGATTAGCCTGGCGTGTAGTACGGAGCTGCCCAACTGTTTTTGCCCAGCGTAGCTGCAAGAAATGGGATTAGTCGAATTGGGAAAGTAATTCCCACGCATCATACTAGCAAAACACGTTGAACGTTGCCGCTGACGCACTGACCCCTTTCTGCTTTCTGCACCCCGCTTCGAGGATGCGAACTGCTGAGCAGACACTTCACGACCGAGTTAACCTCCCGAGGCTTGTAAAACGACTGGAACGCATCGTACAAGACGACTGGCGTGAGGATGGTCCCACTAACCCGGATTCTTGGGTCAAAGCCAGGGTTACGCTACAGGTGGGTCGGACGCATAGGCACCGCTCAGTCAAGCATACAACTCGTCTTTAGCAAATACGGCATGCTCGCGGCCTACTGAAAAAGGTGGAATTGGATGTCGCGGCCGTCACACCGTGCGTTCCTACGTGTCGCCTTGCTTGCTTTAACGGCATTGACGGTTCTAATGCAGAGTGTCAGAACAATATTATGAGCACATCAAAAATACCCTCCAACGCCTCGAGACTTATATGCTAGGGATTGAAAAGGTTTGCAGATTTTTCCTTCGTGGGGTCTAGTAGGAGTCCTTTGACGTCTCCAAACAGCAACTTGTCCCACCTCTTCAACGACCTCATCCCATTCTTCCTTCAATTCCACCTCCAGAACCGAAGCTTTCTATCACAGAACCAGTCAAGACGGAGAGCCCATTTGTTGAGACCATTCCTGACCATCATCATCTACCTCCGGTGGAGATGGAAAACCTTCTACCTGCAACGTCTGATATAACTGCAATCCCTCCATCAGAAAATGTGCACGTAGCATCCTTCCATCCTTCCGCAGTCTTACCGTCTCCGTCCAATATCACTGCTGCACCTGCGATTCTTCAGAATTCACGTGCAGTGCAAGAGGAGCTTTCGGAACAACTCGCCCTTATGGCCAGGCAGCTGCGCAGAAACGCAACCCACTTCTCTGATTCCCTAGCTAGGGATAAAGTGGTAGTGGACGCAACGCAAGAGAAGATGGAAGGTAATTTTGATTTATTGAAGAAGGAAAGGATTCGGCTTCGAGATTTCCGTGGTAAGAGCGGTGGAACTACGTGTTTGGTCATCATGAGTATCATTATTGTCGTGATTGCCTTCATCTTAATGGTGTTCGTTATCCGTGTCACTTAATGGATGCTCAAATTGTTAGTTGGTGTAGCTACTTTAGTCCGAATGCGAAGGAAGTACAACAGGTAACACAAAAAGACCAACTTTCGAAAGGGTGATTGTCTCAAAGTCCAGGTTACTGTAACGTGTGCAACGTGTTCGAAAATGCAGAAAACATGACCAGTCCCAATAAAAACACAACAATTAGATAATGTCCGGAAGAATGCGAAGACAATGGTTTAGGCAAAAAGTCCTGAATCACGAACAACATGCTGGAGTTGAACCAACTACTACAACAATGCAATTTAGACTTGGGAAAGGATATTGTCAATTGCTTGGTTCAAAAAATCCTTGCGCGACGTTAAATCCGCCCTCGGATACCAGGCAGCCATCGCGTCCCTGGCGGTCCTGAAGAACTGTCAGACAAACGGAGATTGCAGCGTTCGCAACGCACTTTTTGGTTACTGTCATCAAGTCCTGCGTGCTCAAATACGTTCTGAGAGCGTGGTATAGCTCTTCTTCAGAAGGGTTTGGGTTATTGCTTGGACCAGCGTAACCTGTCGTAGCCACGGAAAACGTGGACATGGGACGCGTGATGCCGAAGCCAGGTTGAGATACGATGCCCAAAGTAGCAGCGGGCGACATGGGACGGTTCATGGTCGACATTGCCGTTATACGTGGATCGGTTGGTGGAGCCATACCGAACGCATTCATCGACAACAACGAGATGCGTTCCTGTGACGGACCCGCCGATAAGGCGTTCGCAGAGTTCCTGTTGTACTCTGACACGGCGCGTGAACCTGGGCGGGAAGACTGGCTGCGAACATTTATGTGCGCCGCATTTGGTAGAATGTTGGTATTGCGATAGTAATCACCTGGTTCGGACTGTTCGTATTCGTAAACAGTCCGCATTTGAGAAACAGGCCTCCGGGGTTGTGGGGCGGGTAAAGGTGGTGTTGGTGCAGTGCTCTCGGAACCACCACTGCCCCACGCTTCTGCTTGGTACTCTGCAATGTTGGGTCAGTAGGACCCATCGACAATTTGATTAATATACTTACCACTGAACTTTTTGTATGGAATCATGGACTCGCTAAACTTCATGTCACCGGCTGTGGCGAGGACTTTCTTACTACTTCCATCATCGAGGACAACGCGGGTGTTACCCCAGCCAAACTCATCCATTTTCCAGAACGAGTAGATGGGCAGGAAGAAACTGTAGATAGGGTACCTGAAGAATCCCCTAGGCTAAGTCGTGCGTGCAGTTCGAGCGGCTCACTCACGATAGGAGGTACACCACCATCCAACCTACCAACATGAATTCTCGTCTGATGATGAAAATGAGGGCCTATAATTTTCGCTGGATTAGTGATATCTAGTGGAGAATGCACAAAAATCGTACCTGTAGACCGTAGACCGCCGCAATCATGGCAATGGATATGTATGGGAACGCCGACGATCCAGTCGCTACCTCGACAATGAGCCAAACCAACTATCATATGAAAAAATGAGTGTGGGTCTAATAATACAATTTCAGGTTACCCACGTAAACCACGGTGGCCGGCAATATCTGGGGAGCGTCAACCCTACCACACGCCGAAGTGTCATGGAACTTACAATAGTACCGATGAGATCAAGATACACGAAGAACCTCATAGAGAAACAACAAACTCCACACAAGTCAGGTAAAATGGCAAGTTCACAAAGGTTGTGAACGGTCGAGTTAATCCACCGGCGACGCTGCGAAAACAGAACCCTCCATGAGACTGGCGCCGTCGTGCGGGCAACGGCGTCTGGCTGGAACTTTGTCTTGTACGATGGAAAGTGTTTCATGAGCAGAGTGGTCAGGAACCGATCTTCACCGAGTGAAAACAGATTCTTCTTGTGTAAGGTGTCAACATGGCTTTCGGCGTACTCGTCAATGACCCGATTGGATATGATGAGGGGTCGACCCTTATCTGCGGTGCGAATCCGGTAAAGACTGAAGCATCCAGGCAGACACGATACAGATCCAAAGAGACTCTCAAATGCCTTTGCTAGGTTATGTGAAATGTAATATTCATAAACCTGAAGCAATGTGAATAACCGATAAGGAATCCTGTCGTCCCTCTCACCTGGATCATAGTCCACCAAGAACCTTCCTCGTTTTGGAGCTTCGTCTCACCACATATACCGACGATATTCGCATCCGCGATGGACGCTGCCACCAGTCTATTCAGGGACTGTGGAGTGACAGACTGATAGGTATCAAATCAGCAAGACGCGGGAAATAAAAATGACGAAACACGAACTGTATCAGCATCTACTGTAAAGATGTATTCATAGAACGTCGGGTCCACGCCGATAATGTCACGCATGTGGTGGTAGATCTCCAATTCCAGAGGTGACATAGGCGCATCGAAATGAACGCGGTTAAGGTACTGAAACAGCAGGATCTGACTGTCACGTTTTCCACGATTTCCCGGTTTCGAACGTTCACTTGGTTTCCCGACTTTAACCACAACCAAGTACCTTTACAGAACGAGGTGAGCGAGTGCAAACTAAGGCACTGGTGAAAACTTACGGGACCACGTGGCCTTCGAACTCATACAGTCCTGAGTACACTTTGCCATAATTGAGCTTCTGAGAACCTTCACCGATAGACTTGAACATGAGCGCCTCCGGGTTGGTCTTGATTGGGTCAACTCCAAGAATTTCAAGGACAATCTCCGGTGTGGGACGTTCGTTGCCACTCCCAATGATGTTACCATCGCATATGACGAAGATAAGCTTACGTTTGTCATCGTAGTCGAGGGCCGCGAGCGAATCAATGGTACGGCGCAGCGAATCTTCACCCTCAGTATAGCACGGAACTTGGCACAAGACAAATTTGTCCAAACGTTCCGGGAAGCGCTTCGTTCCCAGCTGAAGAGCAGCCAAGACTGTCAAAACTCTCAGCTTATTGTAAGAAATGAAACATCAAAAACACGTGCACTTCACCAGCATGGATGCCATGATAATGCTCGAAAAAACTAACAACATGTAATTCTGGACCTGGCACCGCGGGGTATACCGAAAGTCTACCTCTCCCCAGTAGAAAGCATTTTGCAGGCAGTCCATATTTGCCGTCCGGTTGGTTGCATCCATCGAGGCCAAAACTTTGTTAAGAGCTGAGGTGATATCCGTACCAGGTTGCTGCGTGAATGTCGACACGAGATCTGAGTCTAGAAAGCTGTATGCCGTGTTGTGGACATTCACTGTATCCATCGTGTACACGTAATCGGTCAGGTCGTAGATGCTGCTCTCGTAGATGGCCCAGATTCTGCGAAATGAATGAGGCAAGGCGTGGAAAAATATAAATGTAGCCCACCGTTGAATGGTCGTATCGTTGGCTTGCGAGAATATTTCACTTGGTTCCCAGACCAAAGCTCCCTTGTAATACTGATTGATCGTGGGCAAGAAATTAGCCGTGTACCAATCCGTGTTGTCCAGGGCCGATGGGTTGTATCGAGCGTTGACACCAGAGGCATGTGAAGCTTCGGTGTAGAGCATCTCCGAGCTGTTCTGTATCGTGATATACATGTACTGATTGCTGACGAGCCCAGTGCATGCCAGTTGAAGGGGAGGTGGAAAATAGTACGTCATGTCCGTCCCCGCGAGGCCATCAATCACGGATGCACTATTGCTCGGTTCCCCCGTGACATCGCTGTGATCTCCTCGTACGAAGTTCGAGACATCGTAGACACGGCCTTGGATAGACACGTAATAGTCATTGCTGGCAGTGTGCTGTGCAACTTCATTAGAAGTCCAGGCCTTGTTAAAGTCCGGGCAAAGGAGGACTCCGAAAGCGATAATATAGAAAAGAACGATCGCGTTGGCGAAGAAAATGAGGACGAAAATGGTGACCTTCTCGCGCCACGCAAGACGGACGTCAGGACGCTTCATGCGGCCGATGTAAGTGAGCAGGAAGTCCGGGATCCACCATGTGAACAGCCGAACGAACAATAGCCAATATCGTCTGACACGAGTGGTAGGCAAGTGTTCCTCGAATGTATCCTGGCCATCAACAGTAGCCAAATCACCGGGCGTTGGGAGCAATGGTGGTGTGGGTGCGTAACCTTCGGTTTTCTTGTCCCACACAGACCCCGCCTCCTCTACGTAACCGTAACCCATGGATGGCGCGCGAGAATGCGGGGAGTCGTCATAAGCGCTTGGGGTTCTCGGGATTTGACGTGGGATGTCAGGTGATTCGTCGAACAGTCCATGATCGTTACCCTCCGGGGTGCGGAGGTAATCTGGAACGTCATCTGCCGTTACGTTTTCGTCTTCTCCTGAATTCTCGCGGGAAATCCTCTTGTGTTCCTTCTCTGCAGAACGCACAACGTCTTCCACCATCTTCCATGCGTAATACGACAGCCATATCTTCTGATGGCCGAGAGCAAAATCCACGCCTTCTATCCACCCGTTCGACTGCACACATTGCCTTATACGTTCTGCGTGAGAGCCGCGCATAGTGGGTCGGTATCTATCGCAAAACTCGGCATGGTCAAAATCAGCTACAAACTCAACCCTTCTGCGTGATATGATGTCCGGTAAGTGGAGGGCGTGAATTTGTGTCTTGACACGACGTTTGTCCATAGAGTTGGAGAACCCATTGTCATTAGGGCTGATGCATGACAGGGTCCACAACCGCACGCTCTCGATGTTAGACAACACGTCCCGCAAGGTCTGATTGAGCTGTGTGGTGACGGGGTAGATCTTGTTTACATTCAGACGGTGAGTCTCGTTGCTCACTCCTGACAATGGAGTGGTGTGGCGGAGGGGAAGGGAGGACACCTGTGCCTGCACAATCGTCTCCGGGTCACTTTGGTGCTTCTCAATGGGCAAGCCAGGTCCGGACACGAGTTTAGCGACCAGTGGATCTGCCGAACTGCGCAAGATCGAGACAAAAAGAGGGTCGAAAAGGTCTGCATCTCTCTCGACAAAAGAGGAAACATCGTAGGCACACGTGCCCGCAAAGTGCTTTATGGTAAATATATTCCTGTCGTCGGGAGGCGGCGGAACAAAAGAGGGGTGGGTGGAAAACTTGGAAGTCAAGTCTTGCAAGAGTTCATTGTTCCGCCGAGAGTCGCCTCTTCCAGACTTGTAGGAGTTGACAGCCTTGTCGATCACGCCCAGGATGCCGCCGGGCTTCCGAGAGTTGCGTTCGTTAGTAGAGCACCCCTGCAGGAGTTCCGCACATGCAAAGTTGCTTATAGCGGTAACAGTTGGCAACGAGATGCCATCTGCAGCGATGCGGGCATTAAAACCTGCATCACCATCAAAGATGCTGCGCAAAACGTGAGCCTGCAAAATTTCCTCCATGGAGTTGATGCAGAATTCCTCAAAGCCATTACGAAGTGCGGAGATAAGTGGAGTGCCGGGACCCGATGGTGATTTTGTCTGGAAGCCAGCTTGGTCCAGCAGCACAAGTTGTGTGGCTGAGCACGAGGGCGTTTGTGCGAGAGGCGCCAGTTTGTAATTAGCCGTCTCGACAATGAAAGCGAAGAGGATTGCATAAAGCCCCTGAACGAATTGGTCTCTCTGTGCGGCGCTTTGCTTCGCGTTTAATAACACAGTGAAGAGCTCTTTTCGCATGTAGTTTGACTTGCATGTCAAGGCTTCGCTTAGCTCCTCTGGAGATATTCCAAGAAGCTTCGCAGCCTGTTGGAGGACTGGCACATTGATGATGTATGCAGAAACGTCCTGAGCATCAGCCTCCCCAAACTCTATATTGCCAAGAAGAAGCAAAGCAGCGAGGATGCTGAAGATGGAAGAGACATGTTTGAACTTGAACCCCAACGCCCTGAATGCCTCACGCAAGTTATCCATGGCCAAAGCGTCGTCACTGAATGGGCCAGCTGGAAGACGGTAACAGCCCGATGAAGCTAGAAGGGAGTATTCCGAGGGACCCTCAAGGCCAAGAGCATCCCGTTCCGCAGGCGTGGCACCTGCGAGGAGCTGGTAGAACACATGATATGAACGCTCGTCGAAAGACAAGCGAGTGAGACGAGACTTGTCCAGACCGAAGGCCAAAACCTTGGCGGCGCTGATGCGCCCCCGGTCGTTAAAGTGGAGTTCCGTATAGCGTGTGTGTCGTGAGGCGTTGGGATTCGTGGGAGTCTTCGCGTTGCCAAAAGACTCGAGTAATAGAGAGAATGCCTTGATTTGCTCTGCGATTTTTCGTTCTCGCTTAGAGTGAGCTGAGAGACGGAGAATCTGATCCGCCAGTAGTGTAGTACTAGTGGTCTTCCCTGACCCGGAAATGCCCCTGCATAGAATGAGCGCTCATAAATCAGTTGGAAGGGAAGAGTCATATGAACCGTACCGAGCGATGACAGCCTGTGATTCGCCTCTCCTTCGCATGAGAAGATAGACCTTGACTGCTAGCTCGTATACATGTGGTTGGGGAGGCCGACGGGTATCGATCAGGCTGAGGCTAGTGTCCTTGTAGCACCTTTCCTCGTACTCCTTGGCACTCGCATCGTTGACATTGGATAGGGTCTTGCATGGATTCACGACGACGAGGCCGGTAGAGCCGATTCTAGCGTAAGGTAAGTCTGCACGGAAACGGGCTGCAAGAACGGAGAGAACGGAATCGTCCGTCGGATACTCCTGCGGGGTGGAGATGAGGTCTACAAGGTCGCCAGAGGCGATGGCCTTGGAGAGAGACCCAGGGGCCGGGGGTGCGGCCATGTTCTGGGCAGGGAGAGGATCAGACAGTTAGAGGGAGCTGGCAGGAAGGGAGTAAACGGGGAATGGCATGAGCCGGCCTGATGTCGCCTTGTCACACACACGCACAGTGCAGCGCCCGCGGGTCGGCGGGACGATATTCTTAGCCCATCACCGCCATAGGCAAAGCTAATGACTAACTGATAATCCAACCTACTGAAACACAAGCTCGTTACAAGTCTCTGGGGAACGACTCGACGAGTCGGACTGTCTGGATTTATTAACTTGTATGTGCTTTCAAATTGAAACGCACCCCCTGTCCCATTCCTGGTTCCACGTGTCCTCAGAAGGCTCGGACATATTTGTCCAGTCAGTTGCGCCCGAACGAGACGAGCGTTTGTTGGACTAGGCTTCGACCCGCCACGTATACGTTGTTTTGGCTGGCACAAGTTTACAACGCGTGTGTACGTGTAGCAGACGTTCACTTATTCAGGGCGTCAATTCGTCGTTCGGTACCGTGTCTTGGACCCAGGGAAGCCTTTCAATGTGCTGATATCGATCATCCTATCCACTCAGTATGGTATCAATTTATCGTTCCATGTGTCCGTAACGTTCATCACAGTTGGCCGGTGGAATCTCGCTTGATCTTGTGTGGGTGGCGGATTCGGGGGTGCTTGATTGCCAACATGTACCGTTCTCACCCAGGGACATCCGTGCACAGACTGGAAGGAATGCTGCTGGTCGTCGTCGGTTAGTAAAATGCCATATGAAATCGCGAAACTGAACATCGAACGGTCAACTACTATAGCCGTCTCTCGGGATTATCATAGTCCCCGTGGTTGTGGTCTCAAAATCCAACCCCTAGTCTTCCCCTTTCCCTTTGAGCCGTTCGGCGTTAGCTGGAAAGACCTTATCGAATATCGCATACCCGAGGTGGGCGCACCATTCGAGTCACCTGCTCATTATCGGACCCCTAAAGCAGTAGCGTTGGCGTATGTGCCATATGGAAGGTCGCCTTGCGATCATACTTTTCGGAATCCCTGGGAATGGAACGAGGGCTTTCGCCCACACAACCATGTTGTCCACACAGCAGGGCCTATATTGGGCCAGCGACGCGTGCATGTCTGGACGTGTCAACTGGTGGGTGTTGCCGCGCTTTATCCTGTGTCCCTATATAGCAAGTGACTGCAGCGATGCAGATCGTCTGATGCTAGTGTTTTACGCGCGTGATTAGGCAATCACCTACTACCCGCTGGCATTTCTCCACGATTCAGGACCGCCAGGTGTCTCGAGGCTTTGTGAATTGTTGATGAGTACAAACTGGTATGTTCCTCGTTTGGCACTCATCATTTCATTTGGTCCGCCCTTCTTCTTCTGTGAAGCTCTTGTTTATTCGGGTTACCAAAGGTACGTTCCCCAAACGCTCCGGTTCTTGAGACCCACCAAACTTCCGTTTTGATATATAATACATCTCGCACAGACATGTCGCACTGCACTCTTGTTCAGCATAGGAAAGTCCACGGAACTTCAGCCGGGTACCATCCCTCACCACGCGGACGACACGCCACCCTGTGCTAGATTTCATATTATCGTCGCTGACGACCGGTCTTAAAGTCCTCCATCCGTGTGCCCATAGCCCCCTGCCTACCATCCCCGTACACCGGTTTGTGTGGATCGTAGCTGTCGCCAACGATGCCCAACACATTTACCTCAGTCGTGCAGTTCTCGCGTACGCTCTGCGCTTCTCAAATCCTGAGTATTGTTGACCCACTTCCTCAGATATTCAAGCTACAAAAGTATCCAAGTGTCAAAGACTTAGGGTGCAGGTTTCCCTAGACGGCGAGGTGCAAGAATCGCAGGAGAGTATCATGGATGACGGTATACACGAATGGCGGGAACCGTTCTCCTTGTGAGTCCTTCATCCATCTAACCAGTGGTTATCACTGAGACCCTTGGCAAGTCATGCCGATTCCAGCTCACAATGTGAAATCAACCTCATAGCCATGAAAAAGAACTTTTTTTGTTGGTCGTGTGGCTACAAAACTGTTCGCAAAACGCGTCTCCACACCCTTGCCGACTTGTTTGACGCGAGCAACAATGGGGGTGCGTCATGAGTTCATTAACTTGCTCGCTGCTTCCTGACCTTATTACGTTAGTGGTTAAACTTCCATTGTTCGATTCAAAAGCAGACAAAAACGGGGTTATAACGGGAAACGTCATATTCATGATCGCAAACAAGCCTCTCGCCAAGCGGTCAAATACACGTGACATGGATTCTCTCAGGGTATCGGGGACAGCATCAGTGCAGGCCTCCCCCTTCGAGATGGTGGTTTCGGAAAAGCTTCCATCGGTGGAAGCTGAGTTAGAACTTACCGGGAATGGGACACGCTCGCCACCCCCTGAGGCTCCCACGCTTAACGTGTCACCCCTGCCCTTAGCTTCACGCTACGCATCGTATGCCTCTCCGCAGCCATCGCCATCCGGCGTGCCTTCGCCTGATGTCCCCACCCCGCGGCATCTCGTCATTCCCCCTATTCTGCCCCCAGACCCACACTCTCAATTACCTCAGTCGGCAACAGTTCCATCTCCCACTTGGCCTGGGGTTGATCAGTTGCCGGTTAGAATCCAGGCTCACGGCGACCCAAGTGGACGGCTCTCCGATGTCGCTACTTCAGACCGTTCTCCTCTGGCCGCACTTCCTTCCTTCGAGCGAGAGAACTTAGGCTCACCAGAATCTGCAACCTTTACTGGTGTATTGTGTGAACCTCCGGATGACTTCATTCCTGATGTGGCCGTAATACCTTGTGCAGAACCGCAGGACGCAATCGGACCCATTAATATCATCATATCCTCTTCGTCACGCAGTGGTTCCCCCCTTTCCCCTCCCGGTGGACCTGAGAGCAGCAGCAAAAGGTCTCATGTGGTCTCCGGTTTCCTTCACGTAGATACTAGGGCAACAAGCACCGAGTCCTTGGACCGGGCCGGTGGACATTCATCCACCACCAGTTCGCAGCCCACGACGTCTACCACTCATACCAGCGACATCATCTCTCCGTTTTCCCGCACTTCCGTATTGGGCACACCCAGCACCGCTGCAACTAGCCCTTCGTCCCCTTCCGTAAAGCTACCCACTTCTCCCGCGAGACAGCACAAACAACTACCCAAAATCGACACCAGCTGCGCAGGTCCGAGAGGCCAAGTGAGAAAGTACACGGTACCACCTGTCAATTCCCCTACTAAACTGCGTAACGCATCGCTCGACCTTCCTCGTCAGGAGCTATCCGAGAGGTTGGAGTACAATCCCTCCACGTATTCCATCCCCCCGTCCGTTTCTTCTCGCAACTACAAACCACCCTCGGAAAGATGTCCATCCACGCAACGCCCCGCCAGCAGACAAGGTTTTCAAGCTAGCCCTCGTGCTACGAGCATTCGCCGAAAACAACTCGAATACGATGACAACCAGATATGTCTCGACACAGCCAACCCGAACGAGCAGGAAGTTGCAGCTTTCTTCCAAGAAGTCGACGCCGCATTGTCTGCAATGTCAACTCGCTCTGTAGCCGTGTCTTCAGACGGACCCGCTTACTTGAGCGTTCCCAACACCGGCAGAGCATCCGGTCCCCAGAGCCGTCGGCCTTCACGTCAGCAGTTACGCGGCGACTTTATGACCCACGCTATGAACCAATCTTCGCATCCTGACTGTCCGCCTTCGCGATTCGCAACGCCGTTGTTGGGACCAATGGGTGACTCGTGCAGCCTTTTTGTCCCGCAGAACATTTCACGCCCGAAACTTATACACTCCTGTTCGGATGTTAACTCTGGCACAGGACCGCTGATTTTTGTGGAATGTAACGACGAGGAATCCACTACATTGGTTGCAGGGTCAAGGACGAACAGCCGACCACAAGGCATGTTTCGAGTACCTTCCGATCTTGTATCGCAAGGTACATCCCCACGGCGACCTTCGCGTTAAAACATTGCCGTTCAACAGTTGTTTCCTGCGCTTGTAGCGGCGGTTTCTTTCCGAATCATGTTTGCATACCTGACCCTCCCTTCGGCGATGTCAACGGTAATGAAAACTTTGTGGAATACGCGGACATCGAAAACAACCGTCTTCCGAATCCCCACATAGTTCGTACATACCATCTCCGTTCAGTCCCTGCATCAGAGAAACGATTTCTGGAGATATGCACAGAAGCTGCCTGTATTATGAAGGGAAGGTGTGCTTTCTTCTGATATGCCCGCCTGTCGTGTTTAACCTTAGCCCGGTGCTAAAGCTTTATCTATACAATTATCTGGACGATCACTGTATTGTAACACACCTCTTAACTACTAAGTAATTTGCGACCAGTGTAACATATCTACTCGTGTACTTGTAATATCAATTTGAAGACTAGTCCGAACTGATCACGAGTACACTCTCACTATAACGTGTCGATTTCAGGGCCACAACCACGCTTGTGTTTGTAGTCTCCCGTTGGCACGGCCAAGTGATGGGAACGCCACAGGCCACGTACTAAAGGATGTGGTGGGGCGGTCATGGCACATACTTCGTGCCATACGACGCTCATCAACACGCGAAGAAAGTTCATCTGTGCACCCACTTGCAATGTATGTACGTCAGAGACATACCTACTACGCCCAAAACGGCCGTTGTGGCCGGACTCCGACTTCCCAAACACGGCCATCACATGCCAGTAGGGTACCGATGACCCAATTCCGAGACGACTACTTGTGAGTATGCATGGGCAACGTTTCCTTTGAATGCGGCCACCGGAAGTTCGCCTCGATCGGCACGGAGTCTTAGGGGGAAAAAAGGTTTGGAGGCATGCGGTGTACGCAAGGCATAGTGGCCGCACTCAACGTCACACATGTGTTCAATGATGCGTTCAAGATCCTTAGCAAGTGTCGTGGAATATCAGCCACCCAGTTCTACACGGGTAGACAGAAGACCATCGGTGGGTGCGGTCATAGCTTACTGCCGTTGCTATGTGCTCCATTGTTCCAACTCCCTCAGAAGTCTCCAGTGGAGCCTTCCTTCGCGTTTCATCTTGACGATATGGAGATCACCATACGTTCTCGCAGTTACATGATAGAATCCGTCTCTCGAGTGGGATGTCATCATTGCTATCAGAAGTGCTACCTTCGCCTTGAACGCCCCAAGGCTATTGGTAACGTCAGTGGAACAGAAGACTTCAGCGCAGCGTCCCGCCTCCGAAGTCGACATGTGCCAAAGGTGCCGCTTCACATGTGATCGCCGGTCGATCAGATGTTTTCACTTTTAATCAGAGGTCATGGCTAAATTCTTTGAGGGCTAATGGAATAGGCTCCACCACGGCAGGAACGATGCGGGTACTGAAGTCGGTCCGAAGTTGAACGGAAGTGAATACTGACTAATTACTTTGGCATCTAGAGAAATCTCAGTTCCTGCTGCTGGGGACAGTATCCTGGGGTACAGGCGCCGATACAGCCAGTGCTCCCAGCCTTCGAATTGCATAACAAGTCAAATTCTGTCTTGGAAATCCGTGGAGCAAAAGAAACCACTGGAAATGCTTCCCGGCTGGATGTAGATTGCGGGGGGAAACCCACCCACCCCAGGGCAGGGGCAGGATCAAGTGGACTGTGTGGTCTTACACTTTATTCCGAGAAGGTCGTCAAGCGAAAGAGTTGCCACAAGAAGTCACTACATGAGCTGTACGGCGAGGACTAACTCTGACGGAGCAGCTGTCAGTGCCCCAGGTACCGTATCTTGGAGAGAGACAACCCTATTGAAGGCTATCCTCTCTTCCCATCTCGGCGAAGCTAGATCGCTGAGGCCCTTCTGTGCAAAGTATGACGGTACCGTGTCCGCACGCCTCCCTAAGCGAATTTGGGGCGGTTTCTCCTCGGAAAACGGTCCCTGAACGGCTGACACGTATGTAGCAGAGATCCAGTGCACGGTCGCCGCTGACCGAATCGTTTTGGCATGTTCGTTGCGTCCAAGGACTTCCATTGCTACGTTTCATATCATGAGTGACCCACACTCAAATGCGTCCTAAGAAACACTACTTACTCATATCTAATCCGAAATCTCGATGGAGCAAACCTTAAAGTGCCTCATGTACCGTAGATCTCGAGCATCGGTGTCATCATAGTAGAGACTCTATTTCATGAACGACTCATGGTTGAGGTTACAAGTTAGCGTAAGAACAGCGAAGACAACTGAACTCCTGGGGTCGGACAAGTCAGAGGTACCACTGCAAATTCAGTGTCTGGAATCACACAGCACGGTTGAAGTGCATTTCGTCGAAAACCATAAAAGACCTTTGCTGCCACTCCGGGTGACGTAGCCATCGTATAGCCTTGTCTTAAGTGCACAGGCAATTTCTTTCCAAAAGAGTTTAGCTGTGGTAAGCCTCCTCCGGGGTTCCGATCAATAGACCCTGAGGTAGCCGCGCATAATAGAACTCAAGGGTGTCCGTATGGAAGCCCTCATGCTTCAATGCGGCTTCGTACGTCAAATTGCACGGATAGTCCAGGGGGAACCCGCAGAGAGAAATTTGTGACCGACAGGTAACATGTTACGGCACTGCAAGACAAAGCATATGGTTTGCGCCTGGTGCGGAAATCGTGATGGATTACGCAACTCGAGCCTCAACTTCATTTACGATGTTGATGGACGTGGAGGGCCACATCTTTAGTACCGTCATCTTCAGACATCTCTGCACGATTTGTGATAATGCGATGTCCTCCAAAACGGGGTAGTGACCCGAGGAAGTTCCACGTTTATCTCTGCAAGCCTGCGGCATATGTATGTAAAACATCCCGTGTTCCTGTGGAACATTGCGAGGCTACGCAAGGTTAGTACGGCTAGCGCAGAAACTCCTTCCATAACCTGGAGAGAAACCTTCTTCAAAGCGTCCGTCCATAGATTCTATACAAGAGAGGTTCTATCCATCGTAATATGACCATAATGTGACTCACGCGACCTGTCCAGATCGGGGGGAGGGCGGTTGATGTGACCGATGTTGATGAGTGACCGGAAAGCCTTGCCGAGGTGGAGATATTGCGTCCAAGGGTTTGCATGTGGGTCATGAGTACGCACGTATCTAGCGGAAATTCTATAAACAGTCCTGCCATCAGTCACGCGAACCTCCTGTAGAAGTGACTAGGGCACAAATACGTACAAGAACAACCGACAGGTCATACAATTTCGACATCACAGGTACTAGGGACGCGGGAACCCTACCGCACCGCGGCGAGTAAATTGCGAAAGAACTGGGCGGAGGAAAGTGAGGAATGGATCCTGGCGGGAGAAAAACTTTGTGAGCTCTACTCGGTTGGGTGTACAGAGGAATTCAAGAGTATTGTTCCTCACCGAAGGGTGCAGTGGTTTGCTCACATGACTGCAGTTGCTTTTTCTGCGAGAAAAAGAAAAAAAACCAAGACACGCGTCCCACAAGCACCATGCCACAACAACTATTCAGTCCAGTCAGTCACTGTGGAGAGGTACGAGCCGGTATCGCCCGGGGCACTGTGACTTGCCCACACCACTTGTTAACCCATATCCAGTCTCATTCACCTGCAACCTGTTCGAGTTAACCTCCCGTCTTCTTTTTCTCTTCTCATCGGTAGACAGTTGAAACGCCACCGCCAGGTTCGACCAGTCACCGGCCACAAACCAGGACTCGAGGTAGGAAGGCGGACCGTGTGGCCGCTGTGAATGCTAGCTTTCTAGTCAACGTGACTTAACTCCAATCCCACTTTCCACGTTCTTGCACCTCAACCCTCCTCCGGCTCGGACCAGTGGCATCAGTCTACTCCTCTTGCGACTGAAACAGCAGTTCCCTCTCGTCGCATAGCACTGCGATACGTCGTTAGACTCCACTGATGGGTATTGATCGTGGCTGACCATGTAACATACCCTGCAACCCGTGATGCTGGCGATTTTACCCTGCTGCTTTCCCTGTACATTCCGGAGAGGAGTCGGAACAGGAGGAGATGTATTCTCTCTCGATGGCTACCGGTCGGAGTTCTAAGTTCGTGTATGTCCCTCGACCATACAGCTTTTAGAGCTAACGTCTCAGAAATGTGTTTTGGACACCACTCGTTCCAAGGTCCGACCCAATTTTCGCCTTGGGAAAGCCCTGACGTGACCCTAGCTTGTAAGCCGGTACCGAATGGATTCAGGCGTACCTATTCATGCCGAATGAGACGCACGCTTTGTGGACGCCAGGTTCGCGGCGTGATGCTAGAATTCATCAGCGCCATAATAGGACTTCTTCTATCAATCATCCGGATTCTAATGGCCAAGCACGCGGCGTATAATTTCTGTTGATGGTACTTACCCAAGAAGTAGCACATCAACCTTATTACGGTAGGTATTCTCTAGACCGAGGGGAATCTAAATAACATGGGCGCAAAAAAAGAGTTTAACTAGCGCGGCACGCACGCGTTTTCCTCGTCGCAGCTGGATGTTTCATGCTGACAGTAGTGCGTCCGTCGGCAAACAATGGCTCCTCCGTCAAGAGTGCTGGTACACGAAGGTGGTCTGCATAGGTCATTGCAGTTCGCGACGAAAGAACTTTGAAATGTAGTATAATGTGCTGTCTGCGGGAGCACGCGGACTACCACCAGCTACTCCTCCGTTCTCCGAGACAGCGGACGCGCCGTACCTCGGTAGGTACGTCACACCAGTGGTTAGTATTTCCGTCATTTAGTGGCATCTTCAGCTGATGGTTTCAGCGTAGGTGCCCGGTCTCTCTAGGCTATCGTTTGAATGCCGCCAAGCATTCCTTGATGCAACTTTCCCCCCTGCGACCATCAAATCGTCACGCACGACAAGTATAGCATCGGAAGAACACGATAATCAGGAATGGTATGCAGGGTTGGATGGTTGTCGGAGTGTCTTTCGGCCGAGACTGTCGCGTAGTCCTCATGCAATGCTGGTTAGCTCGCAGTTGAGGCATTCACGGCCTGTGCAGGCGTGTTCCTGAGTCTGGTTTGAAAGGCAAGGACCCCTTCGGCGAGTCGTCACCGAGGTCTCCATGAGACAGCAACCCCCTCCGATGACGCAGACAGGAAAAATCCGAACAGTCAACCTCAGGAGTGTCGGCACAGGTCTTTAGGTTACTTCCTACGCTCGTGGAGATCCGTACTGTCCATTTCACTTATCACTTGGCCACGAAATTATAACCTACAGGAGGCATCCAACAAAGCCAGGTACAATCCAACATGCTAAAACCTAGGACGCTAACGACGGGAGATGAGAATGTGTAAGTCAATGTCAAGGTGGTGACAGTAGAGAAAACCGCATGTAAGTGTGAACCGGGACAAAATGGGTGAGTATCAGAGATCAACACGGAAACCCTTACAATCATGGTAATAAATTAGCATAACATAGTCTCAATGTACCATACCTAGGAGTCTGTCCGAATCTTTTAAAGCCTTTCTTTTCGACCAAATCGGAGCACGAATATCGTAGCTTCTGGGGGTTGAAACTTGGAACTTGAACGAGTGGGATGCCAAGACAGATAGCAATTGCATTTGATCTCCAGAACGCGATCGCTCAGTGCTCTCCATTTCTAAAGCCCGAAGAGATCGGCATCCTGGTGAGAGCGGCGACGTATGAAGAATTTAAGATAAACTTGCACTACCCGCGCTCCAGCACTGAGGTATAACAGGTATATCTGTGTCTCCTCATCAGTGCACGGTAGGGATACTTGTACGGCTGACGCCCCGCAGCACTCGCCGCTCGAAGAGTTCTGCGTGTATTCACCTCCAGAAGCCAGATGATAATCGTAGCCGCCTTCGCCATTGCCACGTTTCTGCCGTTAGAACGCCCACCACTTTCCACTTCCAAATCCTAACCCTTGAAGGCTCCGGATGCCCTTCCCTCCGAACGCCACTCTACGTCCTGAATGTCGGTCTTCTTCGTCCGGAGGGGCACCTAGGCCGGCGACGCTAGCAAATGACACGTATCCCGGCAGCTTTTTGCACGCGAGCGATGCCGCGTCTGGGTCAAATACCGGTACCCGTGTAGGTGGGTGTGGGAGTTGTTGGATATGCGAATGGGATGGATTCGGTGTGAACGATCGACGCGGAGGTAATCTTGGCGGTGACGATGATGATGTCTGTACACCAATTGCTGGTGTTTGTGAACGAATGTGTGTCTCGTACACCGGTGAGGGACGCCCCGCATTAACGGGTGAGATGACAAGATTGGCGTGATTCCTCGGTGTAGCCGGGAGTGCAGAAGTGAGTGGCGTTGGTGCGGATGGATGCGGGTGGTCATATATGCCCTGTTTTTGATGGTACTGCGATGTGTTCGGCGGGGACCGACTGGATGGTAGTGACCTAGGCGACTTCGACGGTCGCTCACGATGACTCGCCACAGGGCTTGTTGACGGGACAGAACGCGACGATGCAAAACCTCCGCGCAGGGTTTGGCCGCTTGAATGCTTTGGTGAGTGTGGCGGAGGAGTGGAAGGCTTCTGGACATCGTACTCGGGTGCTGTCAGATGAGTTTGCTCTGATTCGTGTGAATGACGCGAGTTGGCAAGTGACAAGAGGGATGAAAGAGGAGATCCCGCCGAAGACTGCAATTGGTCGTGAGTCGCTTACAATGGGAAACAGGTAGCATGGAAGACATGCACATGTGAAGAAAGGGACCAACCTCAATGGACGACGTTGCTGTTTCACGTTCTTTCTCACGTTTCACCTCTCGCATGCCCCCGTGAAGGACGTGTTCCAGGCGCGTTCGCAGTACTGCCTCATGTGGAGCTGCCTCATGGACGAACAGCGAAATGTCCTCGAGCTTTTCGTGCGAACAGGAGGGGCGCTTTGAGTCGGAAACCTTTGAGTGCGAGGAGCCGGAAAATGAGGGTGAGCGAAGGAGTTGTATGTACGATGCGTGTTCGTCCTGGCCGGGCACATAGCAAGGATGAGAGTGAATGCGGGAATGCGAGGCGAGGGAGCTGGCGCTGTTCTTCCTCCGGGAGCGGAAGAGGAGTGTTGGCTGGATGAAGTCGTCGTCTTCGTCCAACTCTGCGTCGCTGCCCACGGAGCGTGACGGGGAGCGGGCACGGGTGGTGCGGAGGGTATCGTCTTTGCGGAGGGTATCCCTGAGCAGGCGTTCTGAGCGGGAGGACGGGCGAGGGTGGCCTGGCATTGGGGAGTGTGGTTGTGAGCGACGGGGAGTGGGTGCGACTACAGTGGAGGACATGACAAGAGTGTATTAGATATGTGGTGGGAAGGCCGTGCGTCAGCCTGTCCTGGTCCTCACTGCACACACGAGGAGAGACTAATATTATAATAATATCCACCTGCAAAACAGGCTGTTTCCTCTTTGGGGCATTTAACCCCGCCGCAACCCCAGACATTTGCACCCCCAGTCTAGGCCTCGATTTGAATGGCGGAACGGAGCCTTCTTATACATCCTCCGAACTTGCCTTTTCTGGCATTCAACCCCTCCTCATATAATCCCAGTGGCATTTTACACTCCAGACATATTCCAGTCGATCCATCGACATTACTACCGCGTATTTGGGATGTGAGCGCATAGAAGCTGCTCTGACACTGACGGACATGATCCGGCGTGTCTTTTTCGACAAGCTCGAGACCCATCGAGATTCCACCCCAAAACAAATATCAAGGTGCCACTAGTCTTCTAGAACACATCAGTTGACGGTCTCTGCTCTCCCCCTCAAACATCGCCGGCCTCCTCCTCCGTTTCTCTCACTCCCGGCGCCTTCCCGACGAATGTGCATCCAGTCTCTCCACTCCCGTCGATGCGCACTTCCGAATTCCGCACGTCCTTCTTCCCGTCCGTCTATCCCAGCACAATCCGCATTGGCGACTTCCTTCTTGTCGCGATCCGACTCGGATATCACCTTAACTGGCCAGAAGGTGCCTTGACAGCTCAACCCTATTAGATCAGATAGCAGCCCCATTCGCAACTTCCTATCTTGCCAAGATCTGATGCGATAGCCTCTGAGCCTCACAATCCCACTCGGAAACATCCATGAAGTCATCATAGAAATGTATTTTCGGACGTTCCTTGGAAAAGCCATCGATTATCTCTCTCACCACGAGCCTTGATAGCGATACACGATGTTTTCCATCCACCGTTATCTCATCGGAAAAAAACAAACGCGCAAGGGTGATGTGATTAGGGCTACGCAATTCCATACCTTAATAACAGCAGCTACTGGCAACCAGTGCGACCGGACATTCTAGAGGGTAGACGCCACACATACTGATCTACGATACAGGCGAGCTGCGCCGGCCCACCGCGCGAAGTTTGTTCCTTCTGCTCCACCTTGTCTTCAAGGTGACGCGCGGTCGCCACTGTAACACGCGGAGTGGTGCAACTACCAACTGGCGATATCAGTACTGACGTCACCTGTGCGGCGTATATAAATTATGCGTTCTTATTGCTCTTTGTCGTTACGCGTCCCGCTCTTCCTCTCTAATACGAATCGCGTCAGCCTTCGGCTCCCTTACTTTGGCGAGAACACACATAAAACAAACCCCACGTTGATATCATAAGGTGACTCAACGGACTGCATCGGTGTTACTCACAGTTTCGTCATGTTTACTCGTCAGATTCAGAAAGCAAACTCCACCGTATCACCGGCGGCACATTGCTGACTTTTCAGCACCTCCACCGTACCCATCCATGTCAGCTAGGAAGTGGATATGGACATATATCAACAGTACGTGGCTAGTTGAACGATCCCACGATGACATTCATACGGCGCTCTTTTACTGCGTCCCTGGCCACGGGATTACATCGCAGAATGTTGCGGGAAGTCTGCCTGTCTTGCACACTTCCATGACATTCCCTCCGGATCCGACTTGATTTGATATACAAACTCGACGCAAGTCTACTCTACTAGCACCCTAACAGGTAAGTGACCTCATCTCCTCATTAAATTCGATCCTTCGGCTGGTAGCCTAGAACACCAACTCGACCTCTTCTTCGATTCGCGAATACCCACGAGTAATTTGTAGCAGTCATGGGCGTTGTGCCCAGGGACATCGGACAACTTCCGTGCAAACCAAGCAGAACTTAAATATTCCAACTGTCAGAAGCCATGTCCACCGCGCAACGTGTTCATAAGCACAAGTCCAAGCAATCCGTTGTTCTGGAGATACCTTCATTGGATTCGACATCCACGACACCCTATGTATACGCACCCGTTTGTCATCGGAGATGATGCCTACTGGCGTTTACAAGTACGGTCTCCAGTTAGAAGAGCGCCAATGTTGATATTGGTTCATGTTTTGGGAACGGTGAGCTCACCTTTTGTATAACCTGATAGATGCGCTGCTCAGTGATCGGGCGTCGGATTGATCCGACTGCGATGGGAAGCTACCATAGTTATAGGCGATGCATTACGCCGTCTCCAGCGGCGCTCCGCTTACTAGCGATAGATACATCGTCGAGCCGATCCGCTTCGACTAAGTTGCTTGTGTCAACTCACAAGTTTTTCTAATAAAAAAAACCCACATATTCCAAGCATAACGGCTACATTTACTGGCGCAAAGTTCCTCCCACACCAGCTTGATGAGTTATAGAAAAACTTCTAATTGATGGCCGTCCCTACGTATCTGCTTGTTCCGACGTAGCATCTGATCAGCACTACGGGGCACACTACGGGGCCCAAGTTACGACTTCTGGATGATATGATGCGCCACTAGTTTCAGGTCACATTTGCTGAACTGAAAAAATAAACTGTTTTTTCTGATACTTTGTCCTGATGATGATGCGCCCCGGCTGGACGGGGAGGGGTCATCAAACCCAAAACTGACTAGTCGAGAGTTAAAGTTCGCGGAGGCAATTTTGTATGTGCACAGTTCAAATGGACGCAAGGGAGGTTGCGCCCCTGCTGCACATCCAACTTCGCAAGGAGTTGGTCATGGCATCGGCGGGGAAGAACCTCATGTTCACGGTCACACCCCACATTCGCTCTAACCCCACGGACTGAAGAGCATGTGAACAATTTCGTTCAATGAAGCTGGGAAATGTCCGAAGACTATCCAAGGGCAATGAAGCCATCAGTGTCCAACGTCAAGCTACTTCGAGTGCTCATTATTATTAGCACCTACTTGTCAATCTTAGTGCAACACGCGTTTGTCGAGCTGCCAGATGCGCCAGCCAGAGAGCGTTCGGATAAGACATGAGAACACACGCACGTCCGTGTTCCCTCCGATGACCCCTCAAGGCCTCAACCGGTAAGCCACGCCGAACAAAAACCGCGTGAACGTTCAAATCAGTGAAGGCATGGCCTTGAACATAACCTCGCGAGGACCTGCACACCAGGGCCGTGTTCCTGGTTTGCCTTGTCCGATTAATTCACGGTGTCTTGTTCCGAGCAGAAGGTTAGTGCACCATGTTCATTGATGAGATCGGAGATGGCGTCCATGAACCTGTACGGTATTTTGTGATCGGATAATGGGTACAGTCGGTGTGTCGAGCGTACGTAGCCACTTTCGGCTTCAGTGGGGGGTTGGTTTGCTTCCGAGTCAGGCTGACAACGGGTTCCTGGCGCAATATGATCTTGCTTGCAAAGCAAGTCACGTTTCGAGTTGTCTGGGTTTCCCCCGATGTACTATCGCTTACCAACCTGTTAGCCTCCCCAATTGTTGGCCAGCTTTTCAAAATGATGGCTTCTTCCCTAACAACAGATTTTCTGTATGGCCACATGCAAAGAAATATGCATCCTTAGGTACTGCGAAGTTGAGCGATGTTAATCTATGAAGTTTTTGTTGAGATAGCAAAAACGGCGTGACAAGAGGAAGAAAATCACGCCCCGTGATGGTCATGCCGACCCATGCCGAAGCGGAGTATAAATTGTCTAACTCGTTGCCCACCAATATCCAACCCAAAAATGCCACAGCAAGTTCACAGTAGGCCTGGTGAGCATTCATACCTTCCTGTCAAGCAGTACTCAGTCATATTCAGCCTAATGATCCCTTGTTTGATCCTGCACATTACTAGCATCATCATATAGCTTTTACTAATAGGTATTCCGTCTACTGAGCCCAACATAACCGATAGACTTCACTACTATTTTACGCCATGTGCGACTTCCAGCGAGATTTCAAATTTTGGGGTGTGACCATGCGTTACTTTTTGTGACATTTGTGTGATGGCCAACAAGGGAGGCAAACAAGTTGGTAAGCGATGGTATTGACTGACTATGCAAGCAGATTAGGCACAAACAGATGTACACTTCATCAGACTGCCCCATGACTATTATGTAATGCTGTGCTGAACATCAGGTTACCACTGGCTGGACACAATTTTGCGATCACATGAATTCAGTACCTAATACATGCCAAATCTATGACGCTGCATCTGTAACATTAAACAAACAAAAATAAAATAGCCGATTGCGCGACTTTTGCAGCACTGCGCAACTTAAAAACAGTGACCCGCAATTTTTGCAGTCACCCGTCCATTTTTTTTTTCGAGTGGATCAATAAGACATTTTATCATAATATGAAGATACCCATACTACAGCTCAAAGATCTGACTACCTCGAGTAGACCTGTGGCAGACGGAAGTGCAAGTAGGACAAGGAAGAGTGTGGGGGGCGTGTCCTCAGAGCCTTGCGTTAACTGTGTGGAGGACGCATTCTCTGCGCCGCACTTCTCGTACACCTTCTGGAAAAGGCCTAGTGAAGCTTGTTGAGTCTCGCCGATCTTCTCCTCGATTTGCTTGGCAGTGACAGAAGCATCGCTGGGAGGCCTTTCGAGGCCAATTCACCAAGTTCGCCAGCGAGTTTCGACACCTTCTCCCTCTCGGCAGCATCAAGCTGCTCCTTGAACTCGTTCATTGCTATCACAGGTGCGAATCAATGCAGGAAAGTGAAGCACCATGTAGTAAATACGTACCCTTCTCTGTGTCGACACAGACCGACTCGCCCTTGTTTGCTTCCTCGATGAGTTCCCAACGGGCCTTATCTGCATCAGCATACTTCTCAGCGTCGGAGATCATGGGCTCAATGTCCTTGTCGCTCAGACCTGACAAAGACGCGATCGTCATAGACTGGTCCTTGTTGGTTGCCTTATCCTTGGCAGTGACATGGATGATATCATCTACAAGGGATGAGGAAATTATCTGAAGACCTGTATAAGAGACATACCAGCATCGACGTCAAAAGTGATCTCAATTTGAGAGACGCCCTTCGGGGCCAGAATACTGATGAGATTGAAGTTGTCAAGGAGTTTGTTGTCCCTGACGAGTTCACGTTCACCCTGGAAAATCTTGTCCTTGATGGCGGTCTGGCCATCGGCAGCAGTAGAGAAAACTTGCGACTTCTTCATTGGGATGGTTGTACTGCGGTTGATGAGTTTTGTCATGATACCATCGAGAGTCAATGCCGAGGGAGAGTGGGGTGACGTCGAGAAGTAGAATGTTGGTGACATTTCCGGCGAGAACACCACCCTGGATAGCAGCACTAATGGCAACAGCTTCATCGGGATCGACACCTTTACTCGGCTCATGACCGAAGATCGACTTCACGGACTCGCTGACCTTAGGCATGCGGGTCATACCACCAACGAGGAAGACTTCGTTCACCTCACTAGACTTGACTCCAGCATCGGACAATGCTTTCTTGCAGGGGTCAACGGTACGTTGGATCAGAGGGCCGGTAAGGGTCTCAAATTGAGTGCGGTTCAACTTCAAGTTGATGTACTTTGGACCGGTTGCGTCCGCGGTGATGAATGGCAAGTTAATTTCGGTCTGCGTCATGGACGATAATTCAATCTTGGCCTTTTTGGTGGCCTCACGAATGCACTGAATGGCCATGCGGTCTTGATTGAGGTCAATGCTTGACTCTTTCTTGAATTCGTTGAGGATGTGGGTAACAAGAGCAATGTCAAAGTCCTCGCTACCAAAGTGGGTGTCTCCATTGGTGTACTTGACCTCGAAGACTCCTTTGTGCATCTCCAGAATGGAGATATCAAAAGTACCACCACCAAGATTGTACGCGGCAATCACTGATGATTCGGTACGATCAAGGCCATATGCCAGTGCCGCGGCTGCTGGCTCGTTGATGACTTGAAGAACCTCAAGGCCAGCGATTTGACCAGCGTCCTTGGTGGCCTGCCATTGTGCATTGTTAAAGTACGCGGGGACCGTAATGACCGCATGACTAATAATAGTAGTCAACACTGGGGGACTCCTAACTAGTATACATGCAACTTACTTGACTTTCTTGTTGAGATACTGCCCGGCGGTCTCACACATCTTGGTAAGTACCATGGACGATAACTCCTCAGCACTCTAGAAAGTATATTAGTTCTCTTACTGATCCAGAGGGGTGGAAAGGCATACAAATTGTTGTCTCTTGCCACCAACATCAACCTCGACAGCTGGTTGAGCATCTGGCTTCTCGACCATCTTGAATGCCCTGCAGATGATATAAGATGCTTTCCTATTTAACAATTGTCACATGTACTAACCTGTGCTTCATGTCCTCCTGGACCTCCACGTCCTTGAACTTGCAGCCAATCAAGTGCTTAAATGCGAAGACAGTTCTGGTGGTGAGTGGACCAATGGATGGAGTTTGGTGCAGTGAAGGGCAAGAGCAGTGAATTTCTGTATCTTGGTCTTCAAGCCGGATGAGGACGGGGGCAACTCTGGGCAAGCAAAAAAGCAGGTGATAAAATGAGTACGAAGAGGCATCAAATTGAAATATGTTCATGGCTGTAGTATTCGTCTTGTCATGCGATGGGCTGTGTCGGTGGTGGTTTCGACAAAAATATGATATGGGAATCCGATGTCGACTGCAGGTGCCCACACTCACACTGGTAGTTGGTACATAGCAAGTTGTGTTGCAGTATATCCATCTTCCTCGGGCTCCTTGGCACTTGCATCGTCAGTAGTCTTGCATGGATTCACGATGACGAGGGCGGTGGAGCTGATTCTAGTGGAAGGTAAGTCCGCACCTGTGGGCCCGTGACCGTGGGAAATGGTGTCTCACTACTGAGACAGTGGCAACCCGCCTCTTCCACAGCCCAGCCTTGGTAGATAGCCAGCTAATATCCAGACCGCTCATGGAATCATCAAGAAAGTGTACGATCAAGCTCTTTATGTCCTGCGATCTGATAGTTTTCCGGATCCCACTCAGGTTTCATTCCACATAGACACACTCGCTTCAACTGCACTTCCCATCCTCGAAGCACTTATCCCTAGTGGTGCTAGTCATGAGGACGAATCTCTGCCTCAGGAGTGGTTGGTGGGTGTTGCAAGGCTCATTGGGCAGGCAGTGCAAGATCTTCAGAACGTGGCACAGGTTGTTAATATGTTGTATGTCCGATTTTCTGTCGGTGAATGGTGCTTGGCTTATTTTCAAGTGAACAGCAAGAGGTTAGTATACCTGAGCTTGTAACGGAGTCCAAGAATGGTTGGCATGGATGGCCTCAGAAGTCTGTATGCCCTGACTTCCTTACTGAGGTTGTCACCGATAATAGCCATCACATCAGTCTCAGTGAACTTGCTCACATCCTGGGCATTAGCCACATGACACTCTGGTGAACTATGTGGAAACATGGCCTGAAGTGGAGCTACACTGTATTGAGCAACGATGACTTGGATGTAGTTGTGAGGGCGTTCAAGAAACACAAACCAGAGTCTGGATTCTGCTGTTTACTCGGACACTTATGCCATCATGGGATTCGAGTCCAACAAAAATGAATATGGCGGTCATTGTCTCGCATTGATAGACTAGGTCAGCGGTTACGTGAACATCGTGTTATAAAATGCAGGGTGTATCGTGTCAAGAGGTCAAATGCGCTCTGGCACATTGACGGACACCACAAACTCATCCGATGGGGATTTGTGGTCCATGGAATTATTGATGGTTACTGTCGAACGGTGTGTCGCAGCGCTTACTGACATGTTTGATTGACCTTATGCTTTCAACAGATTACTGGTTTATGTGCCAGTACAGACAACCTCGCATGAACCGTTTTCAATGTATTCCTCAATGCACAGGCAGAGTATGGAATTCCATCATGTATGAGAGGTGATCGTGGTGGTGAAAATATCGACATGGCTACATACATGGTAGCTGTCCAAGGTCCCAACCATGGATCATTTATGTGGGGATCGTAAGTCACAACTATGTGCCAAATGCTGTCTTTTTGATGTCATGTACTACAGGTCTACCCGAAACTCGAGGATTGAACACGTGTGAGTCGAAGTTGGAACCCAATTTGTACGCTGCTGGCAGGGATTTTTTTCTCGGTGCGAAAGACTTCACTGCCTTAATCCTGGTGACAGCAGTCACCTGTGGCTCATTCAAAGGCTCTTTCTTTGGGAAATTAATGATGATTGTGAGGACTTCCAGCGCGAATGGAACCTTCATCCAATTAGCAGGCCAATGACCAATAATAAAAGTCCACAGGTATGTGAAGCATATCATTTTAAGGATGGGCCGCACTCAATTTTACTGACATATCCACAGGATTTACGGCTTATCAGTAATGTCACGCTAGGAGAATACTACGACGAATATGAGGGGATCCATCCCCTCACTATTGAGCAATATTATGGCATTCATGGCCATGTACAGGTTTGGTGGAATGGCCAAACGGGTGCGGGCCATTGCCCCGATGAGGAGCCAGAGGCCTATGATGAAGAAATTGCCACAAATGAACATAATGGTATTCTGAGAAGGGTTGGAGCTGACCTCCAGGAGCAAGTGTGCCATGAAGCAGTGGAAGTTCCTGGCAAAGGATCACCTTTCGCATGTGTCAAAGACGAGGCAGAATTTTGGTCAGTGCTTGACCGCGTTGTCATTGAAGATATCACACCAGCAGGGTATGGAGATGATCATGGGACAGAAGGTGATGAATCAACAGAGGAGCACATCGCAATTGGTCGGCAGGGAACACAGTTTGTTACAGTATCATTAGCAGAGCCCATATGGGCAAGACAGGCAAAAACCTGGTGTCAGGCACTCGCCGTTCTAACTCTCTTTGATGCAGATGGATATTTTTGATCCCCCCCTAGTCATACATGCAATGTATTTACCGTACATATAGTCACGGTCAATTCAGTGGCTGTCGAGTTGAGCACAAGCACAACACTACCAGCTTAGTCAACATTAGACAGACACATCAGAACTCAGAGTCCTGCCTCGAGCTTCAGTCTTCACTCACTCCTTCTCTCGTTGCCGGTAGTTGGTCCAATCCCTCCATGCCAGATGTTGACAAGCGGCTCTGCTGCTATTTCGATGAGAACAGAAAACAATGCAGTTGCAGGATGTTTACCGCACCTGCCAACAAGAATGCTCGTTATCACTGTCGTGAGTGCACGCATGGTTTCAGTAATCACCCGGAAGCACAGTTTAGCAAAAAATCCCCAAAATTGACTATGGATGTAAAGGTAGAGCCTGCAATTGGCAGCTGGCTTTTGGATGTGTTCCGTCAATGGAAGACATCTCGCACCATGGAGTTGCCCAACTCCCTCCAGCATGTACATGAAGAGGTCCTGAAAGGATTCCATGCTGGTAGCAGTGGGACACAACGAGTTACATCAACTAAAATTAAGGTGCGTTGGACCACTTCCTAAGCCAGTGTCCATACTCCAATATTGACGATCACAGAAACCTAACTCTACTGGGAAGCGGGTCCCATCTGGTAATCATGATGGGTCCCAGCAGGATGTTTTAGTTGGAACGTGGCTACTACTGATCAATGCATTGGATGAGGTATGTGCTATTGAACTAGCTCCTAACAAGTATTAATCACAGATTTACAGGCAGGTGAACTGATCCAGACAAAACCACTGTCGAGAACAGAAATGTACACAGCAGAACATCGGCAGTGTGTGCACACTGGTGCCAATGCAGCTAAATTCGCATTCCAGTGGGACTGGACTCACGACGATGTCAACAAGTACCTCAGAGAACACGTTTTCCCACGTCCGATGGAGTATGCACTTATGCACAAGAAGGGTAAAGGTAAGGTGAGCTGTTGTTGGAAACTCGCCTTCAAGGAGAAACAACGATTCGGACTTGCAGTGACTGAGGACCTTCTGACTGGCCAGGATCTATTCTACTATCGAGGACGGTTTAAATGTGGCACAGATTCGAGCATAATTATAGGTATGAGTTATGCCTTCCACCTGTTAAGCTACTAATATATCAACACAGCATTGTGCGGTCATGTCCCGGAAGAGGAATATGCGTCTTGGGGTCCAAGGAAGCATCAGGAGAGTAGTGAATTCCAGCCAGCAAAGCTTCGAGAGAGTAGCAACTCCATCCCTCCAGCAGCCTCGAGTGAAGACTCCGAAGACAAACGGACAATATTTGAATCCGTGATGCAGAAGCAGGGACGACTGAATTTTCCCCTCTGTGCAGACCAACCAAAAGGGAAACGAGGCCGATATCAATCACCGGTCATCGAGATCAAGAGTTCAACTGACTCTACTCAGCCACCGCCCAGCACCCAAGTTCCTCGCATCCATGGTGGATCCATCAGGCCATCAACACATAAGTCCCATTTCTTTGTTTTTGACATGTGCTCACACCGCAACAGTTTTTCTCCCATCAGGTGACAGTGACTTATTGGATGTGGCTGACCTCCCGACTCAATTGAAGGGTCTCTCGGTTTCTCCACCTCCACCCACATTCGTTGGCCAGGCACCTCTCGCCACTGTGAATCGCTATGTCTCGTTGCCCCCCAAATTTTTACAGGATCTTGATCCCTTTGGATCACTGGTCAACTCCCCCCTCTTACACCCATATGTAAATCCGTGGTCACCTGATTATTTCCTTGGTGCGGCCGACTACTTTTGATTTGGAGGTAACATGCTACTGAGTATGAATGGTCATCCACTTACATCTAACCGTAATCCACATTCATGTCTATGGAATTTTGAGGTACCACCCACATTTGTTTAATCAGCATTCATGTCGACGCAGTTACATCCTGTAATCACTTGTCCCCAGCATCAATATACCGTTGATCTCGAGGCTTAGCCCTCTTCGCAAATGTTGTTGTGGTTTGTTTACTCCTGTCAGCGGAGCCAGCCACATGTCCTGCTCGTCGACGCAAGTCCAATCCCTCTGCAAAATGATGGATGACCAAACCCAAACCATGCCCATGTGACAACATCACATGTTCTACTACGAAGACGGAACCCATGTCTTCCAGGTGAGTTACCTAGCATCGTAGTAACATCTATCAGGCTGTTTACAATACATCCAGGCTCAAAGTTCACTATTCAAAGTCCATAAGAGTGTTCTCTCCGACAAATCCATCGCCTTTAAGTCTATGTTTGCTGCACAAGACAGTACCGGACTTCCCCAAACTGATGGAAACAGCGACTAAAAACCAATTATTGTGCCTGATCAAGTCTCCGACCTAGGATTTGAACTGTTTCTGTCCGTGTGCTACAACAAGTAGGTCGATCCATATGCTGCCATTGAAAATATGCTATATATTGATGTTGTTATTTCAGATGGCGCCCAGATACTTCACAGGCATCCGAAACCACCCTTCTTCAGCTCCTTGAGCTTAGTTGCATGTATGAGTCCAAGGACGTCCGTGAACACGCCATCAAGCAACTCGCCTCTCGCTGCTATACCATCAAACCTATCACACTGATCTCCATTGCCCTAAAATATCATATCAAGGACATCTTCTGTTACGCATTCAGACAGCTCATCCCAAAGCCTATAAACGAACTCAACCACGCCGATTATGAGCTTCTTACTGTCCCTGTATGGATGACGCTCCTCAGAGTCAAGGAGTGACTCGAACTCCACCGCCGTATTGTGGCATGTGAACCACCACCTATGGCGCCAAGTGTGGTGGAATGGCATGGGCCGGTACTTGCTTGACGGTCGTAGTCCTCAGCCATACAACTCTGCGGTCAAGCAATTTGAAGGTCTTAGCTATGGGAGTGTCGACCCCGAGTGTTGGAGAGTGATGCTCACTCTTGTCAAGGAGGGAAAGGCATTTCAGCACGAAGATGATCTCATTTACCGCACAGCTCGGGGACTGGCAGAGTACTTGATCCACGAACCCTTCTTCGGCGATGATATAGACATGTGATCCTACAGTTGTACATCTAGTGTCGTGGCCATCCACCCAAAAAATCACAGGCCGTATATATTTAAAGTATTGATGACTGCAAAAGTTGCGGGTCACTGTCTTTAAGTTGCGCAATCGCCCGTTTTATTTTGTTTGTTAATGGTACAGATGCAGCGTCATAGCGTCATACAAATCTTTTACAACACACCAATGAATATGAGAAAACTAAAATTCCTCCAAGTTCGACCATTGAAATTGATGAGGAAATAATAGAGATATAGGTTTGAGCATGATGAACATCAAAGTTTTGAATTTGACTCCGATCGTCGGTGTTTGAATGGGACCTATTTCATTGCCAGCCTCTGTGGCACTCCAAGCTGTAAGAAACTTATTCTCAAAGTTAAGGCAATGTATCAACGTACACATACATACGACAGACATAAGAACTAGCTAGTATAAGTATCAGAATTGATGTTAAGTTGTGACAAAGCAGGAAAAGGACGACGAAGAACACATTAGGAAAGTTCTCAAGTCAGCAGCACACCCCATAGACATTCTTCAGTTCCTTTGTTAGTCATCAAACGTTCATCGCTGCGGAAACGTAGATTTCAACGATCCTGGAGATCACTCAGGAGGCGTAAGATGTTGAGGACTTCGAAATGAGGAACGATCAGCATCCGTGAACGTGTTGGAATGGAAGAACTTACACAGGTTGATGAAGCTGTTCACGAAGTGAGGAGACCCATGGTCAGCACAGCAGCAAAACACAATACAGAACGGAAGATGTCGAAGGGACACGTACTCAAGGTACAAACTGAGGGCACCGATAATGTACTCGTCTGGCGAGAAGCGTTTCGTGATCAAGTACGTATCATATACGATATAGCCGCTGAAAATGAGGCACCCGAGGACGGCGTACACAAGATCGAGGGTCCGACTAAACGGAATAAAAATGCCGACAATGCCAGTCATAACTACGGGACGTAGGGTAGAACATCAGTCACGTTTTACACGTCCGTACGAGACAAGAAGTGAAGCTTACGCAAAGCAATGAGACCGCCGAACAGCCACGGTCCGAGGCCGGAGAAGTCATACTACGTCGCATGTGTGAGATGAGGTTACGGGAAGAAAGATGATGCAGATGTATATACCTTGGTCTGGAGCGTGAACAGGGTCAGTCCGAGGAAAACCCCAAGTGTGATCAACCTGTGTTCAAAAGCTGTGAGTTACCGCAAGGAAGCTGTCATACCGAGAACGTACAGAGCTTGCAGCACGACGACGTTGTCGATGAACGCAGTAGCGATACCAAGGGTGAACGCCTCCAATAAGGTGAATGTACCCAGCAAGATGAAATTGAGAGGGTGGCTGTGGCGCTTCCAGTACAAGAGGCCGATATTAACCAGTGTGCCGAAGAGCGGGACATAGAAAGACCATGGGCTAAACGAAAGTGAGGATGTAAATAGTGACAGAGTAGAAGGTAAACAGACTGTGTTGTGACCCAGACGACTGCATCAAAGGACTGGGACAAGCCACCAGCTACAAGAGTCGTCGCAAGCTGTCACAAGTTTGTGTCAGTACAGGTACCGATGAAGGAAGGGCTTTCACTGACGATTTGGAAGACTGCAGGGAGAAAAGTTGAGAGGGATCATTTCAAGCATCATATGCGGACGCTTACAGAGAACTGTGTACACCTTGCGAATAAAGGCGGCTCTCACTTCCGCAACGCTGTCGGCGACAGTTACACCATACTGGTGCATCTAAACACAGGGATATAGTAGGAAGAGAAATCCTACGCACCTTGAAATCATCTGGGAGGTCGCCAGCCTCCGGTTGATCATAGATGCCTCCAGAGCGCTGACCAAGTAATGGTTCATTCGCATCAGAGGGGATGGAGAGTGGTTTCGATGTCCCGGAAGCTCGATACGACGGTGGTGGGACTGGGACGTGACTGCTTGAGCTCATCGCGAACAATGCAGGTTGTTGGAGAATAGTACTGAAGATAGCAGGATGGGCTTATATAAGGAGAGTCGAACAAAGCTGGCCATGCACGTGGCTGTGCTCCGCGTGTGGTGGCTATGCAGGAAGCTCCATTTACTTCCACTGTACGGTGACTCGAGTCGTGTTGGCCATGGCTCTGCTCATAAATGCACTCCAGTACACATCGTCACCGCAAGCATAGCCAGGCATTGAGATTCAGTCCCGATGTTGACACAGCGTTGTTCATGTTTCTCAAAACCAACGAGGAGTGAACTTGTGTAGACGGTGTCAAAGCCTTGCGTCTTCCATATCTCCTCTCCAGCTTTTTCAGGCTTTCGCGTCGATACTCCGACGAAACCGCTGTAGTGGTACAGGAATGTCTCACAATTACTAGTTAGCATGTGTGGCCTCTGGAATGCCTACGTCGATGCTGATTAGGGGCAAGACGCTTGAAACGGAAATGGTTGCGGGTTCTGGTTCAATGGTACTGGGCATTCCGACCCTCCAAGGTGATCAGGGGTGGATATCTGGATCCTCAATGGGTGGCAGTGGCTACACAGGATTCAGAGGCCCTGACGTCGCGGACCTGAGCCTAAGCCGGTGAGCATCTTGTCTTCGCGACAACACCAAGAGGTTTGCCGCAACTGGTCTCTTGGTATGCGACGAGCTTAAACTGATTGGTTCATCTGTTATTATGACTGTTGCTTCACCGCGCCCTACGATTCTACAGCAACCCTTTGAAAACTCCTAATGGAAACAAAGGGAAAACATTGCGAATTCCAGGCAGGCTGGACTGTCGCTTACCACCACGCCAGTAGCATCTGTAGGGAACCCAATTATGGCACAGCACGGTGACTGTACTGATCTTCTTCTTCTTCCAATAGTCATGATCGAGACAGCCCGAAAAACAGGCCCTCTAAATCGCGGGACCTCCAGCCGACCTGGTAATTTTCGTCCACTCACTGAAACATGGATGAGTATTCGCCATATCAATCAGACATACCTGAAGAATTCATCGAACCTTACACACCATCTGACTAGTTCAGCAATGGATTGATGACTATGTGGCTTAGGAGATGACAGTAAATATAGGGCATGCCGCTCGTGCGGCTTCGTCGCTCTACGGCTGTTTTCAAGCTGAAAGAAGGGCCTTGCTTGGAAGACCAAGTTCACGGCAGATCCTTTCCATATGCTGTTTCTCCTGTTCGCTCGTAGCATCCCCAAACGCCGCGTCCATCTCTTCAAGGGTCTAGAAAGAGTCGTTTGTGAAACAGTGGGAAAGTGACGACGAGGTGGGCATGGAGAGGTACTCACCTTCCCTTTAGTTTCTGGGTAGAAGAAGACTTAAAGTCGGCATAATTAGCTCGTCATTGTCATGAACCTATTTCGAGGAGAACACTCACGTGCAGAAAGGAATGCCAAAATAGCGAATGCAGCGAAGAAAAAGTATGTTCCACCATGCCCAATTTGGGCGAGCATCCGCGGGGAGACCAAACCAATAATGCTATTGGCGAATTGAGCGACCTCCACAGTGAATGAAGCGAGTAAGGAACCCTACAAATTAGACATCCATGTACACGACGTGGTAATGGAGATTCCCGTTGACCTGAGATGGAGAGGGAAGACTTCACTTGGGAGGACTGTTCACTGATCATTTGCACTGCACACGGAAGGATATCATCAATGAATGCTCACCCCAACCAATAGGTGCCCACGAATATGCAAAGTTCACGCCGTAGAAGTACACAAAGGCTAGCCGGAAGCGGGTCAGCACTTGCTGGAGTATAATTACTTGAACACGCTCACCAATAGCGGCGCGACCAGCAGAGGGATGTGCCGGCCAATCGTCACCAAAGGCAGCAATGAGGGAACCGACAATGAGCAAAGCAACACAACACCCGAGAGCACCAGACATCAGGAGTGGCCGTCTACCCACGCTATCAAGTAGCATGATAGCGGGGAGAGTGCCAAGAGTCTGAAACAAAGTGAGAATTATATTATATTATATTATATCGAGAACATCAGAGGAAAGCCAGAGAATTTATCACACACATTAAGGATTCCATAGAGGCCAGTTGCCAGAAGAGATGTCGTGTTGGGGTTGAGTCCAAGCTGCCCGAAAACTAATAGGAATGAGAGAAGTTCGCGGCCGGGAAAGACACGGAATAGGCTTACTGGTAGGTGCATAGTAAATTATGGCCTAAAGGAACGTTGAAATCAGTTGCAATTGCCCAATATATTTCCTTACATTGATGCCCTAACAAGGTGTCAGCGTCGTGCACAAATTGAAGATCGGAGCATCCTACTATGAACTGTTGGTAGAACATTGTCAGGCACCCAACGGCCAAACGCTTGAATTTGGGCCAAGTAGAGATGAGTGCAATGTAGTTGTTAATAAATCGCTGGAACTTGGACGCGTTGGGATATTTAAGTGCCGTGATTTCACGAGAGTAGCGAAGTTCGGCCTTGATCTCTAAGAATTCATAGCGGACAGTGAGATCATTAAGTGGTTTTCGACGGAGGGAAGAAAGGGTTTGCAGAGCTTCATCATCACGTCCACGTTCCATCAACCAACGAGGAGAATAAGGGAGAAACGCCATGCCTATACCGAGTAACTAGGTGATACGTTGTTAGGGAAGATGTCGGGCGACGTCAATGGGACAACCAACCAAGGCAGGGAACAACTGGATGCCGATGGGGACTCTCCACGACGCCTGCTTCTGGCCCGTGCAGCCACCCTCAGGAACATCGGTATATGGATCAAATGTGGGACTGCCGTTTAAGAGCGGTCCTGTGTATGGAACCCCTGGCGCACAGCGTGTACCACCAATATGTGATGTGCCATATGCAATCCAGTCTGAATTGTATTTAAATGAGAATAAAATCGTACTTTCATGTTTTGATAGACATACAGCTTATGAGAATCTGATTCATAGGCATTTCTGTTGTGAATGTTTCAGGTTTCATGAACAGAGAACCCACCCCAAGTGTAATGGAGAGCTGTTGAAGGGCAACAAGAGCTCCCCGGATATTTGCGCTCGAGATTTCAGCCAGGTACATGGGAACAACATGTGTCAACGCGCCGACAGCAAGACCAGCAATGGCTCGACCAATGAAAAGATGTTCTGCGGTGGCCTCAGGGGGGCATCAGCGAGAGTATGAGATAGAACGTACTCTCCGCAGTTGCTCCTGTTTGGAGGGCACCACCGATCAAGAATATAACGATATTCCCCATGATGTTGCGTTTCCGTCCAATCTGCACAGCGTCAGGTTGTCGATACAAATCTACCTACTGAGTCACTCGTACCTTGTCACAGATAGGACCATTTAGCAAAGAGCCAAACCATGCAGCTGAAAGTATCGGATGTTAATGTGGTGCACGGTGCCATGTATGGTGATACGAACCCAGGAGTAGGGTCGACACAAACCAACCCTGGGTATTTGGTCAGTTCGTCACGATTACCAAAAGAACCAACCGATCGACCTTGAGGTTGCTATCCATGTAGATTTTTGGGAACGCAGCACCAAAAGACTCGATCGCAAGCACATTGCTGACGACCCCCTGGTCATAGCCGAAAAGCTGTTGGATTCGTCCATTAATAATTCAATTTTCCACGCAAGAGAATAACTGCTCACAAACCCTCCTAGAGTTGCGAAGCATGTAACACCGAGTCTGCAAGCAGATCTGTCATCTGATAATTCCCAAGGCACCGGCGAGTCTTACACGAATGTGTTATCGAAGATACCTTTAAACCCCACGCGACCCCCCATCTCGGTAAGGTTGAGCCCGGAAAACTCGTCTTGGGCGACTTCACGAGTCTCCTTCACATCGCCGGAGTTGAGCAAGTTCTGTGCACTCTGCGTCATGTCGCGGATTGATGGCCTAGTACTCGTCAGAGGGGAAAGCGAAAGCGTGAGTTTGTGGAAGGTGCACTTTTATATTTACGAGCCGTCATCATCTGAAGGGGACTCCTCGCACGATGAGTAATGATCGGAAGAACTTGACCGTAAGCGAATTTGAATGCGGGAGCGGATAGGATCCACCCCAAGATTGGGGTAGCAATATCAGTAATTCATTTGACCGTTGCCTACGACGCGGGCATCCCGTGAAGTGAGGCTGGCTTCGTAGCTGGCTCAGTGATCTCCAAACCAATTCCAACAACATGATAAGCCAACCAAGATCCTCTGCACAACGCTGGCCAATAGACATGCCATTTCACACGGCACCCCGCACGGACTAATAAATCTGGAAAATCATTATCGCGAGCAAAATTTGCGCAGCCAGCGCCAATTAGTTTGCCCACGTTTGGAACGCGCCATCGTTTATGTCACCCTGGCTTCTTGGAAAACCGCCGAAAGGAACCATCATGCAGAGATATCATGTGGCACGGCCATACATTTTGGTTAGATGCAGTATACTCGTCGAAGAAGTCATAATGTGATGGCGACCTATCCACATATCTACTCCTGGTTCGTAGGGAACTCGAACACCACGTCCTTGCCTGTCAAACGCCGGTAGACGGATGAGAATGAATCCAACTTATACTCCAACGACGTGGCGTCCTTGGGGTCAAGAATCCTGTGCAAACCATAAGCTACGGCAACACTGGCAAGTTGTTGGACGTACACTTTTAAGAGCTTTGACCCGTCAGTCGCAACCCGAGTCCTCTTGCCAATGATCTCTGTGGGGAAGACAAGGTCTTCAAGTATTTTCTCGTGGACTTGCGTGAGCGTGCGGTTACGGGGTCTCTTCTGCTTGGTGCGCGAGTTGCGTGTTGGCTTGCCAAGAATCCGGCGTTGGGCGACGAAGACTACGTGTCTATCAGAAAACTTCTTCTCCAATTCCCTCGTAAGCCTTGCAAGTAGCGATTTTGAGAATGTCAATATTAGCGCAATGTGAGCTTTCCACATACCTTTGCTGAACCTTATGGAATGCCTTCAGTTGGGGATGGGGGACAAATACTACGATGGCTTTCTTTCCTCCGCGGACATCCACCTCCCGGGCAGCGGAAATTTGTAGGGGGCGAAGCTCAGCCTTGAGCTCGGGAACGTTGGTCTCTAGGTCGAGCAATGCCTGGGCAACGCTGGTCTCCGTTTCATCTGGAGCAGTGTTTGGCGCGTTTGCCGTACGAAGGATCTTGACAGCAACGGACATGGTGGTATGTTAAAACCTGTGGATGGTCGATTGTATGCATTAGCATCCAGCGCACCTCATCCGCATCCACACAACACAGAACTTTCTGCCCAAATTTTTCGCCATCAACCATCATAGGATGACGATTTAAAGCTTTTGGCATGCCAACATGATCTAGTTTGTACTCACCGAGCTCGACGCGTTCGCTGATGTCTTCTGGTGGTGAGATTGCGATGGCTGCAGGCTCTTGCGACAAACACAGCCAACGCCGAGAACGTCTGCCATATTTAGATTGGTTTCGGAGACAGCTTACCATCTTTGGGACCATTGCCGATGCACCCTCTGACCCAGCGAGGTAATACATAGGACACTACGAACTTCCATGTACCACGAGTATATTAGGGGTACACTACAGGTACTTTCAGCATTAGAGCGTAGGATTAAATGTAGGATATGAATGGGGGTCGAATTCATTTTCACAGAACATTCTGTTATCTATCATACCAAGTTCACGGGCCAGGAATTTGGATATCGAAAGGAAACCCGTTCGCATGGTACATTTCCCTAACTTGGGCGGCCATGGGGTCAATCAGGTTCCTCAGCGCAGACAGCATTGTGCTCGCCGTCATCTGCAGGCTCCAAACCCCCACTGCTCTCACCCGTCGGTTCATGTTGACTTCAGTAACGTGATACGCCAACGCATCGTACACCTGCCAAATGTGACGATCAGCAACGTTGCAATTGCCTCTATGATTGGTTGCAGCCGACCTTTTGGGATATTTCATCCATCAGTCCAGCTGTGAATGAGCGAAGTTAAATGTGAAGAAGCATTGACGGGAAATTATGCTCACTTTCCCACATCTATGGCAAAATGGTAAGATGGTTAACAGCGCAAGATTGAAGACTTACTGTCCACGCGCCATCAAAGTCGGAGAAGTCTTTGATTACTCTGCAATGGATAGGCACAAGAGTGTGATGTGCACTGTAATCGGCACAACGGGTCAGCGCGTAGCTTTCGCACGGTCCAAACTTGCACTCACTTCATAAATGCCACGATGGGCCTAATCAACGCATTGTTGACGTAGGTCAAGTCCGAGGTAAAGAGCGGAACGGAGGCTTTCAGATCTCGGAAGCGCAAGTCTATATCGATCACAACTTTAGGTTTATCTGAATCTCCTCCGCTCTCCTCAGTGAAAGGGGCGCTTAATGGGGGCTTTGCAAGCTCTCTCTGGCCCGGAATACGATCGATATTGAGTGATACCGTAGCTGCCGTGGTAATAACCTCTGCCAACTCCCCCAGGATGGCGTTGAAGGGAAACTCATCCTCGAGATCCCGAGGAAATTTGATATCTAGAACAGCATCGACTTTTCCGGATGTAATCCACGAAAGGGGTCCACCTTGATCTGTTGTAGAGTTTTGTAAATGGTCTATGTTGACACCATCGATACGTATCCTGGACTGCGTTGCGACGACCGCGTTGGGTATATTGATAAATTTTTTTAGCGCTTTACTTACCATTCGGGACCATTTTCCATCTCTAAGATCCTGTTCCGTTGTCCGTCCGATACTCTGCGGCTTGTGTAGGCTGAAAAGGCAGTTATCAAATTGCCCGACCACGTTTTCTGCAGACAGGAAATCGTAAAATAGCCATTGTTTCCGTAACTTCCGAATGTCAGCGCGAAAGATAGACGTGGTATACGGCCGGAAATCTCCAGGCTGATAAACGGTGACGAGAACGTCTTCGAGTTGAAGTGATTGCAATTCAAAGTCACCTTGGTGAGCGGGGTGGCGGAACGCAGCTGGGTCAAGGGGGTTTTCCGGATCCCAATAGACGGAACGACGATCTTTACGGTGAAAGATTATCGATAAGCTATCTTCTAGCGATCGGATATATTTCTTACCTATCACACCACGGACGCCCTTGACCACAGCGTCCTCCACGAGACCCTTCCCGTCGAACCAGCGCTGAAGAGATAAGGTAACATCGATCGAGTCGACATTCAGATCGAACATTGTGTAATTCAGGTCGTCCTCCTCGTGGCTCGGAGAAATTTCTTCGTCTTCTTCGACAGGATCGTTGTATGCGGGGTGACTACTCACATCGTACCCGACCGCTGCTCTATGTCCAGAAGGTTTCTTAGGTGGGACTGTTGGTATTGATTGAGGTCGCCGAGAAATATACACGTTTTTGAATGATATTCGGGAGTCCTTCCATTTTGGTACGATGGCGGACTCGAAGATAACAGTAACCCCCCTTTCACTAGTTAAATAATTGGAAATACCTCGGGCAACGTATTCTGATCAACCAGTAAACAGTCAGTGGGTGTCTGCATGCCATACATAGGTCACTCACCTTGTAGTCGCAAACTATTGGCAGTAGCGAAGACAACCGAAAAAAAAGTGGTTCTGAAAATGTGTATGTCAGGCAATGAGCATCCTACATCTGTGCTCTACTCACGTGCCGATGAAGATCCACAGTGTTTGGCTCATAAGGAACCAGGTAATGAACGCAGATATGTCGTCGGCATTGAATTTTCGAAATGACCTGATGGTGAACCACTTGAAGCGTATGCGCAACCGCTGCCAGAAGCCGTCTGCGACTTTGAGGAAATCATCCCTGGTGGGACGGTGCAGGTGGGAAAGTGACACCGCTAACCTGCGATACAGTTTTGGATAATTTTCCCAGTTCAAAGGCGGCGGCGAGTCCATCTTTTGGCTACTACCCCCCGGAGTGCTGTCGACACCACGCTGCGAATTATGCTCGGAACTTGAGTGATTGCGGCACGTAAGAACCCTGCATCTACCCGAAGGGTTTGCTCCTTCCAGACCACGGGACCGTATACTTGAAACCATGTTCGAACCAATGTCTCGTTTAACAGGTTGATTCGCAGTGGATGTCATGAGCTGCTGTTTGAAAAAGAGGCGAATGGTGCTGTAACGGTCGACATTTGATTGGAATGTGCCACGACCAGCGTGACGAAAAATGGCATTTTGTCGGCTGAGCAGACGAAAACCGGGGTTTTTAGGTGCAAGCAAGGAGGGGCCCACCATGGCCAAACGCAGAGACGGCGAGATGCATGGAGAAGAGCACTTATGTCACCGAGCTTACGGAATAATGTCAATAACGCGTCGATCACACGGCGACTAGCCCACATGCACTCAAGTATTACGGTAAGTAATATTGACATGACCCAGTGTATCATACCTATACATATGGCCCAATAACTCAAGGAAGCGAAAGCGTGGTACGTGACAAGCACTACTAGTAGGCACCCTCGTCTACTACGTTTGGCAAGGCACAGTCGCTTCCTTCCCTTTACCTATCTTATCTACTACCCTCAATTCACTGGGCGATCCTGAGGAAATCCTGAGGGCTTCAAAGGTGATTACTTACAGCGGCAGTTGATTAAGTAGAGCGTACAACTCTAATGTTATATAACGTATTCATGGAAAATAGCGCCTCCGGAAAAACCTCAGGTCAATCTGGCTTGTAACACTTCTCTGACTGCTTCCCAGTCGATATTATCAATAAGCGGGTCTGTTTCGTGCGTACGTGACCGACACCTTCCTTTGCCCTTCTTTGTCTTATTCCCTGCGCGGTTGCTAACCATAACTTGTCCCGCTTGCTGTGCAAGGTGTTTGACTTCAGCAAGCTCATTGGTTGCCTGGGCACGTAAGAATGCGGGGCTGTCCGCGCGATGTGTGAGACAATTAGAAGGATGATATCCAGTCAGGTCATCCGTAAACGGTGAAGCGGCCTCTACAGCCATTGCTCTGCCATCCCTCCACAAAGAGCCTTTATGAGTCTTTCCCAGTAACTCGGCGATGTTTAAGCTCTCTCCTGGAGGTATTGACGTAGGATGCGAAGGTGTGAAACAGGGCATATCAACCTCCTTACGCAAGACGTGGTCAATATCTACAGCCGAGAAGAAGGCTACGCTCTGAGGGAGATCGTCCATCCCCAATTTGAATGCAAACAAGCTGCGCGTCCAGAGGTTCGCGATCTGCAGTGCGAGTGCCGCACGGTATCGGTCTTCCTCGGCGACGAGGTAGCGGAGTTCGTCATGGACCGAAATTAGGTAGCGGGCTGCAATGTCGTACTTGGATATAAGATAGCTCATGGCCACGATCAGGAGATGTAGGTAGTCCACCCCCGACGACTGGACAACCCAATTGATGCGTGACGTCATGAAGTCGGCGCCAAACTCCTCCGGTAGATTCTCCTTTGACAACGCGGCAGTAATACCGCAACCCAGAGCAGGCGTCTGAGGTCGGTCTGAAAGTGCAATCTCCTCAAGTTTGTTGAAGACAAAGCTCTCGGTGCCGCCATACCAAAACTTTCGTCCGAAAAGATCAGGGCGGTAGGTGTTCTTACCCTTGGTTGTCGCATACAAGTTTTCCGCTAGCTTCTGCGCTTGGTCGGGGTGCATGCTCGCATTAGACTGGAGCAACAGCAAAACAGCATGTCGCATACCCGCGCCGTAGATACGCGAGTAATTGAACACCTTAGCCTGATCCCGTGATATGCCCAGGATGCTGGCTGTCTTGGAATGTAAGTCTGTGCCCGCTGCTTTCGTCCCCTCCAGGGTCATCCACCCAAGTGCTGTAGCACCATGAAGGCCAAATTGTGCATCTCCCATACAGCTCGAAATCCAAAGTTCCTCAGAGTCGACGTCCGCACCAACAATGGCATATCCCTTGGGTGCCCGCACCATCGCTTTCAGCTCCGAACCAACCCTGTTCTTCTTTGCATTACTTGCTGTAAGCCATGTCTTCTCGATCGCCCGCCGCGTGACTGTACCCATCGTGATGACCTGGGGAAGAATCATACCCCACTTCTGTGGGGGTCCCGGTGAGTTGACCTCATCCTTTATCCCCATGTCGACGTTGTTACCCTGCCAGACAACCATCTGGTTCAGAATTCGGTCACGCGCACTGATCCAGTAGCTACACTGTGCGTTCATGTCCAGTGCATCGTTTGCTTCCCCTCCTGGACTCGTTAATGTGCCGTCCTGGGCGTACTTCATGAATGTCTTCCCCAATGGGCTGCCTACGTTTGCCTTGTCACCGTCCTTGTGTGGGAGCTTGAAGAAGACATAGTCGCCCTGGCTCATTTCCGCTAATGCATCATCGGCACGGTCGAAAAAGTCGAGGGGCGATAAGCGAGTGGAGAATTTGGCGTCCTTACGAACACGAAATGTCCACCCGTGTTCGCGCGAGTAGAAGAGTGGCCACCCTAGCCATGACAGTTGCAAAAGAATCGGGGCTACCCGATTACGAACTGTGATATCGAGGCTGCCGGGAGGCATACCCTTCTTAGGCCGCGCAAGATCCCAATACCACTTCGGCCATGAGACACTGAGCTGTTGGTCCTTTCCAGATGACGACGCTAATGATAGACTGGGTTCGTTCGAGGTAGAAACACTGTCGACTGGTGACCAGTCTAACTGGCACAGGGATGGGTCGTCCTCGTAACTCTGGAGGTCTACGAGCGATCTTGCAAGTGCAAGAACGCGTTCCGCAAGCTTAGGATCACCCTTGCCACAGGATATGTCGTAAGCCATCGAACAGTCAGAGGCACACAGTCTCCCGCTTTTCAAATTGGGTAATCCATGGGTTGTTGATAGGATCGTAATCGTCTTCTTCTTCCCTGCAGTAGGTAGGCGGAAGAGCACACCATCCTGGACATAATGCCACTTGTCATCTACGGTATACCGGAGTGGATGACCATCAAAAGACATCTTCAATAGAAACGGGAGCATGCGATTGACGATGCTAGGATGGAGAGGTCCCTTTTTGACAAGCTCCCTGAACCACGCAGGCTGCATGGGTTTTCCTTTGGAGTCTAGTTCAGAATCAGCTACCTATGACATCGTCAGCACGTGTCCAATGAATCTGTAACAAACATACCTGATGCCCGGCAATGACACCTCGCGATTTGCCTGCGACTTTGGGGGTCCAATCGAGCTGAGCTAGCCACGGGCTCTCCTTCCACAAACCATCCTCCATCATCAATTTGGCCTCTTCTGCAAGATCTATCAGTCGCTTCTTCACCTTTGCCTCCAAGTCATGGTATGTCCGTTCCGCATTATTTAGGTATGTTTCCCAAGACTCGTTTACAGTGAGGAAACTAGAACCCATCGCTAGAATTCCGGCAAAGGAGACAGGGCTGGGACATAGCTGAAGAAAAGACGGGAGTACCCGTAAGAATACCTTATGCGTGACGTACACATCATTTGCACAGTAATTCAGGAAGTCGTGAATATGCTCGAGTACATCGGATGAGCTGGCCTTCATAAATTCCTCCCGTATTCCCTTGTCGATGTCGATATTGCAGTGCAACTTGGCGACATCTGCAAGGGAATTAGCGGACGTCAAGTCCTCCCACGTCCTCTTTGATTCCTCGTCAATATCCATGTTGAAGTCTTCCGATTGAAGTTGCGAAAGGCCCTCTTCTAGCTCACTGCGAAGGTGGCGAAGCTCGGCGCATCTTTCATCGTCTGCTTCCCGTTCGTACTGAACTTCAACGTTCTGCAACATTCCAACGACCATTTCAACCGCCTCCTCGCGTCGCTCACGCTTCTCCGCCTTCGACTTGCGATGTTTCATCCATGCAGGTCGTTGGTGGGAAGATATGCCTTTCACAGCGACATGGAGCGCCATGGTATCGAGGAAGCGCGTTTGTGTCCCCCTCAAACTATACTCTTCTAGGATCCGTTGGCGGTCATATGAAACGTTGTGCCCGACCACAACGCGTGGGATGTCTGGCGGCCCCAATGATACCAGGTGTTCTACATCGCTGGACTCCCCTAAGAGCCATGGGGATATCCAAGCGTACCAGGCATTCTTGGAAGCTGCGCAAGCAATGACGGCGTACGGGTGGTAGGACGGCATCGTTTCAACATCAAAAACGAGAATTTCTTCTGGTTTGCCGTCGTGCTGCGGGTACTCGACATATTCACTGTAGCTCGACCCGTCTGAGTGGAAATAGTACTTCGTCCAACCCGACTGTATATCCCAATAGTCTGGTCTTGGCGGGAGCTCGGAACTTGCGAGATCTCGGGCAAGGGACAACCAAGGTTGCGAAGCCTGCAACCCAATGCAGTAGAAATGTTCGTCAATGGTAGACCCTTGCAGAGGTGGCAGCGCAAACCCAATATCGGGAATAACGGATCCCTGTTTAGGGTCTAGCCCATGCATCTCCAGGTGTTCCCGCGCGATCTGAACGAATGATGGCTTGGGGGAGGGAAACGACACATTTCGGAATATCTGTGCGTGAAGTTGGCGCGAAAGCAACTGCACCCCAAGAGGGTTACGCTTGGCTTGAATGACCATTGATCAGGCGGAGAGAACTCATTTGGTTTGGATTAGGCGCACCGTGCTTTGCGCACTGAAGGGGCGCAACCTTGCGTTTCCTCTTCCCCTCATTGTCGAAGGCTGCTGAAGTTTGTGAAACTGCTTTGCTGGGTGATTGTTTGGGCTCGGGGGCGACAGTGGGTGATATCGAGGTAGCGTATGATCGACGTGCCTGACCGCATGCCAGGGTTCTTCGAAGTGCACTCAACATACGCACAGAAAATACATGACCTACGGGGTTTGCACTTGCTGAGCAGGTGGCAGTTTTCGAAGGCAAGCCTTGATGACTAATCCAACTTACCAGACATCGAGTCCTCACTAATACAATCTACTTGCATTTCAAAACGCGAGCTAGGTAGCTATTGGTGTCCTAAGGGTGATATACAACTTGCTATTCCATAGTTTCTCGTGTCCATAAAGAAAAAGAAAAATGCGTGTAAGCGGAGCAGAAGAGATGGACGGGTACGGAAAGGGAAGAGTCAGCAAATGATATCGAACTTCCCGAGTATCAGATAGCGTAGAGTGCATGGCGCACAACCATGGTATCCTGGTATCCTCTCCGGTCGTCACGACTACGTTAATTCCGTCTCTGTAAAGCCCCAAACACTGGTCGTGAGCGTCAGTATAGATCCCAATGTCTTTGTATCAGCTATTCCGAGGGGGAGGAGCTCGTTCCATTGGTGTACGCTCCTCGAATTGTCTCAAGCTCTTCTTTCAGTGCTTTGTGTTCCATCGTAAGTTTCATGAGTTCGTCCGGGTTCATCAAATCGTTATCGCTCTCGGACTCTCCGTTTAGGATAGCCTCGATATTCCGCTTTTGAGTAACGATTTTGGAGAATGCATCGAGATATTTTGCGTACGAAGTTCGGTACTGTGCACGCAGAGCCGCGTGATCGGTTGGGAGAGGGAGCGATGCCGGAGGTCGGTGTCGGGATTCGTTCCCGTTTGTCCCTAAATCAGTCCTAGTAGGTGCAGGTGGCGATGAGGGTCTGCGTGGCTGCGGTGTCGATTGAGGGATCTCCCCCTCGTCTTCGGACGAAGTGTAGATGGGCGACTTCCGCCGTATCTTAGTCGACATGCCGTTGGTTTTGGGTCGTTCCACTTTCGCGGGTGAGGGCGACTGCCTGTCTTGGCTAGACGAGAAGCCCCGCAAAGGAGTGGAGGATTCTTCCTTGACCTTTGGAGGGGGGTGAACGAGTCCATGTTCCTTGAGTAGTTGTGGCTCCCGAGGCCTGGAAGACGAGGACGTTACCGTCGATGAGGAGCTTTCCTCTAACTTCCGCCTCTTAGGAGGAGGAGCTGATCCAGAAATCCGCCCTTCATCGCGGGCGCCCTCAACTTCTAAAGCAGTGGTTTTGCGTTTGATGGTAGAGGGAGCAGCACCTTTCTCCCGATTGAACTTCTCCCTCTCGCTTTCACGCTCCCTTAGTTTAGCTTCCTTTCGCTTTGCCCGTTCTCTCTGTTCGCGTTCGCGCTCTCTCTCCAGATCTACTTCGTCGTCTCTCTTGAGGGGTTTGGGTGGTACGGGAATCGTCTTCCTCGCTACGGTTCCAGGAGGCGGCGGAAGCGGAGAAGCAGGTTTTCGAGGTAGTGAAGCAGGTAAGGACTGTCGTTGCGAGGGACGGGAGTCACTGGAAGCAGAAAACTTCTCTGTAGGAGCCTCTCCTTTGAGGGTCAAAGTCTGTGAGGTCTTCTTTGCCTGGTACCCGGAACCAGGCAAACGTCGGGTCGTGGCAGCTTTGGCCCCGGAACTGTCTAATGACGGACCAGGACGCTTCTCCACCTCGTCTCTCTTGGAGATAGCTGGGCGAGAGGCCGATACCTTCGCACTCTCGTCCTTCATCGATATCTCACCTTTCCCGCGTGAAGCATCGACTTTTGCTTTCTGTTTGGCATCCTTTGAAATCACTGGGCGTTTGGTGTCGGATTGCAGGGGTGCCGACGGAACCATGGTGGACTGTGTAGATGGGACGGGAACTGTAGGTAGCAGACCAGTTTGTCGGTAACGCACGTTCTCCCACGCTGGATCAGCTTCTGGTATCTTGAGTGCCTTCAAAGCTAGCCGGGCTTGCCGGGCCATGCTCGTACGCTCTGCTTCGGTGAGCTTAGGCCACTCATACGGCCGCACCTCGGTCCATGTTTGAGTTTTAAGAGTCCACGGACGTGGTGACTTGTCCCCCTTCTTCACAGGCGTCTGCTCTGCGACCTTCAAAATGCTCGTTAAAGGCTCAATACGAAAAAAAGCTGAGATTGAGACCCCACCTCCTCGAGCAACTTGAGTAACTCTTCCCGTGTTTGCACGCTGATATTCGCACCTCCCACCATCCGCACAGCATCGTCACTTTGACGTGGTTGGATAGCAAGACAGTGAACAAGACGTCTTCGAACGTCAGCATTTGCTCTGGACGAGGGAGGATTCTGGGGAAGGGGTGACACTTTGCGCCCAGAGCCAGAAGAAGTGGAAGGCACGCGAAGCTGATCTACAGGAGCGACTGTCTTCTTCATGACCGTGCCAGATCCTGGTGTCTTGCGTTTTGTGTGTTTAGTTGCAGGGGTTGGTATCGGAGGTCGGTCAAGCAGGATAGCTTGTCGCTCTGAGTGCGCTTTCTTGGCTTCCATCGTGCGTTGGCGGACGCCATCTGTGACCTTGGCACCCAGCTGTCGCTCCACCATGAATTTACCGATGACATTGGCATATAACTTGAGAGGAGCGTTTGGCTTCGCAGCCGAGGAAGTGCGGAGATATATCTCGTGCGGAGTGCTTTCTTGCTGAGCCCGCATTGCGTAGAACGTTTCTCCTATGTAGATGCCCTAAAACGACGGTTGGATGCACAATGCTAGTGGACAGAAAGCAGACTCACTGGGTTGTCACCGAAATCAAAGTGCATCTCCGGATGATTCGGGAACGACTCGAGTGCTTCGAGGGTCTCCGCAGACAAGCGGACGACCATGGCCTGCTTGGGCTTGGACTGGACTGCATTTCCGAGACTCGAGTGGACAGACAAAGGGCCAGTGCCTGGGAGGGGCATGGTGGTGTAGTGACTTGGCTACTACCTGACAAGCAAGCACGGGCGACCGCGAGAGGAAAGGGAGAGCTCTGGCGAGTACTGGCGCTGGGGAGCGTCGCCGTAACGCGCCGTGGCACAGGTCTCGGACGAACGGATGTCCAAGCTCAGTGAGACCTGCAGGGGTGAGAACCACTGCCAACAAGGTCCGAGTGCATGATCACAGCCATTTTTCAAACTGTAACAGCTCTTTACAGCGAGCATACTCGACAGTAGTAGTATAGTAGTAGTACTCGTGCCCTCCCAACTATTCTGCCTAGGTGCTGATGGTTGCTGCCACGACGTCATGGCGTGGAGCTGCGTTGACATCGCCGAGGGGGACCTTCAGAAGGGGTGGGTGTCCCTGTGAACGCGGCTTGCCACTTGGGGCTAATGGGGCGGGAGGGAAAGGATAAATGCCTGGAAGCCGGGGTCCGCCCATTAATTCCATTATGAACGCAGGCCGCAATATACATGATACAAGTATCTCTGCATCTCTGCGTCTGTTGCGCCATTCGAAGGGGATGGGAGATTTAATAGGAATACAGCCATGATGGACAGGTCACCGGTGACAAAATAAAAATAAATCTGGCTACATAAAAAATAAATTATATGTTGGGAACTCGATATATCGTGTCGCGCACGCGCCCGCGCCCGTGGCCCTCCGTCCAATCGTTTCCACAATCAACGGCTTTTCCTGAGAGCTCGCTCTGTCCTTTCTGCCCGCTGGCCCATCTCCCAATCCGCCGGCCCGTTCGTTTGGGCTTCCAGCTTCCCCCGTACAGTAGATAGTAGAGACCCATGACCGATCTCGTCCAGGCTAACCCACTCAATGCTATCGAGAATAGGCTCTGTCCTGGCTGTAAACAGTCTGCGGTAAATGAAACTGGGGGCTTAGTCGTAGCATTTGGGTACGTCACCCACTCGTCTGCTCGCTTCTTCGTCCTCTCACTCCCCAATCCCAATCCAGCCAGTCTTTCTTCCACGTCAACTGTTTCAAGTGCGCAAAGTGCAACCAACAAGTAACTGCAGATACCAACCTCCTCTTACTCTCTGATGGATCCCCCATCTGTGCAAACTGCAGTTACAATTGCAACATTTGCCAGCAGCCCATCCTCGATGAAGCCATCATGACCGGTGACGACTCTTACCACGCCCACTGCTTCAAGTGCAAAGTATGCCATAATCGCATCGACGAACTCGTCTTCGCCAAAACAAGCCAAGGCATATACTGTATGTCCTGCCACAACGAGCGCATGGCCAAGATCCGTCGTCATGCTCACCGAAAAAGAGAAAAAGAAAAAGCTGCCTCCGGAAGTGGTTCTTCCTCCACCCGCGAACGTGATGCTCGCGATCATCTTACTGACTATGCTGTACGTAACCGACGTTGTCCGTCCTTGTCCCGTGTTCATCCTGTCACTTCAAGGCTTCGGATCGGTCTCGCGACACCATTTCAACCCAGGCATCTTTGCGATCCAAGGCATCCACAAGTACGTTTCGTGAAACCCGCTCCACGAAGGGCGTGGAGCTGTCAACCCCAGCCAAGAAACGCAAGTCATTGCCACCCGCAGACAACACACCCACTGCTGTTAAAACTGGGCCGTCAAGCACTGCTGCCTCGGGGGATCTCAAACGAGATCATTGCGTACCGTCTCAGTCATTTTCGTCTGATGCTGCACCCTTTCAGGCATTCTCTATGACGGTAGCCCCGCCAGAGCTGAATGGTTCAAGTGTTGACGAGCATGGTGTACTCGTGAATGGCCACTCTGGTCCTCAATCGCACAGTCTCGATCCAACGGACTGCAGAACATCCCTCGGGCATCTCCAGGCACTACCATCTGATGGTAGTACAACAGGAAAATCCTACCTCAGCCCTCTATCTGCAGGTGGCCCTAAAAACGTACATCGGAGGAAGAGTTATGACGACGGTGTACGGCCGCTTAACTTCCTTTTTGGTAAAAAGAGCTCCAACCAAGACGCTAAGAACCCTGTCGACAAGTCGCAAAATCTTGGCCTCTTTGTACCTAACGGTAGTACTAATGGGAGTGAGAAGCGGCGATCGATAAATCCAGCACTGGCCAACGCGACTGGTATGGCACCTGAGATGGTCCGCTCTCACACCGTACCTGTTCAGGTTGCCCACTCGCCTGTGACACCGTCGCCTTCCAAACCCTTGTTCGAGCCCTCAGCGACACGCCGTGCGTCAAACAACAGCTCGTTGCATGATGCAGCATCAATTTTAACTGTTTACCATTCGCCCCTATCATCCCCGACACCAACAGAGAGCGGACGTGGAACGCCAGATTCAGTGCGCATGCGGACTATATCACACGACCCCCAATCCGCTCCACCATCCGCTCGACCGGGAACTCCCTTGCGCAACGCCCTGCATCCTGACGGCGCAGTACGCACAGACGGCTTTGGTAATGTCTCGCGCTCACTCGATAGTTCGAGCAGCTATTCGGTGAACGGCCGACTGTCCCCTATTGGGCCACGATCGGCACGTTTGGACGGGACAAACTCTGGCCTTTCGTCTCCGCTCAGTTGGACTGACCGTTCAGGAACAGTTTCCCCGGCGTCTCCATCGCATACCGCGGACGTGCCGCACAGCATCGAGAGTGGAACAGATACAGAGGCTGAGGCTGATTACGAGAAAAGTCCTGATAAAACCCCTGTCACAACTTCAGACTCGCCCCCTGTCCTGCCGCCGAAGGAGTTCAAATCAAAACGTCGTCCGAGCAATCTGAATTTGGAGAATGTGAGGATGGATCCAGACGTATCCGTTGTCTCTCAGTTAGATGGCGAAGAGGAGTCTTCCCCTGTAGAGCGCACATCTATTGCCACGTTTATCGCTCCTGCCTTGCCACCCATTCGTTTCTCTATGTCTGGATCGGACTTCTCGGAGTTCTTGAAATCTGTTGGGGGCGTACCACCCCTGAAGTCGCTGGATCAGATTTCTGGGGGAGCAAAGGATGGCGCAGAGAACGTATCAGCCACGAACAACAGCATAATGACGCGCTCTATCCAGCAAACTAGCCCTGAGCAGTCAACTTCGTCGCAGCATCCCACACCGCCCATCAACGTCTCCGATACCAAAGCGGAAGCCCTGTCGTCAATTACTCCAGATACCTCCAAAGATGAGTCGGAGGTGAATGATGCAGCTCCCGATATCACACACGAGTTCCCTTCGCGCGGCCGTGCTGCCTCTGAATCGCTCTCACCGTCGTTAGCAAGTGAATCCGGCACTTCGGAGAGGAAACGGCTTAACTCGAATGCTTCACTCAACGTGCTAACATCTGCTGCGCGGATCACGCTTACCGCTCCGGAGTCGGCGACAACGACCCCGGTTTTGAGCGAATCATATGAATTCGTTCTGCAGAGACTGCAGGAAATGTTGGCGGATGCAAATGAAAAGGGGTCATTACAGCTACGGTTTAATAAGTCATTCGTGGAAACTATTTTGTCGGTTATGGAACAGAGGCATGTAGAGTATACTGATCTCAAGTCGCATTATGACGGGACGAAGGTGCTGCCCCCACACCACTTCATTCGCAAAGTTTGCTGACGTTTATCTTACAGAGAGCCAGCCAACAGTACATGCACGGCCTCACCGTTGCTCAGAAAGAGTACGATCGCGAGTTAGTCGCTCGTCGAAATACTGAGGCCGAGGTTATCCGCCTGCGGGTACTACTCTCTGGACAGGCAGCCAAGCTGACTGCGCTGAGTGGCGAGAGCAAGAGACTGGAAGTGCGGAAACAGTTGTCAGAGGAGCTCACCAAGGATCTTGTCCACTTGGGGAAAGACCTCTCTAAGCTAAAGGCAGAACGAGACTTGGCTTTAGCGGAGATGGAGGAGTTGTATTCATCAAAGAGGTATTTTCCAAGCACAGCTCATCCTTACAAGTAATTTCTCAAATAATTTCTAATTCTTCCAGTACGGCTCTCTTCAGTGAAGTACCAGCAACACACTTCAGCCGATCGCTTGCTATGCGCTTGGACAACCTCAAGTCCCAGTACAGGCACGAGCTTCTACCGCTCAGTGAACAACGAGAGTGTTTAATGCGAGAAATTACCGAACTCAAAGCATCAAGAGATCAGTTCCTGGAGGAGACGACCGTCCTCAACGCCCGAAATGAGGAACTTGCTCAGCTCAGCACGCAATATGCACGTCGGATGGAAGCCGCGCGTTCTGAGACTCCAGTGTTGGATATTTCACCACCACCGATGTCCGACGACGCGAGCAAGCTGCATAGAAAGAAGAGCATGTCACTAGATCGATTTCGCCATTCCCCGGAGACCTCTACGTCAGTGCAACACTCGCTTAGCGCCAGCTCCACACAGAGCACCAACGCTGTTGTTGAGGACAGGGAGAAAGGCAACCGCACCCCGAAGCCCGATCAATCAGATGCACTATCGACACTCAAATCCGGCAAGTTCAAGTGGCCCGGATCACGTACGAAGGAAGCTGCCACGTATCCGTCTGACCACAGGGGCAAGATGCACATGGAACACAACTTCCAGCAAGCAAGTACTTTGCGGTTCGCGCGCTGCGATCACTGTGGGGATAAACTATGGGGAACCTCACAGCTCCGTTGCTCAAGTGAGTATTGACACTTCCGATAACGTTCTGCCATTACGTTTACCTTCATTTATTCTACGTTAGATTGTCACATCAGCGTCCACTCACGCTGCATGAATCAAGTGCAGTTGGTATGCACTCATCAACCTCGGCACCGAGATGACGTGAATGGACACGTCGTTGCACGTACGTTTCATTCCCGCTTTTGTTTTTAAATATGCTCAGGGAAGCGATAGTGCCATCTATGTTCGGCCGCGACCTTGTTGAGCAAGTGAAGTCGGACTATAGGTGGGGTGACCGCAAGGTCCCTATAATTGTCGAGAAGTGTATAGAGGCCGTGGAGGCGGTCGCACTGGATTACGAGGGCATCTACCGCAAAACTGGAGGATATGGCCAGACGAAGATCATCACCCAGCTGTTTGAACGGCAGGATTATGCCGCGTTCGACCTTCGAGACACTGACCGGTTCAACGATGTGTGCAGTGTGACATCGGTGCTAAAGGCCTACTTCCGTTCGTTGCCTGTGCCGTTGTTGACTTTCGACTTACATGGGGAGTTTATTTCTGCGGCTGGACTCAAAGATCCTGCTCTTAAGACAAAACACCTCCAGGAGCTTGTGGATCGGCTCCCCTCTGAACACTATCATACGTTGCGCCTACTAGTGTTACATCTGCATCGGTATGCTTACCATAGGTCTGGCATATTTCGCCACGTCCTGACATCTACTTCTAGCGTGCGGGAACATAGCGATCAAAACCTAATGACGGCTCGTAACCTTGGTGTCGTCTTTGGACGTAAGTAGTGCTATTGCAAGTTCCTACAGGTGCTGACTTCGATGCATTAGCAACACTCATGTGGTCGAGAGACCCAGGGTCGGAATTCAGCGACATGGCCGGCAAGGCCCTGATGGTGGAGTGGTTGGTGGATAATGCCCTGACCATTTTCTCGCCACAGCCGTGATACCGGTCTCTAAACTTCTCATCTACTTTTTCCCTCATTCCCGTCTTGAACAGTGTTTGTTTATATTATTGTACTCTGCGTATTCGAATCTTCGTATTTCCGCTGTCGGTTACAACTATATTCCCTCCAGGTTTTTTTCTACAGTGTTGGATTGGCATCGCATCATATCCCGTTTTGGATTCTCGTTCCTCACAGGGATTCGTCCTATTTACCAACCTATGTACCGTGCACTCGTTACTACTATTTGACCCTCGACATAGCTTCCTTTCGCACCGCCACAATTGTTTATCAGCCTATTCCCGTTCACCGGGTTTATTATTCCACTTGATAGATACCCATTTTTCGATTCACTTAACACGTGGTTCTTCAGGAGGGTATGTATACAACATGAACCTATCTGGAAATACATACTAGTTGCCAGAACTGAATGGAATGGATGTACAAATGCAAATGATAGAGAAGGTAAGTACAGACCCATCAGTTTCGGGTTGATTGACCATAGAAGTTGAAATGCCTTAAGATCAGGAATGAATGGCGGGTACCTGGTAGGTACCCTCATAGTCAAGTATTTACAAAAGCTCGCGCGAACGGCGAGCACGTGGCACAGCCTTCTCGGGTTTTAGAGTACAGTAGAGGAAGTGGCGACGAGGACTGCCAGGTGTTGCCGCAACCGCAGCGGGACGACCACCACCACCGCTTAAGGATGCAACGGCTGCATCGCTGCGGATGGAGAACATGCGGTCGAAAACTGTAGGTTCCGATAAGGGGGGGATTCGACTGACAAGAAGGGAAGGATAGCGCTCACGTGTAGCGGTAAATGCCTTGGCGGTGGCTTGGCAAGCAAGATGAGTAAGAGTGAGTGGTGGACTGACTCCTTCGAGATTTCTCAGGTATCGGTAAACCATCGAAGGCTGGCAAGGACCTAGTGTACAGTTGTCCATGTCAGAGGTTCTTGGACGGGTACTTTGACGTACGAACCAAAGCGAAATACAGCATTGTAGGCCTGCCTCCATTTCTCCTCGAGTAACCGAGCACAGTTGGGGGGGTCCGGACAAGTGGCACACTGCAAGCTCAGATAAGCGAACCCTCACGTATTTACCAACAGAAAGAACGCACGCATTGATACTCTTTGGCCAGAGGCGTGAGACCAAGTTTGAGAACCCGTTCGAGGAACCAATTCCGCCTAACGTGGATGAGTCTCAGAAGATGCAACACGCACATGTTCGGCTACGGAACCCACCGCTTCTCTAGCTTAAGCAAGGTTTCCTGGCTTAACGTGCTCAGTTCTTCTTCCGACCATCCGCCAGGGTTATCGAGTACAAAGCGGCTCGACTCGCGGTAGAGTTCCTCTTCCTCAAAAATTTCCGCGATACGCATAGCTTTGATAGGCTTTCCCGCTGCGTGCGTAAGGAGGAAGTTGAGACAGTCTTGCTGAAGCGTTGGTACACAGAACTTGTGGGAGATATTCATGAGGCCCTCTACGTTGTTCCACGAAATATTGCATTGGAGACTGAAAAGCCTAGTCAGCACTGCATTCGGCGGCACTCTGAGAACACATACTGAGGATATACGTATTTGAGAAAATCATGGAAGATGTTAGCCTGGAAACATTCAGTCATTGTAAGCGCAACGACGAATAGTAAACATCACCTTTTCTTCTTGAAGGACGATAACTGCATCTTGCTCGCTTGTTTTCCTACGGTTTTTAACAGCCTTACGCGTACTTTGAGAACGCGCAGATAAAGGATGACAGGTATCTGTGGCCTTTCCCTTGCCCTTTAAATCATATCCGGACACTTGGCCGGAATTACGAGGCTTTGCAAGTCTCACTCTCCGTTCGCGCGATTTGTAGTCGCCTGCTTCCTCGGGTTCACTCTCGCTGACACCACTAGCCTCGCTGCCACTCGTCGGTGGGCACTCTACTTCGACAGGAGACGATGAATCTGATGTGGTATCACTAACGGCTTCCTCCCTGTTATGATTGGAAAGCGAGATGGGAGTCGGACAGCAGGATCGATCCGTATGGTGAGAAATTGTGATCATGGAAGACAACGAGGGTGGCCGGCCAGTTTCGAGCCAACTTCCGCTGAGGGCAGCCTGGAAGAATGGGGAGGCGAAGTACAGGATTTCCTTGTGTGCCCTGCCATGTGGCGGGACGAGCGTTTAATGCCAGTTCTATGAATCCGTTAAATTAGACTCACCAGAATGTCGTACTCTCTACAATTATTTTGACAGTACCAGGGAATCTTCCACTACAGGTGAAGGTCTGGTCTATTTCGATAGCCTTGTCTGTATCACTGAGGTTAAGGTCAGTTACTGGGTCTTCTGCCTCATATTCTTGGTGATTCCAAGGGGGGGAGCTGGAAGAACGAAAGATGCCTGCGGCAGCCGCATGTGTTTCAGTAGGTGAGCTGAGGGAAGCTGAAGGATTGCTGTTCCCCCGTGAACTGCGGGCGATAAGGATATGTGAAGGATTCGTGGTCATAGTGTAGGCGACAAGAGCAGATGGCAGTCGCGTTTTCGGCACCACTACATAGGATATGTGATGACCACCAAGATTTCTCCAAACCACTGCCACCAGGTACTCAGTCCATGACAAGGTGTTTCAGCCATTACATTCGTCTTACTACATGGGGCACGCCCCAGACCTTGTCAGGTGGCCTTGTAGTGTAGTGGTTATCACACAGGATTCTGATGCTGATGCTAAAAATTCCTGTAACCCAGGTTCGAGTCCTGGCAGGGCCTTCTCCTTTTTAGTCTACCCGATGAGTCACTAGCTCATGTCTCCAAGCAGGACCTTCCGCCTACCTGCTCCCGTGGGCTCAGTCATGCAAGGCACACAACGTCGGGCACGAGGGTAAACTCGAGGTTTCCGCGTTAGTAACCAAAGTCATTCAGAAGTACCAGTAATGACACTCTGCAGGTGTATTAGTCCACCAACCACAATACTTCCATACAAGGCTATATCGTTTTGTGGTCGTTCGTCAGACCACACTAAACCTTACACTTGCGACAGGGCGGGCATTTCATTTTTCGTAAGTAATGTTGGCTTGACCCAGGTACCAATATCCCGACGGATCTATGGGAAGGCGCGGTCACGGCAACGGCTTGATCGCTCGACAGCATCAGCCCCCGCTGAAAGGATTGGATATTCCAAAAGGTGATGGGTGCATCCCCCGCAAAGGAGATCGGAGATCGAGTGCGAATCTTCCGGGAAATTTCATTTTCACGTTTCGGGCTTCAGAAAGGATTGTTTTATCCACCCTTTTTTAGTCCAGCCAAGTCACTCATCGCTCTCTGTACTTCGAGTTTCTCCATTACAGCACGGTGCAGACTCGATTTATTTTTTGCTCTTGCCTTTGCAAGGCTGGTCGAAGGTTCGTCCGAAAGCGTAGCAGAACCTGAGGCCGCGTATTGTACTGTGGTCGACTCGACAAGTGCCTCTTGCGTGGTAAGGTGTGAGGGCACGATTATCGGGGTCTGGCGTGGAGGCGGAGGCCACTGCGAAAGCGGGATAGAGGAAGATTAGTGAATATTTAAAAAAGTACACACGAGCGAACCTCGCGGTGGGGTTGATTAAAGTGTAATGCTGCCCACGGCGGGTACTCCTTCTCAAGCTGTATGATATGATCCTCCAAGAATTGCAAGCGGGAAAGCAAATTGCGCGGAGATGCAGGTACTTTCAACCCATTCAGACTATACCACTGAGGATACGTTGTTTCATACCATAACGCACAGCCAAATGAGCTTCGATGTTCTTTAGTCTTTCGTCGAGCGCTGGATGATCCTTGCTCTCTGAATCGTCTGCAAGGGCAACTAGTTTCTCTTGCGTCTCCTTTCTGTTGACTCCCTGCACCGTCCTACGTAACGGGCCGTCCTCATTTCTCGCAATATCGTATTTCATATGCACTTCACGGTCAAGTTGCTTCATATCCGTTCGCGCACAAGATGGGATTGCCTCATCGACATCCTCACCAATATTAAGTCGACGGCGCTTCTCCGCGACGGACTGGAGAAATTCAGAGCGATTGGAGGCATCGTTCTTTGCGCGGTTTTCGGCAAGGAACTGCGAAACCGACTTTGTGATCTAAATGGCACGCGGATGAACGAGTTTACTATCAGGGAAAGAAGGAATATATTTACTGTGCTCTGAGAGCGAGGTTGCTGGCCGCTGCTTAAGTGAATATAATCCAATTTCCGATCTTCCAAAGGACGCTCTTGCGGTTTCTCTCCATCCTTGTATTTCCCCAAGGTCTGTTTTACGCGGGGATCTGAGTCCTCTGAGATCACCTTCACGAGACGACGCGTACCATCATGTCCCGCACCAGGTCCCCAATTGCCCCAGGCACAACCTTCCTTTCCCAATCTTCATTCATGACAACCATGTCATCCTCAAAACCTTTGAGTGCCTGGTTTAGTCCTACGTTGTTTAAAAATGCACGTATAACCTCGTCCCAATGTCGATATGTAGGCTCAGGAGTTGGAGTCCTCAGTTTGGGCTGCAACTTCGTGCGCTGGCGGGCCGTAGGAGCGTGCTGATACGACTGGTACTGGGTGTATGGAATCTGAGCGTAGTGTGTCTGTTGGTAGGGAGTGCTCCCGGTGGTAGCGTAGGGGTAGCCAGAGAGTTGCCAAGCCGTATTTTGCCAATTGCCTGGTGGGTATCCCACCGTGTAATATGTCTGGGCAGGGTTCTGTCGTGCTACCGGCGTTGTTTGCGTATGCGGTTGAGCCTGTGCATATTGCAGATTCTGCTGGTGGGTAGATGGTTGCGTCTGCAACGGGGGCCCAGAGGTTGGATGACTCGCAGGAGTCGGCTGCTGCGACGCAGTCCCTGAAAAGTTTGAAACAGACCCTGCCGGTGATGAAGGGGGGTTACTGGTCATATATGCAGCTGAAGCCAAGTCGCAAAGTAGTACTGGTCACTGTGGAGGCACGCGCATTGAGATCATTTTGAATGTGAGGTACCATTTGGGTACCATACACATTATGTAATAGTGCTTTCATTGGACCACTAGTGCATAAAGAGCTAGTTCGGAAACCTCGGGTAAATTGCAATTAGTTCCTTCAATGCTTGTACATGTTTTTCCACTGGGGCAGTTCATGTGGTGAGTTTGAATTGAGTTTGAAACATGGCCTGTGATGGATTATGATGATCTGGATCAGCTTAGGCTTGCCTGGGTATTGGCTGCCACCATTGTTGCCCTCATATCTCAGTACACTCTTGATTCACTTACTCACTCAATACCTAATAAGACTAGTGCTCCCACTCCATGAGTTCATTGGAACCATGAAGAAACTGCTGCTCTTGTAAGGTTCCTGCATGACAACTGGCATGAGGCAGGCAATATGGGAACTTCAAGATGGCTACATATCAAGCTGCTGCCCTGCATATTGCCAACTATTGCACAGATGGACCTAATCTCAGTGTGAGACTGCTTCCCACTAGATGGTGGAGCACTGGATGGAGGGATAGAAATGTCAGATGGGTTGATGGTAGATAGCAGATCATCAAAAAATGGGAAATGGTCATCATCCAACCCAGGCAGGACCAGGGGAAGTGCTGGCACAGAATCAGCAGGCACTGAAGTAGATATGGGTTCAATGGGCATGGAAGTGGAGGAGGGTGTGGATTCAGCAGGCACTGAAGTGGAAGTGGTTGGTTGAATGGCTGGCACTCCACCATCTCCATTGTCTAGGCTGTTGGTGGTGGCATTGGAACTATTGGACTAAAGGCATTGGCCCCATGGGCACCACCATGGGGTATGATATCTGCAACATAGGGATATAAATCCCATCCACTCATTTTGAACTGGCAAATGAGGGGGTGACTCTAAGGATAATCATCAGTTCATCAAGCCATGGGGTTAAAAAATAAAAATAAAAATACCTTCACAAAATCCTCAAACACCTGCTCAGCATGCTGGCCCTGAATATTAGCCCCCTTCTCATTGTCCCAGTGTGCTCCAGATGGTTGTGCTTGATAGTACTTGATATCTCAATATATCTTCTGAATCTATGACAGAAGATTATGAGGTTTCAACTACCATGTCCATTTTCCCATTCACCAATGCAAGTGACATTTCTGCTACTGTTCCCACCTCCAACAAACATGCCAAGCTCTCTGCCACTTTGGACTACACAAAAAGCTCCCAATCCCATTGTTCTTGCAATCCTCCACCTCCACCTTCACTTGCCATATCAAACCCTATTGCAGTAGGCCTACAAGGCTTGATCAACTTCCTCACATCATCAATCAACACATTGATGACATCTGCCATCAATAAAGCATCAACTACAAGGGCACAAGCAATTCATTTACTGGATGATCAAGACCAAGATTTCCCCAGTCCCATCAAGGTGTTCATCCAATTGTTGATCACACAGAATCTCAGCTTCACTGATGTATACTTGAGGATGGCAAAGAAGGAAGATCATTTGGCACTTGCTGAACTGGAGTATCAGATGAAACTCAGGGTTGGTAGTTCTCAGACTGGTACACAGTAAAAAATACTATAGGTAGATTGATGTTTGCTGTACCCCCATACCTGCTGTCATTATATCACAATCTTTTTTTTTCTTCATCACACATGAGAGATCTGAAAGTGTACATATATTGGATGGTATGAGAACACTTGAACTATGCATCTACAACATTGATATATCACTCATACTGCTACTGGTGTTTGTGGAGTCATCAGAGCTATAGTTGTTGCTACCTGAGGGCAATTGCCCAAGATCTTGCAATTGAATGATTTCCTGATAATCATCCCACATATGTTGAGTGATCTGGTCACAGAAAGTGTGTGCCACTTCAAGCTGACCTACATTGGCACTATCTTCTTTGACTCTGCCCCCATCTGCTGATCCCCCAGGCCCTCCTGCACCTTGCTCATCTATGTGGACATCCTGTCCTGGCATTGGACCTTCTTTGGCATTGTGAGTACAGATGAAGTTGTGCAGTGCACAGAGTGCTGAGGGGATTCAGCCTTGGACATTGATGTTGTACTCAGGGCTTAGTAGTAAGATGCAAAAATGACACTTGAGGACACCAAATATTCACTTGATGATGTTGCATGCAGATGAGTGCCAGAGGTTGAACAACTCTTCTTTATTCCTGAGTCCTGTCAGTTCAGTGGGATGATAAGATGGATAATTCAAAGAAAAATACCTTAAATGTGCTTGGCACCACTCTGCAAGGTGGTAGCAAGTCACCCAGTATGGGACTAGAGTTTCTGGGCACAGGGGGAATGCAGCATCTGCAAGGAGAAACTTTCCTGTTGGGATGTCAAGCCCTTTCATATGTGCATCCTGGTATACATGCACATCAGTAGCCAAACCCTCCCAACCAGTCAATGAGTATGTAAACATCAGCTGGAAATCACAAGCAAACAAGCAGTTCTGCATTATGGAGCCTTTGCAGTTTCAGTACACTCCCCAGTCCTCTGATGCCAGAGTGGCATGGATATGGCTCCTGTCCAACACACCAATCACATCCTTGAAATGCAGCCAAAATCTTTTATCTCCCCTAATCTTTGGCTGAATATCATCAGCACCAGGCATCTTGATGTACATGGAATAGAAGGGTGATGACAATAGGATGAAGAGCATCTTGTGAAAGTACCTGATCAAGGGGGTTAGAAAAGTATTGGGAAACAAAGGGTGATGACATACCAAGATATGGTCTCATTTGACTGCTGAAAACATTCACTGACATGCCTGATAGTCAGACCTGTCACACTCATATAGAGGAAAATAGCTAGTTGTTCTTCAAGCAAAACAAATCAAGAGTTGCCATGACTGATCTGGTGAAGCTCCTCCATGAGTCATGCAAAGACATCAGCATGAACACCAAGTTCACATTGGATTCATTCTGGATGACCTGCAAGGAGCTCAATAAGCCATTCCTCACTGGTTAGTGCTGACATGTGGTAAGGCTCCAGAATCCTTCAGATTGGTGTAGATTGCACTTCAGTATGACCGATCATGCAGAGGATGATATTGATGACAAGAGTGATATGGCACAGCAAGTGTTGGTGGTGAATCTCCTCATGATCACCACCAATATTGACATTGTCCATCTCACATACAGGAGGAAATGTTTCAAACTCAATTCAAACTCACTATGTGAACTGCCCCAGTGGAAAAACATGTACAAGCATTAATGGTATTCAAAGTGCACTAAGCTGACAACTAAGCAAGCAAATTTTGCTCACTAAACCCTACTAAACTTTTCCTAAGATTTTCACCATGTAGATAATTCAAGTGGAGTTTTAAAGCATGCCTCCCCTCTGCCCAAACCTTCAACATTCTGCTCACCTACAGGTCAAGTCTGTAACTATCATGGCCAGGGCCTCCTCTGTTGCTAGTGCAAGAAATCCCCCCCCCCTGTCTGTCCCCCAACCCTCCCCCAATGCTGTGTCATCCAAGCCCAAGCTGAGGGCTTCTGGGGGTGAAACTATTTACTGGGAGAGGTATACCCACCTTACCAGAGAGCTACTGACTTGGCTATGGGAAAATCCAGCAGATGATGCCATCCTATTCAATGAGAGGAGAGATCAGAGTGCCCTGGGGAATGCAAGGCCCCATGCCTGTCACAAGAAAGACATTAATGCTGTTATCACTCAAGTGATCTTCTCTAAAGATCTTGTATATGGGGCAGTTTATGTGACCCAGACTGAGAGGTTTGCTTCAGCAGTTGGTAGCCACCTGGCAAGGTATGCCTTATCACATTGTTCCAAGAGATTAATTGAAATCCTTGTTACAGCTTGAAGGCCAAATATTGGCAACAAGCATCAAGGTTTAAGTCCACCAGTGAAGGCATTGATCCTAACAATCCAGCTTATTCCAACCTTCTGGGTATGTACCATGGTCCTCCTCTGTACACCATGTGGCTGATCTCACACATGGTTTTTATTTTAGAGGAAGTTGTCACAGAGTTCCCATTCTGGGAGGAATGCAATTGCATGTGGCATGGGAACCCTACTTATGATGCAAGATTATTCAATCCAGCTCCTGGCACAAACTGGATGGGTGACTTTCTTTCCATTGTGAATCAGGGTGGTACTACTGTGACTGTGACTCCTAGTGGCTCTACTGCAACCACAACTGTGACTCCTACAGTCACTGATATGCAAGTCCAACAACTGACCAACCAGAACAATACAATGGCAGGAGGCAATCTAGAGGTTGAACCTTTCAGGAGTTTTATGCTAATCAACCCTCAGGGTACTTCTGGACCTTTCACAGGTGACAGCACAAGTATCAGTGACTTTTCTATGGGTGGGATGGAGCAGGGGGAGGATGAGGATGAAGAGGGGGAGGTATGTGAGGGAAGGGGGCCTGGGGAATGCCCTCAGTTCATGTCAGTTAATTCTGAACTAATGTTCAATGATGGTGCAGTGAATGACACCCACCACATGAGTCACTATCAAACTCCTCACTCATGTTACTAATGGGAACCTTAGCCTGTTGATTCTACCCATATGATATTGCCATTCAACAAGCCTGGCTGTCAAACACTGTCATGGACAACCATTCAGCATTCTGGATGTCTCCATATGCCAGATCCCCCCCTCTGTTATCTCTACATCTACAACAACCTCTGCTGTCAGTGATGGTGCTAGCCAGTGCCAGGTGGCAAGCTCTGAGACCTCTCAAACAAAGGGGAAAAGCATGCTTACTCAGCTCAAGGCAGATTTCAATGAGTGGCTTGGTGAGTTAAATGGAAATTCCTTGGATCAGCAGTGCCAGTTAGCTGCACTCAAGACTGAATGCAAAGTGGTCAAGACCCAGGCTTATATGTGTGACAAGGAGATAGCTCATTTGGAAGCAGAGGGTGAGAAGGAGCACAGGGAGGCTCAGAAGATCCACGAGCATTTCATGGAGAGAAAAAAGTTAGACATACAATACCTCAAGGAGGAAGGGGAGAATCTCCATCTCAGAGTCCAACTGGCAATGCTCCAAGCTCAACCAACCTCATCTTTGGACCCCAAGTCCCAAGTTTTCAATGGCACCTCATCCTCCTCCACCACTGCACCATCTCTTTATCCCACCTTGCCTTCCACTGCCTTTGATGATCTTGTTGTAGATGCCTGAATACCAATCAACCTCATACATGCTGTATTGCTCTTCCCCCCAATCCCCTTTGTTTTTCTATTTTCCACAACTATAACCTACATACTTCCTAGTACAATGTATGTGTGCATGTGGAATGAAATGGTCGTCTTTCCTGTGATTCAAAGTGCTTTGTACATGCACATGTGGTGTAGTCTACATGTGAATCCCACATTGCTTGAACAGCCTTTCCATCAGCATGAGGCAATGTTGCTGCCCCAGTGTCCCCTGTTGTTCCTCACCTACATCCTCATCCCCACCACCATCCAACTCCTCACCTTCCCTTATTGCCCAGTGCATCATTCCTTTGCCAAGCATATCCCTCTGTTCACTCTCAAAGTGAATGACCATGTTGTGTAGGATCATGCAGCACATGATCCAATACACAGTAACATGTAAGTCGCTGTCCTTATTCACCTTGAGCCAAAGCTCTTGCAATGACTGAAAGTGGCCTTTGAGGGCTGCAAATGCATGTTCCACCCTTACTCACACCTTTGAAACACTGAGAACAGTATTTCTGCACAACTGGCCTGCAGGTGTGCACCTTTGATGAATATTGAATGTATATATTCTGTCTATGTGTCAGGCTACCTCCCCTTGGCTTCTTGAAAGGCATGACACACCACTTCTCTGTTGGATAGGCAGAGTCTGCCCAAATCCAGTGATGTGGAGGGATGAAGTTCATGGGATCCTGGTACATTCTGTTACGCTTCTGCCAGGAGCCCTACCTTTTTTGGCTTCTAACGGTCACGTGCATCACGTGCCTCGTCGCGTCGTTCATCGCCATCGTCGTGTTGGGAGTGCGGATGCTTCAGGGAAGGTTTGGATCACCCGCTGTCCAGGTATTTCCAATACCTGTCGAGACTCATCATTTGTGATCTGTCCGTGACGTTCACCGCTCTTCTGATTGATGATATGTTATTCCCTTGATCCATTCCCCTTACTGTTGACTCGCTTTTATTGCCTGGATGTTGTACTATAGATCCGGTGTCTGGCTCCTCGCTGCGGACTACGCCGCAGCCGGTATAGCCTTCATTTCCATCCCTACCCCCATCTTTGACACCGGTTGACTCATATTTATTTCAAAGATTAGTTCGTTGATTACTGCGGATACACGTCGCGACTGGTATGGTACTCTCACTTAGGGGTATATAAACCTACATACCATACCATGTATCCTCAGTTTTTCGATAGCTTGCAACTGAGCTAATTACTTTGCTTTAATCCTTGTCTTCTCTCCGCACGAACAACCTTAGGGACTCACCAGCAGACAAGACCTCTGTCGGATTATCGCAATAACTCAGCCATAGGGGTTACGACAAGTTCGGCCCGTAGACTCCCACCTTGCGCGCTTTGTGCCTATTCCATTTGAAGAAGTCACTGCGCTCGGGCATAACAAAATCGAAAAACTCAATGCAGCTTTCAGGACTCGTCGACCTCTTCGCGAAAGTCTACTCGTCCCTGGTTACTGAACTTCAACAAACCAATTCCTCTTATCAAGAAAGGCTCGTCGGTCTCCCTACGTGTAAAGACTAACTCGCCTTGTCCCCCGCTCCTCAACTCGACAAACAAAGTCGATAACAAAATTGAGAAGCACCCTTCTACCCTCAATCAAATACACCGCTCTACAGGCAGCCACTAGGCTTTAATAGATCGCCTCCCTAGAGTCAGTGCTCGTCAATCCCTATGTGTAAATCGACTCGTGCACAAACCCCTCTACGCTGACAGGTTTCTTTCGAGAAATAAATCCTCCCTCAGCCGTCGTTGTCACTATCCGTCAAAGTGTCAAACCCTTCAAAGTCGAGACCTCCTGTCCCGCCGAGAGTAACTCCATCAGGACTAGGAAGGAACCTGCCTTTACCACCAATACCAGGAAGACTTGGGGCATCCGCCACAGCAAGTAATCCCCGGTTATCTTATCTATCCCGTTTTAGGGAATTGGAAGTCGCGCTTAGTTCAGAAGAAGAAGACGATCAGAAGTCTGAGACTTCTTTCGGATCAGTCCTCAAAGAAGAACAGGAAGCACGCAAATCACCCATAATGTCCATGATGATCGGTCACGGAGAATCAGCCCCTGAGATGCCGCCGAAGGTATACTCCGAAGCAGAGCTGAAGGAGAAGTTGGAAAGACAGATGCACTCTTTGGCAGAGGACTGGCGCAAGATTGTCGGTCAAGGCCAGTCGAGTGATCCCTTCCCAACAGGAACGCCTACGGACTCGGCTCTATGAGCTTGGTACGCCAGAAATTTCGGAAAGGTAATTCCCCCAGAGGGCCCCGCCGGTGGGTCCAGTAAGGGTAAGGCCTCGGCCGAAGATGGCGATGACTCGTATGATGTCCGCCCACCCAACGGAGGTCGGGAGTTTAATGTCGGGCGTCCCGGAGAATACGATGGAAGCCACAATGGGCTTCAGACTTGGATCACCCAAGTGGAGGGCTACCTCAATCTTAACAAACACGTGTACAACACCAAATCCCTCAAGATCTCTTTCGCCCTCATGTATATGATGAAAGGAGCAGCCGTATCGTTCGCCAAAAATTACCAGAACGAGAACAAACTCCTAGACGGAACCATCTGGTATTCCAACACTTTCCAGAGGTTCGTCGAACGACTCAAAGCTACCTTCGAGTCCGGAGATCAAACTGCTCTTGCCATCCTTCGTCTATCCGATATAACTCAAGGGAAAAGAGAACTCAAGGCCTACATCGCAGAGTTCACAGGGCTTGTTAATAAGGCCCAATTAAAGGAAGAGTCACGAGAAGCAGGGATCTTCTTCGGAAAGGGGCTCAACAAGGAATATCGCGACTGGATTCTGAACTCCGGGCACGCACCCACTACCGTTATTGAGTGGATACAGTGCGCAGGGGAGGCTAGAACCGCAATCGCTACGAAGCATATCCTTGAAGGAAAGGAGTCCCGGTACGAGTGAAAGTTCATTCACTTCCGTGGAAATTCCTGAGATCCTGATGCGATGGACGTCGACAAAAGAAGGCGAAACGTATGCCGATCAACTGAAAACGTAACGTGCTTCGAATGCGGAGCACAGGGTCACTATAAACGTGACTGTAACGCCCAGAAACCTAAAGCTTCTCCCGGCATCCATATAGTTCTATCCGAAAACGGAACCAGAGCTGCCTATTATGGAGATCGGTTGGCAACAACCGAGGAATTAAAAGCTTATGGGTTGAATGAGGCGAATTTTTGAATGGGACCGCATTCACTCCTCATGTGGGTCCCGCTTCTATGTTATCCGCTGTCTGTACTACTACCATAGATGATGAATCAAAAATGCAAGCTGGTTCTCCTCTTGGTATGGTATGGCTGCCGGATTACAGGGCAGGAGTAATGGTCTGCATCGACTCAGGTGCAGAGGTGTCGCTCATCTCGGAGCGAATCGTACAGAAGTTGAAAATCCCGACTTACCGCGTCAAGCAACGGTTCAAGACGACTTCGTTCACGGGAAAAGACGTCGAATGGATTGCTCGCAAGGTTACCATCCGAATAATGATCAAGAATCGACTGGTTCGGGTCAAGTTTTATGTTGGCCCTCTCATCGGAAAAGAGCACATCCTTTTGGGAATGCCATTCCTCCGGTTGTACAAGCCACAGATGAATTGGGAAACAAACAAGATTTCCTGTTGGGATGATGGGTATGTTCCGACTAGAGAAACTGACATTTACATCCGAAGTCAGGTTCCCGGTTACGAAGGTTATGCCATCAAGTTTAATCAAGATGGTTCCGTAAAGGAACCGCCGGTAAGTAAAATAAACAAAACCACTTTGTCAACAGAACTCGAGGCTGCCTTATCCTCGACTAAGGAGGAAGTTCTACTTCCGAAGGAATACCAGGAATTCACGCAAGTCTTCTCCGAGGAAGATATCCCTTTACCGGTACACCGCCCAGGCCTAGATCACGAGATTCGTCTCTGTGATGACTTCAAACCCAAGAAGGCCTCGGTGTATCTGATGTCCCCGGACGAATTAAAGGTATTAGACGAGTTCTTGGAGGAAAATTTAAAGTGCAAGAAAATCTGACCCTCGACGTCACCTCAAGCAGCGCCAGTATTCTTTGTGGCAAAGAAGGATGGAAAGAAAAGGTTAATTCAAGATTACAGATATCTTAACTCTTTTACCATCCAGGATGCCCATCCATTGCCCAATGCGCAAGCGCTCTTTGATGAGCTAGTTGAATCTCGGTACTATGCAAAGTTCGACATTCGTTGGGGATTCACCAATTTACGGGTGAAGGAAGGAGATGAATGGAAGGGAGCTTTCATTACACCAAGAGGGCTTTTCGAGCCCACGGTAATGTTTTTTGGACAATGTAACTCACCTCCATCATTCCAGCAATATATGGATCGAACCTTTGAAAGCCAAAGAGGAAAGCAAGTGGGCTACATGGACGATGTAGCAATTCACGGGAAGACTTGCGAAGAACTCTGAAGCCACGTACGAGAGTTTTTGGAGATCTGTCGCAGAGAAGGACTTCGCCTCAAGATTAGCAAGTGTGTCTTCGAGGCCGAGGAAATAGAATTCCTGGGAATGGTAATCGGGAAAGGCCGCATTGAGACTTCGTCCATGAAGACTGATGTGATTAGTACCTGGGAAGCCCCGGACAATCTTACAGGACTTCACCGTTTCCTCAGGTTCTGTAACTTCTACCACAAGTTCATCCCGTCTTTCTCAAGCATCGCCCGTCCACTCCACAATTTAATGAAGAAAGGGGTGTCTTACCAGTGGACTCCGGAGCGTAATGCTGCTTTCGAGCAGCTGAAAACTTTGTTATGCTCCACTCCGGTCCTCTCCATCCCCGACTTCACAAAACCCTTCGCGCTTTTCACCGATGCCTCTAAACTAGGCACCGGTGCGGTTCTGGCCCAGAAAGGGTCCGATAATGAGTGGCATCCCTGCTCGTACCTTTCACAGTCACTAGTAGGTGCAGAGCAGCGGTACCAGGTCTATGACCTCGAGATGCTCACTGTT